CAAGAAAGAACAGTGTATGTTCAATCTATCTAATATTATGTTGTTCATACTATACACTGATTTACTGCTTGTCCATTTTGAACAATACAGAAGGTAATGAGGTTAAAAATGAATCGCATATTAAATCGCAATGTCAATATCGGTAAAAAAAAATCACAATTAGATTATTTTCCAAAATCGTTCAGCCCTATTTCAGGGATTGGTAAACTTACATGGAAAAAGTTTCCAGTCATATGGTTGAAGAGCAGCTTACCTACTCTGTGTGTAAACATGTAAACAATAGAATGGCATACAGTAGGATGGCGAAAAGACATTTTAATCATATTCCTGATCAGGCTGAGTTGCTTTAGCTTATTTTGTTTTTCCCCCCGTTCTTTTCAGATAAGCAGCAAAGATGAGGACTTTCTGGACCTCTCTGTGGATGTAGAACAGAATACCTCCATCACACACTGCCTCAGGTAAATTAACCGCATGTGGATGCAGAGCGGCATCGGGGCCTTAAGGAAGCAGGACAAAGAGTTGTTGATTGACAGAAAATGAATCATAAACTATTTTGATAATTAACAAAAGTGATTTCAACACGTTACCTTGGGCTCTAGAAAACTGAGATGGACACTATTTTCTGGTGTTTTAAACACCAAACGACTGATGAATTTAATCAGGAAAATATTCTGCAGAATAATCTAAAATGAAAATGCAACTCTAGGTAGGAATTTCGTTCCAAAATGCTGCAGCCTCCCATTTTAAATAATACAAATGTGGACAAACTTTACTAGCATTACAGAAATAGTCACTGTTGAATGGCATTAAGGCAGTTAACTATTTCAAGTATGTAACTTACATTTTCAGAGGTTGCAATAAGCTGTATAGCTGTAAAGTTTTTATTTATTGTGCTTTGAAGAAGTGCTCTTTCCAGGCTTAGGCTGCTGGAATTTCAAGCATCCGTCTGAACTAAAAGAACCAAAATATTTTCTCGTGTGGCTATTTAAGTATTGAAAAAGACTCTCCACGCTGTGTCCTTCAGCAAACTGCATGGGGGGAGTTGCAGTGTTTTGAAATCACATCATTCTTTTGTAGATGTGGACTTCAGATTATACATTGACCAGTTTTCTTTGTGGCCCCTCTCAGAGGTTTCAGCAACACAGAGACACTGTGCAGTGAGTACAAATACTACTGTGAAGAATGTAGAAGCAAGCAGGAGGCACACAAGAGGTCAGTATACGGTTGTATTCCTAATTTGTGAGACGTTAATGCATTTGTGCGTGTGTTTGGGCATTTGGCAATAGTGTCTGACACTCTAATATTTGTGACGTAGGATGCGGGTTAAGAAGCTGCCAATGATCTTGGCTTTGCACCTGAAGCGCTTTAAGTACATGGAGCAGCTGCAGCGCTACACCAAGCTGTCGTATCGCGTTGTCTTCCCCCTGGAGCTCCGCCTCTTCAACACCTCTGGGGACGCCACCAATCCCGAGAGGCTCTACGACCTGGTCGCCGTGGTGGTGCATTGTGGGAGGTGCGTAGGCGCATACACACAGCTAGAAAACAGCGCCTTTTAAAAAAAAAAAAAAAAAAAAAAAAACTGTCTCCACAGCAACCAGAAACAGGCAGACCAATCATTGTTCTAATAATAAAATGCATTTGAACCTTTTGGCACTAGCATATGGTACATTTGAATCTAAATTACATATAACAGGAGGAAACACAGACCCTCATCCGTCATTGTCGAGCTGTGCCGTACTTTTTCTCAGTGCCGGTTTTGACCCAGTGTGAGTGGGAGTTTGTCTGTGTTTATACAAGGTGTTTCCCTGCTTTCCACTCGGCGCATGTTGGAACAGACTTTATGACTCTGAATAGAAGTAATCTATTAAAGAAGTGTGTCAAAGAATTGTATCAAAAGGTCAAAACTATCCGGAGTTGAGCAAGTGTAAATCCAGCCGTCCAGCAGATGTAAATTGTCTGTCTTTTCTTCTCACTTTTGAGCTTCACTCCCAATTCAGTTCCCTTTTTTTGCCTGCGTTATTTTCGGAGCGCTGAGCTGGATCATGAAATTGGTGTCATGATAGTGCTTATGTGATACAGTTTATTGAATACTGCTTCAACTGAGTGAAAAGAACAAATAGTGTGTCCCTGTTTTGACCAACACATCCACGTAACGTATACTCGGACCACAATGCTACATAGATCAAGATACGAGTTCATCATATATACTTTTTATTATTTTTAAACCACTGCAATAGTTGGTGCTTGGTGCTGTTCTTAAGTAGCTTCCCGGTAAGGGCGTCCTGGTTGCTAAATGGTGATGATGTAATTGCAGCATCCAGCTGGGGACTTTTGTTGCATTTTGTTCCCATTTTCTGTTTCAGTCTCTCCTTGTTTCCTGTTTGCGTCTACTGTATCCTGTACAGTAACATTTTAAAACGTAACAGCCATCGACTTAATAGAGCTGATGTTTTTGTTTATGCGGACATGTTTTTAAACCAGTGAAAGACTTTGGGGAAGAACTGCAGATGCAGTGTATATTATCATGCTGTAGCTGTCACACCACAGCAGTTATTGGTTAATTCCTTCATGTACGGGAAAGAAAAAATCCTGTTAGAAATCCAGCTAAGTAAACAGGGCCAGTATTTCCATGAAACATGCTTGCTGTTTTGTCTCATGCTTACACATTACTAATGGTTTTTTCTCACTAAGTGCATATTAATAGTGCCGGAAACGACTGATTAATCAATATTTTGGTTTTAATTCCAGTTCCAATGCTACCTTTAAGGTCCAGAACTAGACTAGTCTGACTCTAGTTCTGGACTGATTTGATCACAGTATATCTATTTTCAACATGTTTGGTTCACAGCTGCACAGATGTTTGTTTCCTTAAAGGCCACGTACACCCACACAGGTGTTTCCACTTCTTCTGGCTGATCAGGTGTTATGCGGATCTGTGCAGGAATTATGTGAAGCCAACAAATTAATGACAACTCAAACAGGTGGACCAAAACTAATAGGAGGGTCAGAGAGATGTCAAACACATTGTTTACCCAACCACACAAACCACAAACTTAAATTCATCCTCAGTACTGCTCCATTAAATATAGTTTATTTCTGTCTACCATTTTTATGATTGCTTTTGTATTACTTTATATTGCCTGCTACCTAGCAGAAGAGAGTTACAAACCTAATTTCACTTTACAACCTTCCTTCTATTTCTTCTCAGTGGTCCAAACAGGGGTCACTACATTGCCATTGTGAAAAGTCACGACTTCTGGTTGCTGTTTGATGACGACATTGTAGAGGTGAGTTCATTTGTATATATGTTTGGTTTACAGCTCACGGTATCCTTTTTATCTTTTTATCTAACCCTACCGAATGTCATCTTTCTGTTCTTGTAGAAAATCGATGCACAGGCCATAGAAGAATTCTACGGTCTCACTTCTGAAATCTCCAAGAACTCTGAGTCAGGCTACATCCTCTTTTACCAGTCCAGAGACTGAAGGTGGAGCCAAGTGTTTCACTGAAAACCAGGAGAAAAAGCTGCATCCCCTCTCTGTGAGGAGCAGCGAACCATGAACGCACCACAGCAGCCCGCAGCATGGTGTCATACCTGCCAGCACAGCTGTAATTCATACTTGCGCTTTTTCGCACTCAGCGCTGCAGCTCAGCCGTGGAAGTTCCCCCTGACGTAACAACCTGTCCTTCCTGCCCCGCCTCATCCCTGTCATCCTCTTCACTCTGGCTGGATGCTGCTGCTGCCGGGACAATGAGACGATGATGAATGAAAACTGTGTCAAGATTGTTTTTAAAAAGATGCTGAATGAGGGTTGTACAGATGTTGGGTTTAAGTGGCGTATTAATTTTTGCCTTGGGTGCGGGGTTGATGGGGTATTTAATAATTCATAAGATGTAATATTGGCCTGGTGTCTTCACCCCCTCACACTGTTATTCTGCACTGGGATTTTCTGAGAGTGGATCATGCTTCTGATCGTGGGTGTAAGGGAGGATGGGTGTTGGTTGAGTGTCCCACTTATGGGGCACACTAGGTTGTATATTTCTACAGTGTACAGGATGGTATTTGTATAAATATAACAATAAGATAATATTATCATTGGAAAATGTTAGACCTTGAGAAGATGTATTAACACTATGGTGCACTTTTGATACCGTTTTGTAGGTGTTGGCAAGTTTAATGTAAGGGTTTGCTTAAAAAGGCCTGTTGTGAAGCAATTATTTTCTGTTTTAAAGAAAAAGAAATAAAGCCAGTAAGATTGAGCCAGGGTGTGCGGTCTTGTCTGTGTCCCACAGGTGCGCACTGATGACTCATATTGAGCTCAACATCGCCCCTTAGCGGTGGTACCTGGTAGTCCTGCTCTCCCGCTGCAACAGGAGCTATTTTTAATTCATTCAGACCCAAAAGGCATGTGCTTTTGGGGAAGGTGGGGACGGCCACACAACACTTGGTCAGCGAAATGCGGCCGCACATATTCACACCAACAAGCCACCCATCAGTTCCTCATCAGCCGAGGGGTCTTGGAGGCCTGCTGCAAGGATGGAGAGATGAGGCAGAGAAGATGGAGGACAGGGGAGAAGGAGGGAGGGGAGGGGAGAAGGTTGGTGACACACATCAGAGTTGCTGTTAATAGCACAGACAGGATCAGAATAGTAGGGCGCCGCAGAGGGAAAGCGAGTCTCTGCATCCAGCATCTTCAAATCTGAAACTCTAGTCGGGCAACACAAAATCACTGAAACTAACAAACATCTCGGCAGTTTGAGCGCGTTGTGCATTTTATACAGGTGACCCGAAATACGCTCTATTATTTGAGGGACGAATGTTGCAACACAGTCATACCTGTGGAAAGAAAGCGTGTTTGACTGTAACAATGAGCGACTACCGGCAAATATAGATACCTGCACACTGCGCACACACACACACACACCCCTATCTTTGTCCTTGAGACAGCATGGACCAGACATTTAGCTTTAACAGAGTTCAACTGGTATCTGTGGGCCAGGCCCATTTGGGACTCCTCCTTCATCATCGACCCCCACCTCCTCCCCTACACACACACCTCCTCCTCTTCTTCCTCGCTTCCGCCGCTGCTCCGCTCGCTGCTCCCTGCACAGCCGCAGTCCACGGCAATGCGCCGTTAACGGCAGAGCCGCTGCGCGCTCTTTTCTTCTTCTTCTTATTCCATCATCCCCGCTTTCAGGCAGAGAGAACCAGCATCCCCCACCCAGACCCCCTGTCCCTCCCCGGGCTGCGTGTCTGTCCGCCGGCGCTGCACCATCCTTATCAATAACATGGAGACGCAAGGCTGTCGTTCTTCCATCTAGACGGAAAGTCTCACCTCACAGAGTCAAGGTAGGCTGGGTGGCGGCGGAGTGGGATTAACGAGCATCCTTTACATGCATGGATACATGCATCCTGGACCCCCCCCCCCCCCCTTCAGCATCCTTCTGCTGACGTGGAGCAACCACTGTGCAAGGTGCAGAAAGGGTAAAGCAGCACCATATGGCCACCAGTGTGAGATGCTTATAGAGACAGGCTATATTTCCATGACGGGTGCGGTATCTTCTGCTGTGGAGAACGGCATTTGGAGAGTGTCTGACAGAACCGTGAATTCCTGCAATTACAATGCAAAGCTTTTGGTTCCTCTTTAATTTCCTTTGTCCATACATTAATAAATAGAGCTCCTCAGGTAACTTATAGGCCTCTGTTGTAATAGCCTAACACTCACTGGGTTTAACACCCAGAGGAAAATACATGTCCTGCTAACTGTCTTCTGCTAAAATGTACATTTTCATTGCTGTACAGGGTTTTCATTATTTACAAAGCGAGACCACCAGAGTGATATAGAGTACAGTTTCTTTGGCGTAGCTCCAAGTTTTGTTCAACAGCAACATAAAGGTTAGTGTGTGCTCCTGCATAATGTGCATTCATAGGCCTACATACAGTACCGCAGGAGTATATATTATGCTGTGGAATGAGTATACAGGTGTTTTAAAACAACAACACAAATCTAGTGGCCTGCACAGAGGTGGTACTTGTCTTTAGTGCATGAAACTGTAAAGCTAAAAAGGTGTTGCAGATTTATTTATGGTTCTCAGGGGATGGTTCCCTGTGGGGTAAGGACTTCTTGCCCATGAAAAGTGTGCATGCCACCAGTGTTTTGTGCTGAATATTCGACTCAGGTATCCCAACAGTGTGTTTGTGTCAATTTCAGACGGGGGGCACAATGAGTGAAGAGCCACCGGTCACTCCCACCTGGCTGACCCCTGACCCCACAGCATGGGCCAGCGGAGGTGGGGGACTGATGGACAACAGCACTAGCCTGGGGACATTCCCAGTGGACTCCCTCCCGCCCAGCCAGCTGCCCCTGCTGGTCAACCCCTGGGACATTGTACTGTGCTCTTCGGGGACTCTGATAGCCTGTGAGAACGCCCTGGTGGTGCTGGTGATCTGGCAGAACCCAGCGCTCCGTGCCCCCATGTTCCTGCTGATTGGCAGCCTGGCGCTGGCCGACCTGCTGGCCGGCCTGGGCCTGGTGCTTCACTTCACCTGTGCCTACCTGCTGCGTTCTGACTCGGCCCAGCTGCTGACTGTGGGCCTGGTGGTGGCCTCCTTCTCCGCCTCCGTCTTCAGCTTGCTGGCCATCACGATTGACCGCTACCTGTCGCTGTACTATGCCCTCACCTACAACTCAGAGCGGACAGCGGCCTTCACCTACACCATGCTGGTGCTGCTGTGGGGCCTCTCCCTGTGTCTGGGCCTGCTGCCGGTCACAGGGGTCAACTGCCTGGCAGAGGAGGCTACATGCAGTGTTGTGCGGCCACTCACAAAGAACAACATTGCTGTGCTGTCCGTCTCCTTCCTGCTGCTCTTCGGCCTCATGCTGCAACTCTACGTCCAGATCTGCAAGATTGTGATGCGCCACGCTCACCAGATCGCCCTCCAGCACCACTTCCTGGCTGCCACACCCCACTACGTCACAACACGGAAGGGCGTGTCCACGCTGGCCATCATCCTGGGTACCTTTGCTGCCTGCTGGATGCCGTTCACCGTCTACTCTCTCATCGCCGACTACACCTACCCTCCGCTCTACACCTACGCCACGCTGGTGCCTGCCACCTACAACTCCGTCATCAACCCGGTCATCTACGCCTTCAGGAACCAGGAGATCCAGAAGGCTCTGTGGCTGGTGTGCTGCGGCTGTGTGCCTGCAAGCGTGGCCCATCGTGCACGGACCCCTAGTGACGTCTGACCAAGCAGACCCAGGTGGGAAGAGAGAGGCGCCCTGGGTCAGCTCTCAAAGAGAGCAGCAGCAGTGGAGTTCAGGGGAGGTGGCAGAGCGCTGTGGCTTCAGTTCTGGTTGGAGATGTTACTGGCAGCCCACCTGGATGGATGGCGTTTTTTTCTTAGTTACAGTTACCATAGGACAAGATATCTCGCTGTCTTCCCCTCTAAAGATGGCCACTGCGGGGGCTGCATCCTGCCCACACCCGTTCAATCCGTGCCACGCCCTTCCTCTGTTCTGCGGAGAGCGCTGAGTGCATCACGTGTTACAGACAGCAGCTGTACATAGAATGTGCATAGAGTTAACGGCACTGGATTTTTGGTTGACACGTGCTTGTTTTTTCTTCAAATAGGGTAGGATTATGAGTTCCGCGCTCGTGTGCGTGCGTGCGTGCGTAAAGGCGCACGGCAGATTAACAAAGCAATGTGTGCGGTGAACACGCAGGCATTTCCACATAATAAAGCCCGTCTGGAGCAGCATCCCGGCGCCCGGCGCTCTGCTGCTGCACTCTGAACGTGCGTCGAAAACTAAACAGCCACGGAGAGCTAAAAATAGACCCGGCGCTCTCTGATCCGCGCCCTGCGTCCTCCACAGACGCCGAGGAAGAAATCAAGCCGCTTCTTCTTCTCCTCGCCGCTCCAGTATTCTTTTGTCTTCATTTTCTCTCGTGGTTGTGCGTGAATGGTTTTTTTTGTGTGTGTGTTAAGCTCGCGTCTGAAGGGTTAAGATAAAGCCCCGGGAGACCCCACCATCATCCCCTCCACCATGTTTGATTATTAACTGAGGCACAAAACCGCCTATCAGATTATGTAACCACCTTATAGTCCTCTTTCACTTACTGAACGGAGATTGCTTATGACTTTTTGAATTGAGATCGCTATATAACCTTTAATTGTAATTTATTCGAAAAAACCCACCTATTTGATATTATCCCCGAAGGAATATTTTAGATTATAAATGAACATGCCTATGATAAAATCACTACAAACATGTAGATAAAAGGCCAAATGACTAAATGAATATGTTTGATCAATATGTGGAAATCCGCAAAATCTGATTTTATTTCCATTTATCAGATTTTTGGGGGGGGGCTCTAAAAGGGCCTCACGCCAACCACATAAAATCTGATCTGCATGCTAGACTCCAGTGTAATTTGCATGCAACCAGCACAGATCTACATTTTTCCTCCCGGAGTTCAGTGTGGGAAGTCACACAGATCACCACAGGGGACGTGTCATGGTACCCTGACGTCATCATTTTGTTTATGTGTCTCGCGGGTATTACATTGAATGAGCCACAATCATCACAGGATGATCACAAGAGTTGCACCCTCTCTGAAAAATGTGGAATCTTTTTTAGATAGTTTGCTGTGTAGTGCAGCTACGTTTGAAGCTCAGAGGCGTTGTCACAGACTTGAATTCAACTTAAAAGTGCAAATCACTTCACCCAGCGGCTGCTCTGAGTTAGTTTATCCAATAATCTTTGGTCTCAAAAAATGAGTTTGCAAACCCAACAAACATGCAGACTAATTCCCCGTTCCTTCATGTCATGCCAGCAATAACTAGCCTGTGAATGGTAGTTATTATTATTTTTAGATGTGAAGCAATACTCAGACAGCAATAACATCCCACCGCGACTTCTTCCTGCAGAGTGGAGCACCATAAAGGCCGCTAGGGTGTGGAAGCGTCTTGTAGTGATAAGGCTCAGTGAGTTACAAGTGATGCTTCAGTGGTGCATAGTGAAATAGGTGGTAGGAGATTCACTCCTGGCATGGGGATCAAATGACTCATATGTCAGGGCGACATCACTGCCTCATTCCTCCAAAATGTTTTTGTTTTGTTCTTTTGACCCAAAAATCGGACTTTGATCATTTGATTCCGCCAGGATGAGATTGTGAACTTGCCTCTACCTTTTGTGAGCATATGAACCGTCCTGAGTGTCCTAACCTCAAGTTTCAGTGTGTGGTTCAGGACTGTGTTTCCGGGCATAGATATGAGCTGCATGGCCTCTGGCTGTGCGTGCGTGCGTGCGTGAGTGTGTGTGTTTGTGATCCAGCAGCTCAGCAGACCATAATTTGTCTCCTTGTATTGGGGGGTGGGGGGAGCAGGGGGGTGAAACAGGTTTCCAGTTGACCCCCTGACCTTTGAGGATAATGCTGCCAGTCTTCCTGTCAATTCTGAGAGAAGTGGCCTCGTTGCGTGTTTGTAGAGCTTTTTTTTTTTTTTTTTGAAGAGATATAGGACTAGGGAAGCTCCAGCACTTCAAGCCAAAGTGAAAGGGACTCTGAATGAACTGGGGTCCTGGTCCTGCTGTGTGTTTCTGTCTCCTCTATATGACTAATACTATCTACTTTAAATCAATGTAGGCTGGTCGAGGCAGGTGTCCTGTTAAGTGACCTCTGAATGATTCTATGAGCTAAAAATGGGCACTTCCAAATACAAAGATAATGCTTCACCTCTCCTTCCTTGCCACCTCCCCTCTCGGTGAGCCTGAGTGAGGCATTTGGGGAGCTCCTCATCTCTCTGGCCTCAGATCAGGTGCACAGTGTTAATTTAAAAAAAAAGGAGGAGGGGGTGACCAAGGAAAGGCGAAAATTTTCTAGGCATTGGAATGTGGCCTGTGTATGTGAACTTGTGCACAGTGTCAAACTGAATCCTGTCGTTATTCGAGGAGCACCAACAGGTCAGACTGGCACATCAGAAAAAACATCAAAAACTCTTATTCCTTTACCTTTGGAGAAAAGTCTATTTTGTTATATTCATTGAGAAGTTCTATTTTTTTCCACTTTAGTCTGGCCTGAAATCTTTCAGATTTTGATGTGTGATATAACGGCGCTGTAAAGGCCTTTTCTGAATGTAGTAATAATGAAATTGTTTAACCGATACCCCCTCCTCTTGACTCATTTGTTTCTGTAAATATGGCATGCTGAAGAGGAGGGACTTTATTTCACCATGCATGGTGCTACCAAAGCCAGTCAAACCAGAGGGTGAGTTGGGTCGCACCATTTTCTGAACGACATTTCTCCACCTCGGCTGTTGATGTAGAATTTCCTCTGTTGGCTTTCTCTTTCCTCAGTTCGATATGCACCAGTTTGTAGAAAGGCTGGTTAAAGGACGATTGAGAGGATTTGGCTACACAGATGAGAGATGTTTGGGGGGGGGGATTGGTACACAACTTTCTCTGATAGGTGAATGTTTTCCTCTTGTACAGCCAACAGTATTGTTGAGGATTCCAACGATTGAACAGGTGTGAACAAGGGCTTTGTATCCAAGAATAGTAAAAGACTGTGATGTTGGATGTAATACTTCTCTGTATACACACACCTGTTAATCTATTGAATGGTTTCACAGTGTAATAGTGAGCAAGTTGTGTACTTGGGGTTATTGAGAAAATGCGTAGCCAATGGCGGGTTGTTAGTTCAGCGGGAGAATGGTTACTAATCTAGAGCTAAACATCAAAACACTCAAGGGCCCGAGAGTGAGTGTGTGTGTGTTTTGGGGGCGGGGGTGGTTGGAGATGGGAGGACGCCACATTTAACAGCATCTTGTGTAGACGTATGCGTAGTTTTCAATGTGAAATGCACTTTATTTTATTGGGGATGAAAATGGCACAACAATTTAAGTATCTGCAAAATGAAACATATAAACGATAATCAACATGCACTAACTTAACTGAGATATTGTAAAGACATTTGTGTGAACGTGGTGTCTATTTTTCCAAGGTGTTAGTTGTACTTTTTATTGCTTTGGTTAGTTCACTCACTTGAGAGATCTTGTTAATTTTGTATTAAAAACAAACATGTGCTGTGCATAAAACTGCTTCTTTGACTATTTTGTTCATCCTCGGCCCCGGCTCTGTGCCCCCCCTTTTTCTCTCTCATCTGTTTCCCTGGCAACTCCCATCTTAACTGTACTGTTACCATGGAAACTGAAGTCTTAAACCAGGTATGTGTCGTCTCTATGACGACAGTGAAATAGTAAAGAGACGTGGCAGCGCTGCCATGATCCTTCATTCATTGTTTTATTTTTCTCTGGGTCAAAGGTTACAGAGCTCACGCTAGCATATACACGACCCCCCCTCCCCTCCCCCACCCCTCCCATACAGCAGTGATGGCTCAATCAATTATATTTATGATCAATAAAACTTTTTACACATCGCCCTCTCATCCATCTTTCCCACAGCATTTCAAACACTCTCCCCCTTCACTCCCTCAGTGGCTTAAACCCATTATCATCGACCGCAGCTCATTACGTCTTCTCTTCCAGTTATTCCCGTGTTAAAAACTCATGGTCTATGGCATATGCAAGTGTTTCAGTAAAAACATTAAAAAAAGACAAGTACATTGGTTAGCTCAAGAGGAAAGTTTCTAACTCTTCTAACGCTCTCAAGCTTCGGCTATACATGAGATAAGCACCTTCGCAGGGCGTCTATAGTGTTATAACAGATAAAGAAACTGCCACTGGGGTGTATTCACAATGCTTTCAAATATATATTTTAACCTGAATGTTAATGTTTTTAAGAGAGTGGTCAGCATTACAGTATATTTCTAGTGTCTTTACAGTGTTTACGCATCTTGAATACACCCCCAGATTTCCATTCAGCTTATATCATCCGACGGCATGTGGTTGTGTGTGTGTGTGTTTTCAGCAACACAGTGTGTGACAACCCGTGGGTGTGGGACAGTGGGCATTCTTTCAAGTGAGTGTGTGTATCTTCAGTGGTTTTCCATTTTTTTGTTTTGTTGTATGTATGTTAATCCGACCAATCGTTCTCCTCCAACTCGGAGTCGTCCTCAGAGTCGGAGTACTCCACAGCGATGCGACGTGACAGGATGGTGGCCACGTCGTTTCCAACTGGCTCCCTCTTAGCCTGCTGCTCCTGCTGCTCTTGCACCTTCTTCAACTGGATGCCTGCAGGAAAATATGGGATGTAAAGCTGTGCTTTTAACTAATATAGTGTCAGAGATGCATCTCAAAAGTAGTTTAACTTTAGTGTTATTTCCTTCATTACAGATTAATTTCTTGAAATTTTACATAAAACATTTTGCATTTCTGTTTAGGGTAAGTGTAAATTTGTTGTAAATGTATAATTTTACAGTGAATTAGATATAACTAATTAATAGTGATAATCAGAGATGTCTTTATGCATTTAACTTTGCGTTGCAAAGCTGCTTCCTAGGTCTACGTTGTCCCAGTGTAGTTATGAATACATGAAGTTTTGCAATGGGAGATTAAAACTGACATTTCAGTTTTTCACTTTAGTATTAACTTCAAATTTTGTGGCTTACTTGATAGGTTTAAACAGGACTTGTTAAAACCTGTCTGATGCTTTTATGTTTGAGAATAGACTACAGTGATAATGCTATGTCCTTATGGTTTTGTATTACCATGTTTCTCCTCATATGAAGATTTTGGTCTTTGGTGGAACAAAGAAACAGGCAAAATATAAAAGTCAATCTTTAAATGTTGACTTGAGCTTCTTAATAATGGTGCTCAAGATGTAAGTAGGCCATTTCATATGGATAATTCCCAATAAAATGTGACAAATATTTGTTTATGGCTATTTGTTTAATTTTAGTGCATTTACAATTAAATTGCTTTAACAAAAATAATTTTATATATAAATAGTTTTTTCAGACTGAATTTTTAAAAAACGTTTTAATTTCAATACTGTGCCTATAAAAAGTATTCACCCCCTTAGAAGTTTTAAATTAATTTAGATCACTTTGTAGAGATCTGTTTCAGGCTCTTTTTTCTGTTGCTCTGTGTCAAAAAAGCCACGTTCAGTCCATTTTGATTCAAAGTTATAAAACAAAACATAAACATGTCCACGGTGGTGAACACTTTTGTTGGTCCTACTGCATTTCTATTATAGGTTGTTTTAAACACACGCACACACACTTCAGCTCTTACCCATACGTATAGCAGCCAACAGGTCACTGCGGGCATCGTTGACCACTGTGGTCTCAGCAGCTGCAGAGGAGGACATCTTGTGGGTGGTGGAGTGGGAGGACCCAGCTGGAATGGGAGGAGGTGGGGGACCAGGGGGAGGTGGAGCTGCATGGGCTCCAGATACAGGTGGTGGAGGCGGAGCGTAGCCACCAGCACCGGGCATCGGCCCAGGAGACATCGGACCTCCGGGAGGTAAGGCAAAGGCTGTTTGGGCGGATGGGATGAGAGGGGCTGGAGGGGGGAGGGGAGGGGGACCAGTGTTGGCATAGCCATCCATACTGCAAGAAAGAGAAAATGAATGAGTTACTAATTCTAGCAGTCTGTACTCAGGTTTGCTTTCACAAGTACAGTCACCAGTGTTTGAGAGTGAAGCATTAAGACCCACTAGGTGGCAGCATTAGCTCAAAGGATTCAAGTATGAGCCTGTTCTGGATTGTTCAATTGTACAAGATACCACTTAAAGCTGCAAAATAGTGTAGCAGGAAAATAATTTAATTTCAATATGTTGCCACTATAAAGTCAACTAGTGCCTCCTTTGCACAAGTAGCTTCTGTCTCCTGGATTAGTTTTTTGTTGTCCTGGGTTTGTTATTTGTGTCCTTATTTTTGCTTTTTCATTTCTAAACAGCGCACTTTTGTGCATAACAAAAAACACCTAAATCTGTCAAATTCTGGATTGTATTTTTTACCTGTAGTCCATTGGTGGAAGGGACATGGAGCCACCGTTCATAGCCTCAGTGGGTGGAGGAGGCAGTGGGACATGGTGGTGGTGGACACGGCCCAGTGTCCCGCCCTGATAGGCCATCATAGTCCTGCCTCTATTATCATGTTCACCGCCTCCACGAGCGGCATGCCCTGCAGCCATCTGGGCAGCCAGGACGCTGGGCGGTGGGCCAGAGTAGGTGTGGGCGTGTCCAGCGTGGTTCATGGAGTTGGGGTAGTGGTGCTGATCAGGACCGTGACCCCTGATGGAGACAGCGGGAAGAGGAAAGAGAAGAAGGTGAAATAGAAAAAAAGAATACAGCACACATACATACCCTGCATCTAATGTTTCCTAGAAGAATTTAAGTGACCTACCTGTTCTCAGGTGACATTGAGCCCTCAGAGGAAGCCCCTCTGTCTCGGTGTATGGTGTGTCGATGGTCCGGCCTCAGCTCTTTGTCCAGAGCCATCATGTTCCACTCTTGCCGACGGTTCCTCGCCTTTCTGACCTTCTTCACCTCCCTCTGTAACGTCCCATCCACACAACGCCTCTGCTCCTAAGAGTGAGAGAGAGAGAGCTCAGGCTATTATGTTGTGTTAAAATAAAACTAAAGAATTAGCTCCACTAAGAAGTAACACATTTTGTGTGGCATGTACGATATTAAAACTGAAACTAACCTGAAAACAATATTTGGTTATTGACTATACTAATACTAAAAATCTAATTTGTAAAGTTTGCATTACATTGGACAGGACAGCAAAACTTTGAGGCTAACAGACAAGTTAAATCTCAACATTTGACCAAAATAAACTGTAATGGTGTATTAAACAATAGCATGATCTGTGAGATCCTCATGGACAGAACTGTACCTTCTGCTTCCTCTTCTCTTTCCTCTTATCCTCAGTGTCCTGCAGCATCTTTTCCTTCCATAGGTCAAAGAAGTAGGAGGGATCAGTATAGAACTTAAGTGCTTCCTTGTGGTCATCCCTACAGACAGAGTTATACAGATGTATTTGTTTAGGCAGAATGACATGGTAGAGAACAGGGAAGTATTTCTGGCTCAGCGTATCTCTGGGAAGACTAAGTTGGCTATAAAACATGTGAAGCTATGAATATTGCAAAAGTGGCTGATGGAAGAACAGGGGTGAAATTATGAGTGAGGGATTCTGAATTTTTATCACAGAGACAGCGTAACTGGAAACGACAGGATGAAAGGGTGAAACGGCAGAGAAACCAGGAGAGAGTGCGCTATGTTGTCAGGGTTAGGAGTTGGATTCCCACTGGGGCCTGCCACGCTAAATATGTAATGCACCCCAGAAAGCATAGGTGATAAAAACGAGCAGCAGCAGGAAATAGTACCAAATGTGATGTTTCACTGGGAATGTCAGTCAAAAACGAGCAGCCAAAATCAAATCAAGAACAGTGGATGACTTTAAGTGTTACTGTCAAAAAAGTAGAACACAAGGTATGGATATTTGAAATTGAATAGATTTGCCAACCTGTACGAGGAGAGGATGCTGAGGGGTGGAGGCTTGTCACTCAGATTGTACATCTCTACAACGGGATTGGGCACGCTGCTCTTGGACACCACCTGCTGGTCCTGGGTGGTGGAGCTCTTGAAGGCTTTCCTCATGTTGATGTCTTGCAGGGAAACTGGGAACATAAAAAAAAGAGGAAGAGAAATGATCGGTCTGCTGGAAAGAGGAGGAAGGAAGGAGAGAAAGACAAAAGGCTGAAAATATGAGACTGGCAACACTTGGACAATGAGCTCTAACATCTGACCCACCTTCTTCTACGGTGGAGTCCAGCTGTGTGACCTTGACAGCCAGCCGGTCAATGCGGTCCTGGAGAGAGTTGGCACGCAGGTAGAAGGTGTTGGCCTCATTAAACAGCTCGCCGAATATGTCCTCCGCATGTTTACCTAGAAGGGAAAAGTAGAAAGATGGAAGATGTAATCATTTTCCGGAGCCCAGTAAATCTCCACAGAGACTGAAGTACAATCAATACAATGGTAATGTGACACAATGTGAAACTAGAGTCTTGAGTCTTTGTGAAGGAAATGGCATCACATACGGCTCCATATACCACATTCCTCATTAATAAATGAATCTGCACTGACTGCATATTGTTCGTTGCTGCCCTGTTATTGTTAGTCTACTGACCAGGATTGCCAGTTCAAAGCCCTAAACCATCTGTAAAAACTTTAGCAGGGAAAGTAAATAACACTCTCTCCCTTACATCAACAGCTGCTGTTGAAGTGCCATTAAGCAATGCTCAAAATCCCATTACAGTACTGTTGGTGTTTAGTGATTAAAAAGTACAATACAGGTACATTTCACACTCCTGAACCTACCTCCATATTTATGAACCCATGGCTACCCTCCAGATATTTACATATATGGACTCAGAGACCAGAGAAGCAACAGGCTAGTCATCGTGAACTGAGCGTCAACGCAAATGTCATTGCTGCCTGCTGAGACTCAAAGACTAAAAGTTGTTGAACACAGGGAAGGGGAGTTGGAAAAAAGCAGGTGTTAGCATGGTGTGTTAGTTCAGAATGGATCACAGCATTTTTTTACATTTAATTGGATAACAATTACTTTGGACCAATTCACCAACTGGGTTCTTAACCCTGTGTTTTGGAGAAACAAGCCTGAAAAGTAACGATGACCCTGCTCTGAAATGGGTTTTAGTAACAGCCAAGGGAGGAAGTAATCCACATTAAAAGTTGTAAGTGTGACACGACTGTTAGAGCTATAAACTAGGTGTCTAAACCCAGGGCTAATGAGTGTACAAGGCTTTGCCCTACAAGACTGTTAAGCTGGGCAGAACGGAAATGGAAGGACTAGCATAAAAAATTCCTTTCTTGGATGTCAAAAGGGTAAAAAATATCCAGAATAGTTTCAGTACTGCTCTAATAACATTGTTTAATTATAGAGCAGTGTGTGTAAAAAGGTGGTATGGAAACTCGCACAAACACACGCTAAGGGCTATTTGTGTCCCTCCTGCTGACAGGATGGGCTGCAGGAAAAATATTTAGAGGAAGGAAGAACCACAGATCCGGCATGCTGAGCCCAGTCAACTCTGACCTCTCTAGGGAATTCTTATGGTCCACTCAGACACAAACATGTGCACACAGAGTGTATGCAGCCTGTAGATATACCCCTCCAGGCCTATAAGGGCATTTATATGTATATATAGCCCACACAGCTGCTGATGAAAGGCCCACTCCCAACTCAGAAACGTGACACAATAAGACAGACAGAGAATGGATATGAGTGGGCCAAAAACTAGAGCAGCAAACACAGTTAGGGCTACATGACTTTCAGCGTTCATCTATGTGCTGTTCAGACTACACAACTTGCCATCTTATCACAGAAGTCTTGAAGTCATTGTGGGTCACAGACACTACACAAACTGACAACGGCTCTGTCACCTGACACTGGTCTCCAAACCACGTTTTTTCAAGAAAACACACATGAAATGTGAAACGGACAATGACGCGAACCTACACACGAAACAGCTGTTGTTTGTTATTATAAAGATACCAATTATAAAAAGAAAGAATATGAATGAAAGAATGGACTAGCACACGCAGGTAAGCAGGGATCATCCGTGCTACAGAGAGAGCTGGAGCTGAGTAAAAAGTGTTTTGCAGAGAAAAAGAAGCTGCCTGCTCTCATTGGCTGGATGTGGATGTTGAGTCGGCCGACCCTTCCAGATATTTGGCATGCTAGATATCTGGCTGGCATCGGCGATGTGTCAGAAATGTGTCGGGGAGCCGTTTTGATGCGCCGTTGTGTAGTTCACCCCTAACAACTGGTGACCGCCGATCAATCGCTGATTTACCCCTGATCATAGCCTGACGGTCGCCGAGCTCTCCGACCGGGCTTAACATTGTGTAGTGTGAACTAGGCTTTAGTGTGAGAGAGGATAAGGATAAATGGGCGAAGGGTAACTGTGAAATGACAACACATAACACACTGTTGACTGGTTATGAAATTAGGACATGGGACTGGAAGATGGACTGGAAGATTCCCAGGGTGCTGCAATTACTTTGTCTAATGCATTTACAGTGAGCATAACAGTCCATATAAAACACACACCCATCCAGTCATACATACAAAAGCACACACACACACACACACACACACACACACACACACACACACACACACACACACACACATACACACACACACACACACACACACACACACATACAAAACACACACACACACACACACACACACACACACACATCCCACATACAAAAGCACACACACACACACACACACACACACACACACACACACACACACACAGTCTCTCTGCACACAGCTGTCCAGATAAGTTTATTTTTGCAGAGCTATCTGAAAGGATTACATTTCAACCCTCCACGTTTTTAGTGCAAGGCTGCTGTAAGTATGCTGCTAGCCCAGTGACCCCAGGCCCTGTGCCATGACAATCCCAAATCAATCATAGCTTCTGGGTTAATGATGAAACCATGTGATCTTGCCCTGCCACAAAGGCACAACTGTCACACTGAGGTTGGTGGGGTTAAAGCCTGAGGACGCTGTAGTTTCAATCTGTCATGCAAACCTCTATTTGTGTTCTTGAGGCTTTTAGGCAGCTGTTTTTCTTCCTGCAAAGACTACACTGTGCGCATGTGTTTGTCTGCATGAGTGTGTGTCTTACTCAGACTGCTGAGCTGACGGATGATGGCAGAGAGCGTGTTGTTCATCACACACTCCAGCTCGCTGCCAATGCCCTCGGGGAGCTCCCCCCGGCAGAGGTGACGGGGCTCGATGTTCCGCTTGACCAGCGGCATGGTGAGGGCCTCACACCGACACAAACTGCAGGGGAAACAAGGGGACACACACTGTGTTAGACACCGGTACCCTGGTTAGAGAGACTGTCTGTGATGGAGAAACCAGCAGACCAGATGCCAGCTAACTGCGTCCGGTCTGCTGTCCATGACAGCATGAAAGCAAGACAGGCAACCTCCACCGGCTGTGGACATACACACATCTGCCATAGAGCTGGGAAAAATATTTGTCAATATATAACAGAGAATGAGATTGTAGGCTAGATAAAATTGATTGTTTAGTCCAAAACTTGAAGGTATTAAATTTACTATCATTGAAGACTAAGAAAATCTGCAAATATCTACATTTCAGACGCTGGAATGAGAGACGTTTTGGCAATTTCGCTTAAAAATGACTTAAACCTATCAAAAAAGTCCCCAAATAATCTACTCATTGATTAATAATTTCAGCCATAGTTTAAATGTCATCTTTTCCTGGTCTCAAAGCCTAATACAGCTAAATTATATATATATTATAATTATATATCGTATAAAAGCACTAATAAACAAAATCAAAATGTAGTTTGAATCATTATTGATTCCAAGGTACTGAGCTGAAATGTAAAAATGCTTGATTTGCCAGTATCACCCAGCTCGACTTGACAAGTGATGATAGTGAACAAGAAGTTATAAGCCAATGCAATAACCCTGCCATAAATATTACTTCCATGTTTCAGGTCACGCCCTGTCTGTAAATTCATTTATAGAGACACCATTTTTGCAGGTGCAGTTTGCGTTGCTGTTATTGTTGTAGTAAGGGACATTATTAGAAGGAGTTTCCATTTTATGTGAAAACAAAGAAAGCAAGGGTGAGCGTTGGCCAGAGAACAGACAGTGATGACCAACAGTGTCCCAAAGCCAGAAGACTTGTGGCGACCAGCACAGAGATTAAAGCATTAGGGAGAGGAAGATACAGGGTGCCAGCTAATCCCAGGCTGGCTTGTGACGGGCCCAGCTGGAATCCTGACACAAACGGAGATTCGTGGATATGGTCAGACAAACACCAAAAATGCAGAAAACAATGAAGCACACCAAGATCTAATGGGAATTTACATAAATCAATGCACTACTGTTGAACATGAATAAAGATCTCCACATTTGAGACACATTTGAACTGTCTTGGCTTTAATCAGACACTCTAAACTCTCTGTAGTTCAAAGGACTACAGACAATCACTTGAGGCAGGAGAAATCCCAGGGTGCATCAGAGCAGCCATCTTATCGGAGCTTCTTCCTGCTTCCTGTTTTTGCGGCCTTGGCCTGGCTCCTGTTTCCTGGTCCTCCCTGTGTCACATCTCCCCTTCCTGTCCAAACGCTTGGCTCAAGACGCAAGTGGGAGAATAGACGTGGGGACAGATGGAAATGTGCACACAGCCTTTTCAACACAAAAAACTATTTTTAGATTTGCCAATCAAATGATTGATTACAGTTCCAGAGTTTTTACTGTGCAGCTACGCCAAAAATAAAATCCCATCAGAGAAGAACAGGTTGGAGAGACACGGGAGCTCTGGCAGTATCGCAGAAGGCTAATAATAGCTGACAGGTATTTGATGGACCTTGAGGATATTGATTTATTATAACAAGAAATTTAATTTCAGAATAAGAATCGGATTTATTGCCAAGTTGTTTTTCCACATACAAGGAATTTGTTTTGCTGACCAGGTGCACAACAACAATATAAATATATAGATATCTAAAATTTGATGGAAAATAAGTTTTAACAACAACACATATGCCTTCTAAGTGGCTTAAAATATTTATCTTTTATTCTTTGTGAAAAATGATCTCAAGAGACCAAATAAAAAGGTGAGGTCACATCATCAATACAATAAATCACCAACAAAGCAAGTGGCAGTGCAGTGCTATCAGTGTCTCAGCAGGGAACTACTGTAAATACAGATCGTGTCACTGCAGCTGTCCAAGACAGAAAAGAGACACGTCTGTTCACTGAGGCCCGTTCCCACCAGCCGAGTCCTCATTGGGCCCTGTTTTGTCAGCTAGCGACCCCCGTGCAAACCCAAACAGCCTCATGCCAATAAGAGAAAACAAAGGGTGAAATTACACCATGTGCTGCCACAAAGGACACTGAATACAGTCAGTAAGGACTGGTTTGGATCAGAAGAGCTCCCTGTATTTAGCAGTCAGCGTAAACATTTTAGAAACACTGTGCTTCTTGCAGCATGGGATGGAAAGGGGGTGATGCAAATGAGAAGATTGCATGTTTTTGCTTTTGCTGGCTGGCTGGCACGACAATCACATCAATGAGGCGAAATAATGAGCGGCAGGGGAGGTTGGGGGTGGGGTGGGGGGGCAGAAGGAGGGATGTGCGTCGTCTGCTTGTTGTGAGAGACGGGGGGTGAAAGTAGAGGCAAAGACGGGCGCATGAGAGAGACAGCAAGTGGGGCTAGAGTGTGTGACAGAAAAGAGAGAGTGAATGAGACCGTGTGGGAGAAAAGGTTGTGTGTAACATTAAGGGGTGGACGAAATGTGTGTGTGTGTGAGGGAGAAAGAGTGTATCGGGTGGGGGGAGGGGGTAGCAACAGGGACCTCGGGGAAGCCACTGAAAGGTTCCCGGGACAATAGAGCTCCGTTCACACGGCAACAGCACTAGCTCTCCCATGCATCCTCCCCCTCTCCTCCTCCTTCTCCTCCTCTTCGACCTTCTTTAGCCCCCACCCCCCCTGCCAGTACTCTTTCAATGAAAACATAGCAAGCAAGCGCTCCTCCCTCATCCTCCACTCTGGGGGAAAGACACGGGTGAGAAAGGGAGAGTAAAGCCTGGACATGAACCCATCTCACCCACAACACCAGAGAGGAATGGATTAGCTTATGCGATCAAACGGAGATTCTCGCTCTCGTGCTTAGTGTTTCTCACTCCTCCTTTTTTTGCCATGTGTTTGGATGCTTAATTTATTACAACCTAACATGCATACGAGGGCATTCAGCCATACAAACATGTACAAACCAACGCAAACACACCATGTTGCCTCTCAAATGTCCCCACTAGCAGCAATTTAACAGTCCCATCAGCGGAAAAAATGTCTTTGAGACATTAGGGCTGCATTCAGGGTGAAAGACATCTGTACACCAAAGCAAACACAGACAGAGGAGGCCTTTACTACAGATGTGAGAACTCCATTAAGAGCTGAAAGGGGAGTCATTACCAATTTATGAGCTGAGTACAGCTTCTTGTGTTGCAGGCTGTTTTGCTTGTTCTGATGTTATGAATAATTCAGGCTGGATTACGTCAGGTCACACTGCCCTGAATATGATGTTAAAAAAATCTGCTGTGTGACACTGCGCTTGTCCAGGAATGTCTCTTCGTCCCAATATTACCTAGGGGCACCCGTGGTGAAACATTCATGGTGCTGTGCCTGTGAGGAACTCTGGGTACAAGTCTCATAACTGGGTGCCGACTAGGAAAGGGAGCTCAGCCACAACTTTCGCCTTCTTTCTGTAGTTACACATACAGAATATCAGTCAGATAATTCAATAATATTGTTTATTGACTTTTAGTAAAGTCATAACCTGATGACATAATCTTATGTTGTAAAAAAAATGTAATTAGAAACACTTGTGACTGAAGTGTTTTCATTTAACACATAAGAAGAAGAGTTTGGCTCAACTTCAATTTAATTATGTAATATGTGATTTTGCGTACTTCTGCTATATTGTGATATATAGTGTTATATGAACATGTTCAGTGTCCCAACCTTAAGAATCCTAATGGTGACAGTATTGAATTTTCATTCATTTTTTGTATTAATTTTGCCATGTTATAGATTATATTACACCATAATCAATTAATCTATAATGTTGTCGATTAATTGATGGATAGTGAATTGGTAGTTGCAGCTCTAAATATTGCTATGAACATAAGGTAAGCTGGCATGATACTATCAGTATCTATAACGAAGTTGCCATCGATCATATTTGATTTGATTGATATGAACATTTACTTTGGATTTCATGTTGACCAGTTTTAAAGGCTATCACATGAATGTCATGCTAAAGTTATTACAATGAACTATTACTTAAAATTCCCTGTTAATCCTCACACACACACGCTCCCTTTCTCTCTTTCCCACAGGCTGATTCACGCACATCCACAGAAACGCACACACAGACACACACAGGCGTAAACTAATGGCAGCCGCGATCAATCACTGTTCCGCACCGTCGCTTCCCGTTACTGATGGATTGACCCACATCTGTTCATCTAACCTCGGTTCCCGTGCATTTCTGCCAGTTTTAATATTAAATTTAACCAGCCGTTTTCTCTCTAGGTGCCTTACACACCGATTAACACGCCGGTGTACAACCAACACCAATTATCTGGTCAAAGTTACCCAGTGGCGGTAGAAATGTAATTTTTTTAAGGCAGGTTTCGTCTACGGAGAGTCCGTTTATTATCCTCAACTGGGGGTCCGCTCCAACTGACCACTTGGTAACGTTAAGCTAGCTTATGTCCAGCGCTCGAGTTCTTAGTTTGGACAAATGAGACTACAGTTAACAGAAACAGCCACACAAATTCCCCCTTTAAAATAAAATATATTATTCATCGTTGTAAAAAGTATCATAAGGCCCTCACCAGCACTTGAAATATTAGAAGAAATCAGCCAGTCCGCATGTCCCGTTAGATACTTCTATTAGCTCTTCCATCCTGTGTCCCCCTGCCCGTCTGGCCACTCCGGGGAAAAAATCCTTTGAGGACGGGGTCGCGCCCACTGGTGACATCCACCAATCAAATCTCAAAACAGGGGCTTTAACACATGATGGGCGTCCACATCAACCAATGGCATCTCTGGAACGGATCGAGTGACAGGGAGACTCCCCAGCTCGGTAGCGCTTTTGCGAATGGAGGAGGCGGGCCTATGGTTGGGCGTTGCTGAAGAGCTTAACTGGGTGTTTTTTACGCAACTGGGTCCCATTCCTTGTCCAAATTATTAGGGTTTTAAATTCATCTCGGGGCCTGTGGGGATTTTGTAGACACGAAAACCTATTTAAACAACGAGTAATATCAGTAAATTGCTGCGAGATAGAGACACGCTTCAGGCAGTGATGCTGAGAATGAGCTGGGATAGTATTGTGTAACAGACTGAAATAGCTGGGCCAGCATCCTGCAGGAAGAGGTTCAGTGAGAGGACTTACTAAACTTAGATCTGTGTTCTACTCTCCCAGGTGTGTCTGCAGATAAAAACAGTCTGCGGGAGATGGTGGTGATGGCGCAATGGATGAGATACCTGCCTTTGATGTGAGAGACCTGGGTTCAATCCCCCACTGTGACCCATTCACCATTGTGTCCCTGAGTAAGACACTTAACCCTCGTGCTCCAGAGGCGTGCGACCTCTGACATGTATAGCAATTGTAAGGTGCTTTGGATAAAAGTGTCAGCTAAATGGAGAAGACAGTTATTATTGAAAATGCAGTTCTATTTCTGGACAAGGGGAAAGCCGCAGCCTGTAAGAGTTGTACAGTTGTCAGTATAATATTGATTTACCCATGAACCCCAGAGTACACATATGTATGTGATCATGGAATAAAGTGGGCCTGTTCAGACAGAAAAGACACGTTGGCATACTTGGACTTAACAGTCAGTGTAAGACTTTCAGTCCAAGTTTGAGATTCGGTGCATGTAACGGACATACTTTTTGATAATTAATGGTAATTATTCAAGCAAATTGTGATTATAAATTGAATATTTGTAGGTTTTGAACTGTGCCAGATGTCACCTTGGTAAACTGTAAACTGTTTTTCACTATTTTCAGATGTTTTTTTTGACCAAATGATGAATTGATTAATCAATAATAAAAAACAATAATTTGTGGGAGCCCTATTTCATACTGTATACCAGCACTGCAACTAAGGATTATTTTCACAGTCAATTATTCATTGATTTGTTCTTTGGTCTATAAATTGCATATCAGTCTTTCCTAAAGTCCAAGGTGTTGTAGTCAAATGTCTTATTTTGTTCACACCCCAAAAATATTTAGTTTAATGTCATCGAGTAGTCGCCAGAAAATATTCACATTTAAGAAGCTGGAATCAGTGAATTGTGAAAATGATTAATTATCAAAATAGTTGACAACTAATCAATGAATCACTGCAGTTCTACTGTATACTTCTTACAGTCTGCTGTCTCCAACAGCACGCCAAAATATTATTATAAGTAAAGATTGAAAAATGACCTTGTGAGTTTTTGGTGACACTGGGTGTTGACACAAGTGCAAAGACTGATCTTATAAACCTGTTTCTTCCAGCAATTCTTTCCACGTTTCCTGACAGCTAATGGGATTTGTATGAATTATGCAGCTTTGTGAAGTAGAAATGGCAAAAGAAAAGAAAGATAAAATATCATTAAAGTTTGGTTGAGTTTGCATCACTCATCAGCTGCACACACACACACACACACACACACACACACACACACACACACACACACACACACACACACACACACACACACACACACACACACACACACACACAAAACAGCAACAATATTAAACGTTTTCACTTTTATTGTCAGGATACTTGCTTCATGTAAAATATTTCAATACAATACAGTACAATGCATGTTCCATCTGCTGTCCTCCATGCGATTGGTTGGTTTTGTCTTCATGTTGTAAGGCTTGCCCACAGCATACAGCAGCTGAGCATCAGTAAGCTGCTTTGCCACTCTTACCATGAAAACAAAACCATGAAACAGATTAAATTATAAACTACTAAAATCTTTTTTTGTCATCTTTTTTTTTGTCCTTTCTCAAAACCCTCAATGCCACAGCTGTGGGGGCTACACATCCTCCCAGCATGCTTCACAGCAGCTCAGTTCAGTCCTCTGCTCCTCACAGGGCCACACACACACACACACACACACACACACACAAGCACAGTTGGACAAGGAATCTGTCCAACTATGTCAGTCACATAGCAGCTTACAGTCTCATCCAAGCTTTGACGGGAAGAGGGTAGGGCGTGGTGTGGAGACAGGTGGAGAAGAAGAGGGAAGGAGACGACACAACAGACAAAATGCGTCTCCCCCACAAACCAAGCCATCCTTTCTTGGCTGGTTTGATCACGTCCGAGTAACAGAAACAGGTTGGATTCCACCACAGTATCCATTCTTCTCATCCTCCCGCCTCGCGTTTCACCCGTCAGGTTTTGCTCTATAGCGGTGTTTCTAATACTGGGGTTACTTGAGGAAGTGTAGACTGTTGTCATTCTGAGCTAACAGACTGCTGCAGACTAGGTGCCCTCTGTGGGTTGCAGATTTGTTTCCTTGGACATCCCCACATCCCTCAGTACATTCGTTCAGGTGGGCATTGTGAGGGCTGTGTATGCGTGTGTATTTATATGTGTGTGTATATATGTATATACTCAGTGTGTGTGTGTGTGTGTGTGTGTGTGAGTGAGTGAGAGAGGTGTCTCAGTAGCGGTGGGTCTGGTGGGAGTACTGGGGCGGCTGTTGGGAGGTAGAGGAGTATCCCATGCTGCTTTGCGGCAGTGATGTGCTTGGTCCAGGGTTCTGGTAGGCAGCATGTGGATTGGAGCGCTGCAGAGAGGAAGACAACAAGTTGTTCATTAAATCCTATTAACTACACACATTGGTTCGACATCAAACGCCAAGCTAACATGAGAGAGAGGGGAAAAGACAAGAGCTGTCAATCATACTGCAAAAAATGAAACGTGGAACAAATAAAGGTCTGATTACTGCATTGCGTACAGGAGGTAAAACTTAGGTGGCAATAACATACCACTACACTGGATGCCAGCTGGTTGCATGGACTCGCATGGACTAGACATAGTACGTAACGGCATCAAAGCATGTGACAATGTTAACTGTCATTGGGTCTTTATACATAAGTTAGTTTCCATATTTCATACTGTTTGGGGACTGTGGTATGTGTGCATGAAAAAGCAGAAGTTGAATTTTCTTTGTGTAAAATATATATTATAAATGTATTTCCATTACAATTTTGTGTAAAAATTGTTTATCATAAAAGCAAAATCCTACCTTGAGAGAGCATGTACTGCAATACTTAACTTCATAATTTCAGAAACTGTGAGTGGGAATAAGAGACGGGTGGTGAGCGGACCTACCTGGTAGTCTGAGGTCATGATGAGGCCACCTGAGGTAGTGGTGGGCGGGACAACTCGCACTTTCTTCAGAGGCGGGCCCTGGGCGTGGCTGTTGTCAGGGTTGCCAGTGTGCCCCGCCCCATTCGTGTGGTTGTTTCCCTGTTGCTGCTGCTGGTTCTTCTGATAGTCCAAAAAAAAAAGAAAAAAAAAGAATAAAACAAAGACTGTTGTACCTGTATACACTATAAACAATTATCAGCCCTATTGTGTATTTACTACCTCTTTGCAATGTTTCCCGTTACCTTTCTGTAAATATTCATGTTGAATGACTGTATGTGTTACACGGATTTCTTACTTTGTCTGCCTTGTCCTCTGGCTCCTCCTCTGTCAGGAACTCCCTCTTGGGGTAGGGGATCTGGCAGCCTGCAAACACACTGGAGAAAAAATGCAAAGAGTCAACTTCAAAGATTTATTCCCATGACTCTGAGCTAATCAGCTAAGGGACTTGTTCAACGTGGTAGACGTTCCTAGGTCATGTGACTTAAGCTAAGTAGTAGCACAAGATAGATATTTAGGGGTGTGTGTGTATGCGCTGTGACTGACTCAGAGGTGGGCAGGGGCTCCTCCAAAAAGTAGGGGTCCTGCATGGCCTGCTCAGATGTGATTCTACGGATGGGGTCCATGGTCAGCAGCTTCTGCAGCTTTAATCAATTGCAAACAATGTAAGCCTCAAACAAGAAACCATTAATAGAAGTGGGATAATGACAAAGCGCGCCTCATTTATTGTGGAGAACCACACTATAGTTGCATTGTTGTCATGGATTTGAAATCATAATATCAATAAGTTATGAAAATGTAGTACATGGAGTTGTCCTTTAACAGAGGCGTTTAAACTCACCAAGTGGAATGCTTTGCTGTCTGGTTTGACTTTATGTTTTTCCATGTACTTTATAAGGCTGCAGTTTGTGTATCTGTGAAGGAGAAGGAGCAAATTATGTTAATATCATGCCTTCAGTACGATTACCACATACAAGAATAGCAGCGCTATTACATGGTTAAGTCAGAATTGTCTACAACGTACAAAAATGTATTTTTTGCCTGCAGACACAGCACTTTGCTTTGCTCTGACTTTGTTTCTGATCTTTAAGAAAAGTAGGACAGTGGTGCTCTACAGACTCACGTGTTCCTCCTAAAGTCTTTCATCAGTGTGGAGTGTTCTGGCATCTTTTTGATGTCCTCCCAGTCTTTATCTGTCAAATGAGAAAAAGACAGGATTACACCATGTCACACCCTCCCTCCCGTCATGAACAGATTATTTAGGCTGGAGGCTCTGGATTACAATCTTTTTTTTAAAGCAGAAGTTCTCTTGATTTTCGCCATAACAACCCTTTGCTAAGAGCAAATTGAGCACATTTTTATATATTCATATCAATTATATCTATGTTTTTCATTTAGAACCTCCATAAATGTATTTGCCAAACGTTGCAAAAGAATTATAAAATTTGCCCAGATGCAACATTTGTAAGGTTTGGTTTCCTGCAGAATGAAAACAAAATCCAGCAGACAGACTGGTGATTTACACGAGCACAGCAGCAGAGATGGTAGGAGGAGAAAAAAAAAAGATCAGAAGCAGCTTAAGTGAACTGGAAAATATAGGCCCAAATGTAGCGCTGCAAGTAAAAGTTTCTGTTCTGCTGTGACTTGGCTTCATCTATCGTGTCAGTGGATTGATGTTTAGAGCCCACAGACCACATTACTGCCTCAAGAAAAAGGAGCAAGAAAAGACCAGGGAGTAATCTGCCTCTGCTAGGAACGGAAAATGCTTATCTTTCCACAGCATTTTTCCAATGAAAAGGCAACACCGCAGCTGTGGCATTTTGGTATAATGGCAGCTGAACACCATAAACATAAAAACATTTGGAAAATCAGAAGTACTTATTTCCTTTAATGTCAAATAACACATCCCCTTTTGAAGCAATTCAGCTATATTATTAACAAATCAGCACATATTTAACGATTTAAAATGGAGCATTTTCCCCCCATAGTCTGGCAGCATTGGACTCTCACCAGCAGGGAAGCCCATGACGTTAAAGATGCGGTCAAGTTGGTCATGGTGGTATGGGTTACTGGTCTTGATGTCCTCCTGGCGACAGTGGAATATGGGCTCAGACGTCAGCAGCTCCGCAAAGATGCAGCCAATCGCCCAGATGTCTGAAAGAAAAGCAGGGCACACACGATCACAAGCTGTCACTAAAATCAGTGGTTGCACATGTTCACACATGGGAAGCTGCGCTTGGTGTTTCCCAAAACTCACCGATGGCTTTGGTGTAGTGCCGAGCCCCCAGCAGTAGTTCAGGTGCTCTGTACCAGAAGGTGACCACCACAGGGTCGAGATCGGCTAAAGGCTTTAGCGGTGAATTGAAGAGACGGGCAAACCCCATGTCCGCTGCAGGATAGCCATCATAGTCAGTAGAGTAATGACAAGCTTAAACAATAAATGACATCATATTTTAAAAAAGGAGACATTTTACATACCAATCTTTACTCTTCCCCTCTCTGGCCCTTCCCCCATAACTAAAATATTAGCTGGTTTCTGAGGGGAGACAAGAGACAGATACACAATTGTATACATGTTGCCACAATTCAAATATTAAAAAAGATAATGACCACAAATTAACTGAGATTCATTCCCATAAGGTTTCTGAACTACTACTGTCCTGTAAATGGTGTGTAATCAAAACTCTTTGTTGCTTCCCTCTAGTGGACAAATAAACCCACTACATCCCACAAGAGAAGGTCTACCTTTTCTCATTTTATAAATAAGTTTATTTTAATGGTAAATAATCTGGCATTTAAATTGAACTGTTAAAATCTCTAAACCAGCAGGAATAATATTTAGTTATTATCTTACAGAACTAATAATATTATAATATTGATATTAATCTAGAATTAAAATTCAGCTTTTACGGAATAACCTTCCACCAGAACAACTATTACAGAACAAGTGTATCCAAGCGGACACAACAAACCTGTTTATAAATCACCATTAACCTACATACAAAAATAATGTAATACATGTGCAAACAGGTAGCTATGGGCCATAACTAAACAGATGCAGACTGACTCAGCTTCACATGCATTTGACTTGCCTGCCCAATAACAGTCTTCCAATCTCTCAACTGTTTTCCCTTCTACCTAAATATTTTCCCTCTTCTCTCCTCCCTTTTCCTCCCCAATCCTCTTACAAGGTCTCTGTGGAGGACCCAGTTGGCGTGGAGGTAATGGATGCCATCCAGGATCTGGTAGAGCAGAGACTTGACCATTCCTCTAGGCAGCTGAAGTGGCTTCTTGTTGGCCTTGGAGGCTCTGTGGAACTTAATGATGTGCTACGGAAAGACAAGATAATAGTGATTGTCGTATGTGCCCACACGATGACTGAAATCCACAATTGTGTGTCCTTTTTTACGTTTGTGTGGTCACAAATCTAAGTTTGTGCTACAGGCAAGATGAGTACGGCGGATGTGTGTGTGGCATGCGTTTCCACTTCCTTGGGAGGGGAATGCGAGTGCTGCAGCTTTGTGGAAGAAAATGGCATTTTAACTCAGCTCTGACACCCTGCCAACTGTGATGCAGCAGAGGTTTGACTACCAAATGTTCAATACTTCTCACTGTATGTGTGTGCTTTCACAAGACTTCGCAATACATGATGAGCTCCATTTATAGTCTCCTTCCTTACATGAATGAGTATAAATGCAACAGCACTATGAGTAATCTCCATTTTAATTAAAAAACGGAAATGTTATACATATGTGCAAAAGAACACCATAAGATACAAAAATATACTGCTCAAAAATCTGTAGGCAAAAAAAATGTTTTTTTACTGTGCATTGTATAACTTGTTGAGAACAAAATGACGTAACAATGGTCAGTGGAAACCAAAGTCACCAACCGACACAGGGCTGGATTCAAAATCACTGAATATCAAAGCAAAAAAAATTTAACTGCAGGCTGATCCAACTTTTGTCACTTTCATTACAGCAACTTATAATGTTACTCGGGTTTGCACTCCTGAAAACGTCTGGGCATGCTCCTGATGAGACGGCAGATGGTGTGCTGGGGGATCTCTTCCCAGAACTGGATCAGGGCAACATTGAGCTCCTGGATAGTCTGTTGCGCTACTAGGTGGCGTCGAAAGCACCAATACAACGTACCAGAGGTTCTAAGTTGGATTCAGGTCTGGGAAACGTGAGGGCCAGTCAGTGGCATCAATGCTATCGCCATCCAGGGACTGCCTACACACTCTGGCCACATGAGGCCAGGCATTGTTCTGCACCAGGAGGAACCCAGGACCCACTGCACCAGCATAAGGTCTGACAATGGCTCTGAGGATTTCATCGCGGTACCTAAAAGCAGTCAGGGTACCGTTGGCTAGCACGTGGAGGTCTGTGCGGCCCTCTAAGGATATGCCTCCCCAGACCATACCATTACTGACCCATCTCCAAACCCGTCATGCTGGATGATGTTGCAGGCAGAATAATGTTCACCATGGCGTCTCCAGACTCTTTCACGTCTGTCACATGTGCTCAGTGTGAACCTGCTCTCATCTCAAGAGAACGGGGAATAAATGGCAGACCTGCCAATTCTGGTGTTTCGGATCCCACTAGAGGACGTTGGGCCCTCACACCACTCTCATGGAGTGTTTCTGACAGTTTGGTCAGAAACATGCACGGAGTATCTCACTGGAGGTTATTCTGTAGAACTCTGGCAGTGCTCCTCCTGTTCCTCCTCGCATAAAGTAGCAGACCCTGCTGCTGGGTTGATGCCCCCCTAAGGCCCTGGTAGATGTCCTCGCGTAATGGCTCATCTTGTGGTATCTCTACCGTGCTCTTGAGACTTTGCTGGAAGACACAGTAAACTTTCTTGTGACAGCACTTATGGATGTACCAACCCGGAAGAGCTGGACTACCTGTGCAACCTGAATGGGCTGCAGGTACTGCCTTATGCTAACAGTAGCAACAAGGACACTAGCAAAACGCAAAAGGGGGAGGAGAGAATAATTATCTGTGGTCACAACCTGCAAAACCATTCCATTTTGGGTGTTGTCTTGCTGTTGCCTCTCCAGTGCACCTGTTGTCACTTTCATGTGCACCAAAATAAGTGACACTGATTCACAATTGCTTATGCTTCCTAACTAGACAGATTGGAACAACCAGGACTCCTCCTAGAGCTTGAAAACTGAGCAATCGGTGGAGAAGCGTCTTGGTAAGTGAAGAGAAATCAATCATCACTCTGGAGGAGCTCCAGAGATCCTGTCAGACGGAAGCTTGTCCTCAGCGAAAGACACATGACAGCCCGCTTGGAGCAAAAAAGCACCTAAAGGAGGAAGAGTGTGAATAGATTCTCTGATCTGATGAAACCAAGATTGAACTGTTTGGCCTTTATTCTAAGCATCATTTCTGGAGGAAACGAGGCACCACTCCTCACCTGTGTAATACCTTCTCATTGGGGAAGCATGATGGTGGCAGCATCACGCTGTGGGGGTGATTTTCAGAGGCAGGGACTGGTCAGCGTTGAATGAAAGCTGAACGGAGCAAGGTACAGAGAATTCTTTAATAAAACCTCAGAACCTCACATTGGGCAGAGGACAATGACCCTGACCATGAGCACACAGCCAGGAGTGGCCTAGGGAAAACTCTGTGAATGTCCTCCAGTGGCCTCGCTAGAGCCCAGGCTTGAACCCAGTGGAACATCTCTGGAAATACCCCATTCAAGCTCACAGAGCTTCAGAGGATTTGCCGAGAAGAATGGCAGAAAATCCCCAAATCCAGGTGTGCAAAGCTTGTCATGTGATACCAAAGAAGACTTGAGGCTGTAATTGTTGCCAAAGGCGCTTCAACTAAGTACTGAGCGAAGGGTCTGAATACTCTCAACGTACTTTATGTGCTTAATTATATGGGTGGCAGTATGCGCTTGTGTTGGTCTAAACTAATAAAGAAAATTAATTATACAGAAAATATTCACATGCATTCTCACTTATAATGTCATATTGAGTAGACAAGATTGCAATATGTTTGACAAGGCATGCCATGCAACTCCAGTGTGTGTGCATTTTACCCAGAGATCATGTTCGGCGTAGTCAAAGAGCAGCCATACTTTGCGGTCTGCGTGTGACAGGAAAACCTTCTGCAGTGAGATGACATTGGGGTGCTTCAGCTCCCGCAGCAGCTGCAATACACAAACCCAATCAAAGGACTGACCACACACACTCACAGCAGAAGTCATGAATGACAAACAGCCAATTTGTACTAATTATTGCATGTTTTAACTAAAAGTGACCAACTGACTGAACTGATTACTATAAATAATACAAACAGGGTGGACACGATAACACCTGTACAACTTAAGGCAATACAATAAAAACGATTTGCAACAAAATAACACTTTTTTTAAAGCACAGGATGTTTGAAGTATTCAGGAAATTGTGTCTACCCTCTGTATGCACATGTCTTCTGTGATTCTATCTAGCTCGTGTTTTATGTTGCTTCACAGTATGTTTATGTTGCTTCACAGTATAGCAAAAGCTATAATGTGAAGGTGATTTGGACATTACATAAACCACCTAGGAATGGCATGAGGATGTTTAACCGAGACCAAACAAAAAGGAACAGAGTAAGCCAAGCAGTCCTTACTGCAATCTCTCTGCAGGCTGACATGGAGATGCCAGTGCCTTCAATCTGCTTGAGGGCGTAGTCCTTATCATCCTTCCTACAAACAGAAAGGCAGAGCAACATCAACACCAGACCAGACTGTGGGCCCCCTGAGAGCTGTCTGCACAGAAACATAAAAGGGGGGCACTTGGCAGCTGGCACAGGGACTCTGACAAGAGGCAGAGTTGCATTACCTCCAGATTTGTGTAATCAAGCTCACCTCTGAGGCTCAAAACAATAGAGGGGGAGAGGAAACAGGCCCTGTCTGGCAGCTGGCAAGGGACAAACAGAGCACTGGGACTGGCTCGCACTTGAATGAATCGGGTATAACCCCTCCCTCTGGCCTAAATCATCTCATAAACCCATGCTTTGTGCCTCCTCAGGCCCCATCCAACCGCTGCAGCAAAAATGAGCTCACAGAGTCTCATAAACAGCAGCAGCCTCTTAAAGTGAATACAAACATCTTTAAACACTTTAGGGCTCTTTTGTGTGGTTCCGGCTGCCAGTATGCTGCCAGGGATGTGATAATGGGCTTAGTATGGGCCTAGTAGCTCAAGCTGCCATCAGCTCTCCCAAGCTCTGGTCCAGACACACTTAAGACGGTTACACGGTTGCATTAGAACCAGTATGAAAAAAGGAGAAATGAGAGCGGGTTGAACCCTGGTGTTCTGAAGGTGCTGACCATGATCCACGGTGTCTATGGTTCTGGTCCAGATTCAGCGGACCATCTTTCCCTCCCCTTATTGCATGTCATCTCTCCGCTGTTGATTAAAATGCCAAAAATGCCAAAAAGTACTTCAAACAAGGGACTTAAGGTGGGCTGAGGTTAAAATTAAAAAAATATGACAAAAGAGGAGCAAGAAAGCACCAAATATGTACGCATGTTAGATTATAGATCGCAAAGCTTTTCAAAAATACTACATCTGAAAGCACCAAAATCTGCCCTCATGTGCCAGATTCCTCTACAATATTAGATATTTACCTTGAGTAAGATAATAAAAAAAAGGGGTTCCTCTAAAAGGAGGGCCATTGACACCATAAGGAAGTGTTTGCACATGCACCTGCTGTGTTCTACATTCACCACCTATAAAGGCTCTTCGTTTTACAAATAACATGACGCCTGCTGTTGTGCAACAGCGCCGCACAAAAATAGATGCATCGGAAATATGTGAACAAAAACGACACAAGACAGGCAAACCACGGTAACAACGGTAAACCAGATGTCAGTGTTTTTACAGCCGTCACTAAGCTTCATCAGCCCTTCACATTGTTCTCTTATTTCTCTACCTAAATCTCCAACAACAACATGCCTCCTCTGCCAGAGTAGCACACGAGTCCAGCCTTGAAGGGGAAAGAAATGAGAGAAGTAATTAAAATGTATTTGGGAGAGAGAGGCCGGCTGGAGAAGGGTTCCCTGGCTAGAGGCCTTGCTGGTCATCAACTCACCCATCTTTTCTCTTCGCCTTGTAAACATGACCGTAGGTGCCTCTTCCCACTTTGCATCCTTCGTACTCGAACAGGTCCTCGACACGCTCTCTTTCTCCGGTCAGCTTCACTTTAAAATCATAGTCCATTTTCACCACTGTTTGGGCCAAGTGTATCCGCTCCTTCCTTTTTAAAGCGTCGCTTGGGAGGCAACTAGGCTACTCCAGCGAGCTCGGTTTGGTAATTCGGCTAGTTGCCTTCCCCAGCGTGGCCCTTTCTTCCTTCAGCCCAGCTTCCACATCGAGGTTGCGGGTCAAATTGTTTGTGCCGGAGGAGATGCACGGTGCTCGGAGATAGTCGAGCTGGCAAACGAGCCCGAAATATATTCCTTTCTCTTGTTGCGGCGTTTCTCTCAGCCGGTATTTGCTCCAAGCAGACGCACTTCACTCGGTAACGACGGTGTATTCACGCACGGCACTGTCGTAAAACGTCGTGAAGCACAGCCCTGCAGCAGTGAAAGAAACTGGGAAGACAGGTTATACCACGTAGAAATGTATACTCGCAAAAATTTGAGTTCATGTATAACTATATTCAATCATAACAACTGTATGATGAAGAAATACACCTATTTTGTCATATCGTGGCATATTTCTATGCTAGAATACAGGCGCATAAAGAGATGTATCATATATTTGTGTCTATAACCTCAGTATAACAGAAAATATGAATCGATTTGTTTTGAATTAAAGCTGATTAGGAGATTATATTTTGCTCCGCATAAGACAATAAGTAAATTATTCCTAAATGTATGATACCAGTTAGAAATACTTATTAGAAAAGTTTATTGGGACCTTTCACGCACACAGGTCATTCAAAGAGCTTTATAGGGCAAAGAAAGGAATAAAAAAATATTTAAAACCCAGTATAGATTAAAATATAAATCAATCTAAACAGAATAAAATGAAATGGGATATGGAAGTTATAGTGCAGTAATATGTAGCCAAATTTAAGGAGAGAAATGTGCAAAATAGAAAAGAATTAAACAAGTAGAGGAACACTGCAGAAGCTTTATTTTATTTGGATTTAAAAGAAGCTAAAGCTGGACCACAATTCATCTGGAGGTTACACATTACCACAAACTATGGTCAATTTATGTAATTTCATTAAAACATCGCTGGGGGTTTATATCAAACAACCCATTAGCACAGACTCACTTGAAAAATACCAGTATGCAGGAGTATTTTTTTTTCAATATTTAATGATTAAATGGTCATATCATCAATATGTGCAACGATGAACATGCCTGTGTGAGAAACAAACAAAACAACTGCCAAACAAACAAAACACTGGCAGGTATGAGTGAGATATGAATATTTGAAATACTGAAAACAAAGGGTTTTTCTTGGGGCATATGCTAGACTTCATTGTGGTGATGCTGGTGAGATCCTACAGTTTAATACACTGTTCAACACATTAAAATGCTGTTCAGTCATACTGTATGAGTTGTATTCTTGACATTGTAATATCACTACTTTATGTTGGAGGCTACTGACAAGCCATGAGACATGAGCTGATGACTGGGTTGGGTGGTAAAGAACTCAAATCCTTTAATTATGAAAAAGTAACAATACCACAATATTGCATTCAAAGTAAATGTAAATGTTTAATAAAAGTGTAAAATTAAAATAAATAAATAAAAATGTTTTAAGAATGTGTCAGTTATCTAAGACGTACATAAAGATAAATTTATGTTGTAGATTGTCTACTATTACTGCATAATGTAGCTTAAAACTGCAGTGAGGAAAAACTGCAATATAAATCCAAATAATTCAACGTATAGTTTCACAAAATTGATTAAATATCTAGATTAATGTTGCTGTGCACTCCTGACATTCAGTGTACCCATCTGACAACAAAGTGAACAAACTTTAAGACATGTTTTGCAGATGTTGTGTCACCCAGGAACCAATGTAGCCAGGCAGGTTGTTTCTGGCGGACGGTGTATTGTAGCACCACTGGTCCCATCTTGGTTGGAGAGAGAAGGGAGCAAAGCAACCCGTCCATATTACCGCTGCTTTGTCAGGTAGTAAATTCCTTTTAATGTCATTGTCATGTCTTATAAAATGATGCTAGGGTCAAGTGTTATGTTCCGTATACACGAACTGCTTGATAAAAGTGTCTGTCACGTTTATATCTGAGGAGTTATTCAGCCTCACAGCTCGCTGGGGAGTCAGCTAACACTTGTGTCGACGGACTGCTATTCGCTAACGTTAGATGTGCTAATTTGCTAGTGCTCTGTTAGCAACTTAAGCGTTGCGTATTCAAAATGACGCTCCGCACCATTGAAATGTCCATAAATCTGACTCTTGTGTTTGGCCGACAACGCAGTTAATTATTGCCAGACATTAACATCTCGATAATCTAACTCTGTCATAAAGATTCTTTGTCTTTCCTTCTTTGCCCTGCGTTTACATGGAGGAGACCTCCGTTTAGTTTATCGTGGCCCGCCTTTGTCGAGCAGCGATTGGACGCTCGGCGTGTCCGTCATTCACACTAGGCCGGCGATTGGTGGCTAACCAGGATGACAACGCCAGTTTTGTTGCTTTATTCCCCTGCTTTCAACATGGCCTTCCGTAGCTGCTGTTGGAACTTGGCTAATATTAGCTCACATGAACAATACGTTGTTATTAGGATGTATGTTAGCTACCCCCTACAGTGAATGAATTGAACATTTGTCCACATGTTAAGTTAGATGAACGTACCGCGGTAGTCTTTGGCCTAAACGTTACCAAGATTACTGTAGCTTTCCTCAGTGTCTTACTGGTGGAGTCTTTCGGTAGAAAATGGATGGCGTTGTCTTAACTGTCGTCCATGGCTTGATATTAGTCCCTGTAAAGCTAAGGTAATCGAACAACTTTAACTTGCATAGCATTTTTGCTCTATTTTGCAATACAACCCAGGAAATGCTTGATATATAGATGATAAAAACGTTTGTTCTGTATGTTTCCACAACAGAATCAAATAGCCACTGGCTTGTTTTGTTCTTCAGCAACATATTGTAATGACACATGAGCATGCCCACTTCAACAGAGGAGTTGCAGAGGCCCTGTGTGACTTCAGCCCTTATTTTCTGAATGCTTAATAGAAAGCTATAGTGGGTTGCTTCAGATCACAGTCCACCCCTGACTGATACCCTCACTCATTTGTCTGCCAGCACTTTTCATGGTGATGGACCCTCCTGGTGGGGGAGACGAACGGCGGAGGCAGGCAGAGCGTCTTCGACGGGAGGAGGCATACTATCACTTCATTAATGAATTGAGTGAAGAGGAGTATCGCCTAATGAGAGACAGCAACCTGCTTGGCACCCCTGGTGAGAAAGAAACATCTTGCTATGTTAACACACTGATTGCCACTGCACTTCACATATACTCAAAGCATATGAACTTTACAATGTACTCATTGTGTCACAATGTATGATTTCAATAATCTACTTTCAGTATAGAAGCAGGGATCGTTTTTCTTGACCCACTGCTGCTGTTCATATGTTTCACAGGGGAGGTGACGGCTGAGGAACTCCGGCAGCGCCTTGATGGAGCGAAAGAGCGTATGTCATCTCAGCCCAATACTGAGCAGCGCTCGCAGGCTGCTGATTCTGGAGAACAGCAGGGCAGCAGCGGCGAGGGAGAAGAGAGGGGGACTGGAGGGAGACGGGTGGCAGGTAGGGAAGAGGGGGAGGGACTTGTCTTATCTTATCTGACTTTCACGAGCTATGATGAGATATGCCTTAGGTTAAGTCATTAATGAAAACACCTCTTAATAATACAACACTGTGTTTTGAGACTGGACTTCAAGAACTGTGAAACAGGTGATGGCTTTTTGTGGATTTTACAAAGCACTGAGTGCCCATGATTTATTTTTCATATATTTAGCACAAATATTGATAAAACAGTTATTTAGGTTTGACATCTTAAACAAGATTGCAACACAGCTTTTTCGACTGTCAGTCTAGTTTAGCATGGCAGTAAATCGAGTAGAATTACTGGCTTTGAGTAAGGTATGGAAAATAAGGTTGGGCGATCCTGTTTTCCTATTGTTAAATCGTGGTTCCTCGAGATGGCAGATAGGCAATCCGATCACTAGGGGACAGCGGGGGGAGTTATGTCACAGCACGCCATTGAAATACCAGCATAGATGACTTAGTCGTAGTGTAAAAAAATTTTTACATCTTTTACATGTACTGGATATTATGGGTTTTGACTAGATGCCAAAGGTTATGTAAAAGATGTGTGGCAGTGAAGGCGCCTTTTAAAAGTCCATGTGTCACAAATCCCATCCATAACATTAACTACTCTTGTGGAGTGCAGAGCAAAGGTTTGGTGAGCAGCATATTGTTAGCCTTTCCTGCTCAGCTTTGAGACCATCGTCGGGAAGCATGGGGGAGACATTTGTTTTTGTCCTGGGCCGAAGTCACTTCTTACTTCAGGGCTAACCCCCTTCGCTTTTCCAGCAGTTGGGAAGCAACAGACGATACTTTTCTTGATCTTGAGAAGCTGCAGCATTAATTCACAGACACTCTAACCCATACTGTACATTTACTACCAGATTGGCAACTAACCCTTTTCTCTGTTCCACTCGAATTCAGGTCACTTTTCTGCTGCTCGCTCAACCACACGTTTGTTATGCACACACCTTATGCACTGCCCTGTTACTTAAAGGAGCTTCGTTACTCTACACTAAGTAGAGGGTGCCAGATCCACGGAGAAGAGACGGCAAACTGGTTTCTTAACGGGGGCTCAGCAGGCAGACATAGCACTCCACCAGAGACATCTCTAAACGCACTGTAGATTGGCAATTCTAGAGGTTACTTTATAACATCAAGTTAGTTAAATTTGTCTTAATATCAGCATAGGAAAAACTAACCGTTGATCATCCCTTCAGTTGTTGATATACAATCTGATCGCAAATTGATATTAGCGTAGTATGAAACAGACTGGTCAGTGTTGTGAGTGGACACTGGGGATTTTTAATAGGGTTTTCCTGTATAAGAGAATAGATTTGGGGGTGAATACATGTTAGTTTATAGTCTTACCCATATTTGTGTTTTACAGGGGGCACAGAGCCTGGAGCAGAAACCTCTAATGGAGACTCATTACTGGAGTGGCTGAACACTTTCAGACGCACTGGTAATGCTACTCGCAGCGGACAGAGTGGCAACCAGACGTGGCGCGCTGTCAGCCGGACCAACCCTAACAGCGGCGAATTCCGCTTTAGCCTTGAAATCAACATCAACCATGATCAGCCAGAGCCGGGGGAGCATGATGACACTGTGGACACTGCAGAGCTGCCAGTGAGTGCCCCAAACACAACTTCACCCTCTATACGCTCCGCCTCCTCCTTCTCTAACCCTCGCCCTTCGACCACGCCAAGGCCAGCCCCATACCCTACCCCCCGCCCAGCCCTCAGTAGGAGGATGCAGACACGCCGCACACGCAGCAGCACTACCACTCTTTCTATGAGCCCCCCTGCACTTCCTGCACCAGTGACCACCCCAGCTGCTGCTCAGAGGAGAGGTGCCACTTTGCCCTCTTTAGCACCACCTCCCACTGTTCCCAACCCTCCGCTTGATCAAACTACAACGTCGCAACATCAAGCCCTGAATGCTGAAGTAGAGCAGGGCAGTGATGACATGTCTGCCTCTATAGACTGTCCCCGTGTGTCACCCCAATCTGGGTCTCAGAGCCCAGCAGCGGGATATGAATCGCGTGGCAGTAGGACTCGATCTCGTGGTCGTGCACGCAGGGCTTCAGCAGGGGGTGGGGTATCATCCCGCTTGTCAAGGCGAAGCCGTTCCCCTTTGCACAGAATACCTGTTGCTAGTACGACTACACCATCAAGCAGTGGTGTCAGTGGCTCTATTATCAACACTGTTGAGCCAGGCAGTGGCACAAGCTCTGTTTCCATGGAAACGAGAGAGGCTGTGGCAGAACCTGCAGCACTTGCAGAGCCAACTGTCGAAACAGGAGAACGCGAGAGTGAATCGCATGTGATAGGAGCAGGAAGTTCAGCGGTTCGACGGCACCCAACCATCATGCTGGACCTGCAGGTGAGAAGGATTCGACCCGGTGAAAACCGTGATCGGGACAGCATTGCCAGTAGAACGCGCTCTCGTGCCCGTGTTGCTGAGAATACTGTCACATTTGAAAGTGACAGTGGTGGATTTAGACGCACCATCTCCCGCTCTGAGCGAGCTGGTATACGCACCTATGTGAGCACTATCCGGATTCCACTGAGGCGCATAAGTGAGACAGGACTAGGGGAGCCCAACTCCACTGCCTTGCGTTCCATCTTGCGCCAGATCATGACTGGATTTGGGGAGCTGAGCTCCCTCATGGAGACAGAGGCTGATTCAGAAACTGTCGCACCTAGCCACACTGATGTTAGTGCTCCAAATAGTAACACCAGCCCAGCCAGTCGTCTACATACAAATGAGAGCCCAGCTGGCCAGGTTGGTACAGGTGGGGTAGATCAGGAGAGGGTGGGGATGGTAGGAAGTGAGGAGGACCCGGGTGGGCAGGCCAGGCTTGGAGGGGGGGTAGTGAGCACCACAGAGGGACGGGCCACCAACAGAGACACCAACAACCTGGTAGAAAACGGGACTCTACCCATTTTGCGGTTGGCCCACTTCTTCTTGCTCAATGATGAGGAGGACGACGAACACCCTAGAGGCCTGACCAAAGAGCAGATTGACAATCTATCCACACGTACCTACGGTCAGGCCAGCCTGGAGGGGGAGATGGGTCGCGCGTGCAGTGTCTGCATTAATGATTATGCCCAGGGCAACAAGCTGCGCCGCCTGCCCTGCTCCCATGAATTCCACATCCACTGCATCGACCGCTGGCTCTCTGAAAACAACACCTGCCCGATCTGCAGGCAGCCCATACTTGCAGTGCATCATGACTGACCCATTTGCTGACAAACACACCTATCAAGTTCCTGGCTGGCTGAACTGAGCAGACCCAAGTGGGCTTTGCATGTACATAGCGCTTTCATGGTTTAATTTCTTTGAAAAATATCCATTGTGTTGAAGGTTGAACCAAAAGTGCAGGAAAAAAAAGAAACTATAAATGCAGAGAATTAACAAAACTTTATTTTTTTAGATTCTTTGTTTTGAGCAAGTTATTGTTCTATTTTCTTCTTTTGTTTCGCTGGTCTCTGTCACAAAGCTTCAGAGGCCCATGTCAATGGATGGAATTAATGCTTAAGGAGCTCCTGTAGCCGCTGCTGACTAGTCTCACTTTAACGCTTTACATATGACGTCTCTTTGTCACAAATGACCTACACAAATCACTTCTAGACATGATTTATTCAGTGTAAGCTGTAAATAACCTACCACTGCTTGTATTTAGGGGGTTTGAAGCAAGACTCTCCTCACATGCAATCTGTTAAGAATGGAAGCAGGAAACCATCAGTTTTTGTTTTTTTTTATTCACCATTTTAAAGCTTCAGCATCCATTTTAAAGTGTCCCTTTACAGTTGGTTAAGATATGTATGATTTACTGGGATATGTATGAGCTATGTATTTAATTTTGAAATAAGTTTTATTCTGTACGTCTAGTAGTATTATTTCTGAACTTTGCTAAGCCCTCTCCATGCACATGTCCCAAATAATTGCAATACAGAATTCATCCATAAAAGTCACCCACTAAACTCAGCCACTTTCAAATTATTAACATTACCCATATGAATTGCATATTTCAATGAAATGCATTAGTCATGTGATAATCAGGAATTCAACGTTGTAAGTAGTATGAGTTGTGCAATATGGAGAGAAAATACAGTATTTGTTTTGCTGTTCATTGTTGTTTACATTGTAATACCTGATTATCATCTCCATTTTAAAACAAAGTCTAGTTTACCCTGAAGTCAACGTTTCCTCTTGGTTTCTGTTTCGGATTTTCTAGAGTTTATACAGTTGAAATCCTTCTTCGCGAGATAGGTGCTGGAAAATTATTAATGTTTGGGGAATCTGCTAATGAGAACCCGTATAACACATCTCTAATTTGGTCTTTCGCAGTGCAATAGTCTCAGCATATTTCAGTTCCAGTACCAGTGCAACACCTGAATGAAGCAATGTTAGTAATATGAAATTCCTGTACGGTCTTTATAGTTTGTTTTTACATTACATACACAGATATCGGCATTTCTAGTGTAACATAGGCTGATTATTTAGCTGAACTACCTAGTCTGTGTTACCATCAGGGTCACTTTGTACATCAACAACAGTACACAGGAGCTACAACATATCTTCAGTTAACATGTCACTAATAAAACTGCAGGAATGATGCAGTATAATACGTCAGAATGTATGAGAGTGGGGTAAGTGTGTATGGTTTAATTGTGCGTGCATGTGAGTAAGAGTGTGGGCGCTGAAGGAAAAGGTCCTGTGTACAAGTACACCTGGTTCTCAGAAAGCTTCTGTTCAGCTAGTGTCCACTGCAGAGACATGGAGAAGGTCGTGGCCATGCCGTTCAGAAGTGAATATTTATTCTGTTCCTATTTAATAAGATGGAAATCAAGTTTTGAAATATGAATATGTATTATGTTACAATGTGATGAGAGTAAATGAAACCGTTAAGATAAACATGTTACTATGTAATAAAATGAAGACATGGGTTTTCTTCTCTGCTCCTTAACAATGGAATAAAATGCAGCTTTGTTATGCCTGGAAGTCTTGTGTATATGGATATATATATATATATATGGATGTGGATGTGTATTTTTGTGTGCTTTGAACAAACCAATCACACGAATGTACAGAGGAGAAGTAGATTAGGTGGCAGAAGTGATTTGTGTTAACGTCGTGGTAGATTTACGTCGCAGTAAAACTGTCACTGTTGGGGTGAGTATTTGCTAAATACCAAGTTAAGCTAACATTTGACAGAAGAAATAACCCATTATTGCTCTCACAAAATGACTTTGAATTTATAAACAATAAGACGCACCCTCAATTCAGTAATTTACTCACAGCCCCTGGTATGCTGGCGAGCTAATGTTAGGAGACGTTATACTGTTAAATGTTGCTGTGTAACTTACGGAGTCATCTCTGCGGTTACCCTTTGCTTTAATTGGCAGAGGTCTTGAAAAAATTCAAATTCGTCCTCTCACTCTTAAATATCGGCAAATTGATAAAACAAAATTCTTAAAAAATACTCTTAATAATAATAATAATAATAACAATAATAGTTTTATTGGTTGTACTTTAATCTTACATCTTTCCTCCACACGCCGGTGCGCGCACGCATGCGCACCCGTGTCAGTTAAAAGAGCACCAGATAGGACAGCACCGGAAGTTTGACGGTTGCCCTTCAAAATAAAGGTTTACTGCTAATTATATATAATAAAGTATTTAAATGATACTGTTGTACTGCCTTGTTTAATGCAGGCTTGCAACTGGCATTTGTTTTCATCATCAAGTCATCCTATTTTCTCACTTGATTGATTAGTTATTTGATTTACAAAATTACAGAGAATATTGAAAAATGACCTCTATAACTTCCTGAACCCCAACTTGACATATTTTTGACACGTCCCATGAATAGTGGAAACCCAAAAGGTAAGAAAAGGAACAAACCCCGCAATGGAACTTGGAAATGGTTGGCACTTGGCAAATCACTGAATATCAAAATAGTTGTTAATTATGTTTCTGTCTTTGGAGGGATTGAATAACCAACTAATCATTTCAGCTGAATCATCTGTGTAATGTGACTAACTAAATTAGTGTTGGCCTTCTGACCAAAGCCCCTGTCAGTTGCCTCTACACTTATGTGATGATAAGGTTATACTTTTTTGCCCAAAGTATATTAATTAAAAAAATGTAAATCTAATTGTGTCACAAAAAGACCTAATGTGGGTTATTTTAACAAATGACCCCATTTGTTAGTAACACAAAGGCAATTTAGATACTTTTGTATGCCTACAGATCCACAGGTGTCATTTACACTGAGGATGCTGGGGACATGTCCCCACCACTCTTTGAAATAGCTTATTTTGTACCCATACGTTTTTGAAATAGCTGATTTTGTCCCCATCACTTTTTGAAAGCATTTGTAAGAATATTTTCTGATAACCAACCTTGAGAAAGGTTTATTTGCACTAAAAGAAAACATGCAATGTAAATATAGAAGAAATAAATGTGCATTACCAAAAAAGAGTAACTTAAGCTAAAAAAAAGCAAGCTACTGATTATTGCATTATATTAAATTATATTTTTAAATTTTGAATTGTCATCTGCCACCTGAATTTTGTGTTTCCCTTTAAAGCCTATAAATAAATACATTTCCACCAAAACTTGGTGCAGAAAATTTCTTCAGAATGCAGGAAATAAAGTGTTTAATGCTCCAGATTCTCGGGGGGAAAGAACCCCACTAAGGTATCTCTGCATTGAACATTTATTTTAAATAGTGATAGGGTATCTTCTCATCCTGTTACCCCTTTATTGTGCATCGTCACATCTTGTGAGCAAAGTATCCTCACACCCCTTAACTGAGCCCTTATGTCCCCACCACTTTTCAACACAAAGTGACGCCCTTGTTCAGATCTACTGTAAAGTGTGGCACGCCTGTTTCCTCTAGCCTGTTCAGCTTTTCTGGACATGTGCCCATGTGGTGTTGGTGAAATATTACAAGTTAGTAAACTGTGGTACCTAGGCGATGTTGTAATCAGTTATGTAGACTAAGTGAAAGCAATTAAAATATTTCGACTTTAATCTAGATATCATGAGATTAAACTGCGAAACGGATCTTGTCAGGAAAATTCGCATTTTAATTCACTTGTCTACACTGAAGATTGATCACGTTCCTCTGTCTTTATTGTAACTTTATTGTCTTACTTTATTTTGAAAGCAGTGACCGGCAATAGCTCATTCTTTACCCCATGTGACTTGACGCAGGCTGAATCTGCCCCCCTCCACAACATTACCTCCGCGGTACACCCGAGAAACAATGATACCCCAGCAGCAGCAGCAGCAACAGCAGCAGACCCGACAGCGGCTTGGGCCCGGAGCAGCTTTCCCGAGCTCTGTCGGTGAGCTATGAGCATGCCACCACTCCGGCCTCCTCGCCTCAGCCTCACCGACACTCGTTCACCACCAGCAAGATGTATTTCAACCGTAGAGCCAAGAAGATACACAGTGAGGGAGGTAAGCTTATAAAAAAAACATGCCTTATTTAATCTGCGCTCGACCGTGGCTCCGCCCTCCGCTTTATTCGTGACATGTCACTGTAAAATCTCAGTGTTAATCACAGGCCTGTCATTATAGAGGATATGGTGGCCTGTGCGTATTTGATATGTGCTTGGAATAATAACGGGGATCGGTGTTGTCCGGGACTGCGGCATGCATGTGGGGTGACTTGCTGTACCGGTGTTTATCTTCCAACCTCGCTCATTTTTTTGGCACAGGTTGGGGATGAAAGGGCAAGCAGACTGCAGGTGCCTGCAGGTAGCACTGTCTGCTTAAGCTGGTGTTATTATATATAGACAAATGCAGGGATCCGTGCTGTGCTTCAACATCACGAAAAGATAAGACGTTTATTCTTGAGAGGATGAATGTGAGTGTGACCGTATCTATGGAATATACTGTATATGGCATCAATATGGTAGCCTATTATATAATGTGTTGCGACAGCCTCTTGAATCTAGGCCTCCTGAATCGCATCTTCTCGAATATATTCATATGGGTTGACTCGCCTAAATGTGATGATTTAGGCTAACTGATATGCTTTTACGGTAATCTATATGTAAATACTAAGTAGCCCAACCCAAGCTCAAAGAACAGCCTATTACCCCGCCGACTTAAAGACAACGTGATCCGTTCAGAGTGAGCACTTCATTCTGAGCCCGTACGGAAGTGAAACTCACGTCACCTTAAGGCCATCCACGGCCAGAGCCTGTACTCACATCACACAGCATTTTATACACTCATGTATTGGAAGGAGATTGACTTACATAAACCCCCCATGACAGAGTTTATAGTGAGGGCTAATAAGTCTGACCTTTTAGGGGGATTTGTCTCATATTCTTAGAGGTGGAGAGAAGATGGAGATGTTTAAATATGAGGCTGCACCATTGATTTCACACATCTATTGTATAATTATATTACTGAATGTGACTATTTTAATTTCGGATACATTGATTTCAGTGTTTGTATTTAAATTTATGTAATTGCTGTACATTACAGATTAGAGAATGTCTATTTTGTGGTTGGTGAGATGTGCCTTCTAAATGCATACAGACTATGGGGACTGATTGTCTGCCCGGTGTTAGCTTCATCTGTCTATAATGTCCTTTGTTCCTCAGATTTACCTGATGAAGGTATATGGACTGAAACGTTGTATCTCTAACAAAGTAAGTAAAGGACAGCGTGCGGGCCTGACAGTTTGGATTGTCCTGGAAGAGAGGAGCATGTGTTTGGCTCATCCAGTGGCTTATAATTATATAGTGACTGGCATAGATTGTCGGGCTGTTGTGTGTGTGTGTGTGTGTGTGTGTATATGTGTGTATATGTGTGTGGCTGCATGACTCTTGCAGCTTCCAGAAATAGAGAGCAGGGCACAATGTGAGCAAAGAGAAGCGCCAACTGGGCCACACTGTCTTCAGGCCAGAGTTTCCCAGATATTTATTTGTTGGTATAAAAAGAAATACACCACTGGATCTTTTGACACTGGGGCAGCACATTTGTTCTTTGCCAAAGGAGTTTTTTTTTTTTTTTACAGTATAGTGATGAAGTACATAACTCTCTCTGACCCACCACATTTGCATTTTTTGCTTCAATACTCAGCCATGCAGCAGGGCTTCAGTCATGGGAGTCCCACATTTTCTTCTTGTTTGTGCAGTGCAATTAACGTGGAACTTTAAATAACTTTAGTGCAGACCCTTTTTGGTGTCATGGGTGTTTACCACTGGCATTTTGGAAGCATCAGAAGAATGTGGAGGGGAATGGCAGAATGAGCGTCAGTCGGCATGTACATGTGTTCCCTCCTGGATTCTCTATGCTGCTTTTGCTGTAATCTCTTGGCGCTTGACCTCTTGATTCTTTGCTCGAATTAGCGAGCTGCCACATCCCTGCCGACGTCTGCCCCTACCAATCTGTCACATTTACTCACACACACTCAAACAAATTTACACACAGAGGAACAACTGAATTTGCTTTTATTTAAGAAGACCATAAATAGTGGTTGACACAAACTCTGACCAGCATTTGAGTATTTTGTCATGTTTCTAATGAGTACTCACAGACACAAAAACACTTCTCACATTGGTTGAAAAAGCACATTCTACTGTAGGAAAAAAACATATTTTAGCCTAATGTCACAATGAAGCTAAACAAAAATGAAGATGTCTTAATGTATTTTGCAGATTGTTCTGGACATCCCACGTGATTAGTTTTTTAATGTAAGGGCACATCTGTCCCAGTGTAGGGGTGTCTAGTTTATGCAAGTCATTTAGCTCAGCCAACTGTCAACAATATGTCTGTTTTGGAAAGATAATGACTGTCGTCATGGCTGCCAAGCTACTGAAGATGCCACTTGGGAGATAAAGAGAGGTCTAATGAATTGCAGAATAGAGGTACTGACATAAGCTGTACACAGGGGGGCACTCCTGGACAAGCTAGAAGCTTACATTTCACAAGTCCGTCTCTGTGTGAAACTTTTGAGGTCAACATCTTTCATATGCAGGCATGAGTCTCATCTCACTGTTAGCGCTTCTAGCGACACGCACACACAAACACATTTGCAGCTGTTACACATAGATGAGTTGTGTGCGGTATGTGTATACTGACTTGTTGTCTTGTGTGTGTTGTTTTCTCCCGCCGCGGCCTTTCTGGTGCCCACAGAGCAGTTAGTGTTGACCACCATTAGGCAGGAGGCTTCTGAACTGCAGGACCCAGGCCAGGTCGCCGACGCTACCATGCGTGCCTGCCTCACAGACAGGTTTGAAAAAAGTGAGTTTGCTCGAATTAGACTGGATGACGCCCCTTCGCCCCCCCTCTCCCCGCCTCCCATTTGTGTCCAGAATCCCAAGGTGCATGCGGCCATGCGCAACGGCTTGGAGCAGGTGTCACCCAACCCCCGGCCCTCAAGAGCTACAATGTCTTGTTACTTATTAGAGTGTCTCTGGTTCTTGTCTGAAAAGGTTAAGATGTGATCTTACTGCTGTGGACCCTGGATAATCTGTAGCTCCTTGGGGCCTGGAGTGATGACTGCTGAACAGGAATTAACCCTCTCACTGCATGTGCTTGTAGAATGGGGTGACCACTCAGGTCAGACCATGCCGATGAAGACAGATGCACTGGGTTCTTTAAGCAAAACTTTCAATGCGAATACAGATGCATGCTGTAGAACACAACGCAGGTATCTATGGACATGGCATGCCGGAAAAGACCATGTACATGAACACTGCTGCATGCATGTATGACACAGACGTGACTATGAGCTGGATCTAAAGAGGGGGCAGAGGGAGGTAGCTGCTTGTTGGGGCCTTGCATGTTTTCCGGCGTTAAAAGATGTGTGTTCAGCTCTGTGTGTGTGAGAGAGAGAGAGAGAGTGTGCATGTCCATAATTCAGTGTCTATGTGCATCTGCATACATCAGTGTAACGTGTGTTTGTGTGTGTGTTGCACACGTAGGATTATCAGGTTATGGATTAGCAGCAGGTGAAGTTGCAGAGCAGACACAGAGGGGATTATCATGCTCACTCACTTGGGCTGTAAGAGGCTTTCTTGCCTTACTTTCTACACCGTTACAGTGGCAAATGGATGCACTGGGACCGCTTGAGACTAGGTCACCCAGGACCTGCAAATCAGGCGTGCGGGTCACCTAGGAGACCAGGACATCCATGGGACGTAGGGGTCACTCAAGCAGAAGACGCTCTGTTGGTAATGCTTTTCTGACCACACAGCAAGATTGTGGGCTGGACAGAGGCATTTGGAGGAAAATGTTTTATGGTTTTCTTTTTAATTTAATTGAAGTTGTTGAAATAAGTGAGGTGGTTGTAGTTCAGTGTTTAGCTGAAGAACACTTTCACAGGGCCTGTGGCTATTAGAGGATTAAAACCTGAGACCTTTGCAACCAAGAGAGGAAGACAAAATGTGCTGGGATAAAATATACACACTATATGCAAAATATTCTGATTTGCCGTGCAAATTCAGCTGGCCAAGTGCATTTGCATCTAAAATGTTTTGATAGGGTTTTTTTTTGCAGATAATTTAAATGTGTCAGCAGCCAGACTATCTGTCCTGATGTGGCTTGTGTGAGTGCTTCAACAGCTGGGGATGATTGTAGCAATTTTACTACTATTTGCTGTTATGATTAGTCGCTATTTCCTTTCTGGCTCATTTCATCTCTGGACTCGGCGTTTGGAATGGGTGCCTCTCTATTAGACATGATTTAATTAAACGTGTAAGCATCTCAAAAGTTATGTTTGTGCCATTTAACACGAGAAGTCTGGCAGTCACACTAACAGACACAGCTGCTGAGAGAGATGCCGTCAAGGTAGCTGACAAGCGAGTTCATTTTTTGAGTGAAGGACGGGGCGCAGCACCAAGGCCGAGTGTCTGGTGAAATATGCTCTGCCATACTGGAAAATGTAGATGAATTATGTAGCCTGTCGCTATCCATTATTCAGTAGCCTAGCCTGCTATTTGACAGTGCATGTTTGGCCCCACGCCAGGGCAGCTTGGGTGCAGCCTTAAACACAAAGTTAACACTGATATTAAGATATTGAGACGCTTGTGATGAGTGACATCTTCTTCACGTGACACGATGAATTTAACTGCAAACTGCATTGTTCTGCTTACTGGAAATTATACCTGCCCTCTGTGTAAAATGTGTTTGAGTTAATAGATTTGTAATGGCACAGGTATTCATGGTAGAGAGATAGCAGAAGGGCTATTAAGCTTCTCTACCTAATGGAGGGAAGTTTGGCTAATTAATGCAAAGGGGACACGTCTTGTTTAAGCCTCAGCAAGCAAATGGGTAGCTGGTAGTATCGTGCTAGCAGGGTATGAGATCAGAGTGTTTGTTGAGGGCGGATCGGTCTAGTCTTACCTGTTCTGGCCGCAGGTTATCTGTCCGGCTAGTCTGGGTGCTTCATGTGTAATTGACCTGGCCGTGCTCTGCTGGGGTTTCTGCTGACTCATCTGTGGCTCCTCAGTAATGAGTTACAGAGGTGACTGTGCCTCTGCTCCATCAAGAAATGAGTAACTGAGGCATTGATCTCCTCAGAAATTAATCAGAGTGGGCTGCTGAGAAAGCCATTATTGATCTATTTGGATGGGTGGAGTCTAGGGGGGTTAAAAAGTGGAGGTAAATAGTAAGTCAATAGTTCAGCAACAAGTTATAGAAAAAGTGGATAATTCACGAGGAAGAAATAAAGGAAAGGAAAGATAATATTACAGGTCAGAATGTACATTGCCCTTCACTACCTTTTAACCATGTATCATCCTTAATCATTTCCTTACAATCACTTGTAATCTTGCGTGACCCCAGAGCCGTTTGTGGTGTAGAGTGCTGAGCTGTGATTGTGACTTATAGGTCTGTTAGATCTAGAGGTAACAGCCCGGTCGGAGCTATAGAGATGAGAGATAGGCTGCTTATTATCATTTTGCTTGGCTAGACTTTGACCCTTGCTCTCTTCCTTGTGCAGACACTTTGTGGGCAGGTGTGGAATAGCACCATACTATAATGTAGTTTTAGCAAAAGCAAGTTTCTTTTGCAAAGAATTGCAGTATATTACGATACAGAACTGACAGTTTACCTCTAATAAATGCCAGAGAACCCCCAGTTGCACCTTAAAAAAATTTAATTATTGTCGCTTTCCTGTAAACACACAGGTCTCTTTAATGTCCAGTCTTTCACTGGAAAAGTGGAAGTCTGAGTGTCGATATTGATGATAAACCTGACTGTATTCTGTCTGGGACATTTTACAATTCCTCGCCTACTTTAGAACAACAAGCTTGAGTGGAACGTAATGATGATTAACCTAATTGTGGTTATCGATGAGCGGGAGAGAATGAGTCATCTATTGTAGGATTGTAGCGCTGCAGACAACAGTGTTTCAGGACTGCTGGAAATTCAATCTACTAAACCCTGGCAGTGCTTATTCTTTTCTAAATTATTTATGCAATTAGCCTTTTGTTGTTATCACCCACAGGCAGACACATACAATGAACATATCCCAATAAATAATACAACTATCCCATACAAATAAGAATTACAACATTTTAGGACACATGCTTGTAATATTATTGGACTAAAAATGTATTGTGATGCACTGAGCTTCATGTATATTAACAATTAAGCACTACAGACACACTTTAAGGGCTTGTGTAAATTGTATTATCAGAATAATTACAGGGTTTGGGGAGTTGCTTACCTGATAAATGCATTCTAGTTAATATTCTATTTTGCATTACTGGAGATGCAGCTGTCTGCATCTATGCAAAGATGTGAAGAGCAGAACCCAGTGGAGTGGAAGCGACATGAAGTGATCTCCTGATGAATGGCTCCTGCCTCAGGGATGTCATTTGACCCATCTGTGCCTGACCACAAGACCTTAAGGCGATATCAGGCTTCTGGCCCTTTAAAAGCGGCGCCCCGACTTTGCCCCTCCGCAGCACTGAAGGAGCTCCATATGGCTTCGCCTTGTTGTCTGAGCGTCAAGGCAGGGTAGGAGATCGTCCAAATAGCGCCCGAACAAGGACTTCCCGATGCGGCAGGTGGCAGCGGAGCTTGGCGGTCCAGTATCTTTCACCAGCGCCGGGAGCTTCCTCCTCAGCGAGGCCGAAGGAGGAGAGAGGAGGCACGGGCGCGCTGCTGCATCTGTCCTCGCCCAGGTTCGCCTCGTTGTTGCACCAGCTGAGTAAACTGTGGCGCCCCGGACCTGTCTGCACTGCTCTCTCACTTCCCCACGGTGTCCCCGCAGAGCTGTAACGTTGCGTATTGTCCCGTTATTAGGCGCGATCGAGGGTGAAAAGAAAGTGCCCTGCTCCGTGGAGCTCATGCGGGGGTGAGCGAGCGGAGATCACGACGCTTAAAATGGTTGGAGATGACAAAGCCAGGCGGGCGGGGAGCGAGGCAGGGAGTCTGAAGAACAAGCGTGTTGCATCCTCCTCACTTTATTTAATAGATCATCTGTGCCTGTAGCTTAATGACAGCCACGGTGTGCGCCCGGTCTTCTCCGTGTTACATGGACAAGTTGACGTGCTGATAAAACAGACAGTGTGTTTGTTCGCCATTGTGCATCCCTCAGCACATCCATTATACGCGGGGGGTCCCGTGGGCGTCGCGAAACGCGCTTGTGTGCATTGGTGGTACCTGCATAATAATACTGAAAGAAAAGGGGGGGGGGGGGGGCTGTTTATAACGGGAAACGTCATTGAATCAACCTTACCGGCTTTAGCGTACATCAGCATACAGTAGCCTCTAGTACTAATTGGTCGCCTTCGCTTTTGAACCGTAAACCACGTCTCCCGTCTATGTCTCTGTCTCTCTCTCCCTCCCTCCCTTTCTTTCTCTATCTATCTCTGCCCCGCTGTCTCTCGCTCGCACTCACTCAGCCTCACCTCTCTCCCATCAATCCAACGGTGCAGGACCCGCTTGCTCGTCCGCCGGCTACCGCAAGGCAGATGATGAGATGTCCGGGACCACTTCCCAGGCGGATCCCGTAGACGCCACGGCGCGGACGGTGCTGCTCAACCGGCCACAGATCACCAAGTTCTGCGACAACCATGTGAGGTAGGTGTCACTCTGGGGCTTTGTCTGTTTTGTGTACTGATTTATTTCATTGGGTGTTCACTGACCGTCAGAGAGGAAGCTACCTTCAGCCAGCAGAGAGAGTGAGTTACAGTAACCCATGTAGATCAAATCTAACTTAATGTTTTATTTTTTCCAAGTTTTATTTTTGCTTAACTAACCACAGCAAAGTATGACTTACTTTATGTTGTGTTTCTTCAGAGGGTGAGCAGCTCATCCTGGCTATAGTATATTTATTTCAATACAAATACATTTCTTTGCCTGTAGCCTTGTTCAGTGAGGTCACTTGGTCCACTTGTGTTACTAAAAGACACCAGCACTGAGGATATTTGCTCACAGGGGCTTTACACCCCTGTTGGCAGGTTGAAGGCCGTTACCTAGCCTGTTTGTATGTTTTTCTTCCCGGCATGCCATGTGTGATGAGTAGACTTTGGACCGCTAACATTGTTCCTTTTTTTCTCTCTGTCATTTCCTATTTAAATCGCAGTAATCGTGTTCAACATTTACTACAGTTTTACAGATGAAACTTTTTCATAAGGCTTTTGTAATAACTCACCTATTAAGTGATTATTTGCAACTCTGCAGCAGACCTGATTAGTGAGGCTGAAGTATGTCACTGCCTGAAGTCCAGGAGACTCTCTTGTCTTAACAACATATCGTAAACCGTCATGAATATTTAAGGCAGACAATGAAAGCAAAGTAACTACACTTCCATTTGTTTATATAAATGACAGAAAATGCCTTAGATGGGTCTCTCTGGTCAAAGGTGTCTTCTGTGTTTGTGTTGTCTGAGAAATGGTTGTAGAAAAACGGCCCTGGGAATAAAAGCCAAGGTCAACAGCTGCAGCCATAATATTCATAGTCATGATCTGTCTGTGGTCTGAGTAGGTAAAGCAAGAAGTGGACTACAAATCTGAGAGGACACTTCATAAGAGTGTCAGTATTTCACATTTTGTGCTGGTGTGACTTTGGGGCCCAGTGTGGTTAAAACAGTGAACATCTGAGTGAATTTCCTGCTTGTGTAGTTACTTGTCATAGGATGGGTCCTGGCCCTGGCAAACAGCACATACTGCAAGTCTCTTTTATCTGCATTATCCCAACTGTCTGCGGCATAATTTATAGGCTCGGCTGTGGTCTGACATACTACGTCGCAGTCTGGCAAATAGTATTAGTTTGACAGACGCCAATTTAATTTGTCTCATGTCTTTACCTTTCATTATTCCTATTTGTATGTACAAACTGTGCCTGGCGCCATATGGAGCGCTGGGCTCATGTTCTCATGAGATGAAGGCTCGTTGTTAGTCAGTTGACATCAGTGGTCTGCCATTATTGTCAGAAGATTCCATTTCACTTTCAAAAGAGCCCATTTCAGCTCCACAAATAAGATTAAGGCAGGTGCTCCCTGGCTCATCTGAGAGGATCACGTGTGGCGTTCTGCCCCCTGCTCTATGCTGATTGGAGAGTCATGTGCACTCTGGCCCCAGAGACATGCCCTTTGATGTCTCCGTGTTCCTGTAACTCTTTAGTTTATGTTTTAAAGGTTCAATAGCCTTATTGATTTTCAGAGATTAAAGCCTTGTAGCTTTTATCTGTACACTCAACTCACCTCCTCTCCATTCCCTAGGTCCTCCACTTCCATTTTTCATTTTATGCAGTTGTTTTTATACAACCTGAGTGTTCTTCCATTTAGAGGGATGCGTGTTCTTACATTTAGAGTGTTTTCTTTCGGCCTATAATGTATGAAGAGCACTGACCTTTTTTTATAAAAACATGACAGAGCCACACAGCGGCAGGAGAGCATCACTCCTGCAGCTAACAGCTGTTAACACCACCAGCTAGTGGGACATCTATAGTATGAAAAATAACACAGCCAGATGTTTTTTTCTTTTTAAAATTTATCTGTGTTTTGCCCGGTCCAGTGGAAATGTGTGTGTGTGTTTGTGTGAGGTCTCGTGTTGTTTGTCTTTGATTAGATTAAGGTAGCATTATCTGCTGGATCATAGGTGTAGTATCACTAACTCTGAGGTATTCATAACATCAGTGTCAAGACATTGCTTGTGTGTGTGTGTGTGTGACTAACAGCTGTTGCTACTCAGTTTTGTGTTTTAGTGTCCTTCTCTTTGTGTCTGTGTGAGTGGGGCAGATGGGGGGGAAAGCGGTTATGGTTTCATCTCCTAGGAGAACTGTGATAGAGGGGTGTGTTTTGCGACTTAGTGCATGCACTTCATGCACTCACGCACACAAACATGCACTATCCATTAAACAAAAGCCTTTGCAGAAGCTCTTATTTTTCACTCAGGCCACACAGGAAAAAACGAGGCAGGCCTTGACTTGAAGGACTTTTTATTTTTAGCTTCTCTAAAAGCTCTTACGGTAGCTCCTCGCTATACATCAATACAGTTGTCTAATCAATACACTTGATTGACAGGTTGAGGTGGCCAGGGTTTCTTGTGCATATTTTCTGGGGTGCTGGGTCTAAATTTAGATAGTTGGATTTAAAGTATTGGTCTATTTATAGGTTTGATGTGTGTGCTGCCCGTAATGGCTCTGTTTGCCCTCTTTGAGCACAATTGAGTGTTTCTAATAAATTTTCAAGTGCTACAATATTGAAACCCAAATGGAGTCTGTTGTTATTCAGCCTTTAAGGTAATGCTGTTTAAGTGTGTCAGGTATAAAAAAAATAAATCAATCAATCAATTTGTGCATGGATTCCTACTTTTTGCTAATGCACTCCCTGGCTCTGCCTCAATCTGTCCGAATGTAAACAAAATGTGACGTCTCCTCTCTTCTTGTCTTCTTCTGCAGTACGACCAAGTATGGAGTCCTCACCTTTCTGCCCCGGTTCTTGTATGAGCAGATCAGGCGGGCTGCCAACGCCTTCTTCCTGTTCATCGCACTCATGCAGGTAAACCCCACGCATAAAACGTATAACAACGGTGTGTTGGCTCGGTGGGCTGATTGTTTGCTTTCAGATTGATTCTGTGGCCCACACAGGCTTTAGATGATATACCCTGAAAAATCTGTTTCAGTCTCCTCCTGGATTGCCGCAGCTATTTTTGAAATAATGACTTATGGACTAGTGTGAGATGTTTTCTAGATGGCAAAATGTAAGATTTGGTAAATGTCCTCAGAAAGCAAGAAAGAACAGAAATAAAGATAAATATGTAACAGAATTAATATATCAATACATGTTTGTATTACTAATTTACTCATTTGCACAATTAAAAGTTGCATGTTTGTTTTTATTCATCGTTATGGCAACTTTTAGGCTGTTTCCAAACGAAACTAATGTAAAGTTAAGAACTTGATCATAAAAGATAATCATTAATCCCATACTGTAATTGCGTCCCGATTGGTGGACAGTATTTTTTTCCCCATTGGATGGTAGGGGAAGAGGGGCACTGGGTCCCCCCCCCCCTCTATATGAGCCTCATGAAAAGTTGCACTGCCTTCCACCATGCTCACATGTCTCTGCCCACCCATCAAGGATTCATTACACAGTTACAGTACTCTCATTATACTGTAATGTCTAAACAGCTCTGCTATCTAATCAGTGTGCAAGCTGAACAATTTATTATTTATTCTGAATAGCTGAATATATCTTAATGCAGTAACAACTAATGATTATCTGTGCCATCACTGTATTGGTCCATCATGGGCGCTTTAAGCTACTCAACACTCACCATCAGCTCACTTATTTCTGAGTGCTTGCTCTCTTGACTTTCACCAGCAAATCCCTGATGTATCACCGACCGGTCGCTACACCACACTGGTCCCGCTCATCTTCATCCTCACTGTGGCCGGGATCAAAGAGATCATTGAGGACTATGTGAGTACCACAGCACTACCTGCTACATGGGCAGAAGTTTACACGTTTTTAAACTTTTCAAGTGTAGGAGAGAGGGACATTGTGTGTTTATTGTAAAAGTTAATACATCTCTATCTGTTCTTAACAGAAAAGACACAAAGCAGACAACACAGTGAACAAGAAGAAAACAACAGGTATCGCCTGGGTGTGTGTGTGTGTGTTAATGCACATCAACTGTCTGTGCGCTTTATGGCTTTTCCATGACTGTGCTTGTGTCTAGTTGTGTGGGTTTTGTTTTCCTTTCATGGCTGAGTGAATGGCTGTGGTCTGTCACTCACTATAGTGCGGACCCCAGACAAAAGTTCAGTGGCTATGAATACTGTATGAGCGCTGCTCTATAGGCTGACTGATGGCTGTGTTGTCCTTGTCTCTCAGTGCTGCGGAACGGAGCCTGGCAGACTATCATCTGGAAACAGGTATCACTGTCATTACAAACTTCTTTTTTGTTGTTCTCTCACTCGTCACTCGTGCTGCTCGGATTTACAATTCTCGGTGACATACTGTATTGGCCTGAATGATGTCAGGAACTACGTTAAGCATCTGAGACGTGTGAGCTGAAAAGATGCACTTCTTCTAAAGAAAAGTAAATTATCACACTGTAGTGGAAATTGTATTCCTGGTGAGAGGTTGAGCAAATAATTGAGTTACAATGAACCGTTGTCTTTGAAGAATTTATTTAACAAAAGAGAAGACACAGAGAAGTACTACAACAAAATCAACTGTACCAGAGGTTCTCTCTCCTAAGACAGTCACTAACGTCTGGCCCAGAGCAAACAATTGCATGATCATTTACGCAGTCTGAGCATCTATGTTTTGGGGAACAAAAGAAGAAGAAGGAAAAGAACAGCTAGTTAGGAAAACAATCAACAACCCCATATCCCTGACCTAAACCCCCCACATATGGACAGACAAGAACAATAATAAAGAGGGGAACAGGTTAAAGATTTAAAACAATATATAAGACATAATAAAAGGAGAAAAATAGCACTCTTATAAGTACTTGCATAAAAGATGATAAGTGTAAGAAGAAAACAATTTTCTGCCTTTACAAACTAAATCAGTTTTAACATTCAGATAATAACGCAAATATGAGATAAAGCAATTAAGCAAGAAATACTGCAAAAGCGGGAAAATTAATAAAATTACATGATACAATAAACATGAGCACAACAGAATTGTTAGATGTCATGTATTTTGTAGCCGAACATGCAGAATGTCTGACTGTAAGTGCAAAATTATGCTTTTTATGTTTGTCTAGTTTTGTAAAATTGGGTATTAAAAAATGAACATATAATAGCTTTATAATTTTATTATTGTATTGTTAGATTTGTCTCAGAGGAGCTGCATTTCTGTTGTGCTCCCTCTTTTGTTCTTCTGTAGACATTCAGTCTGTGTTCAGTTGATCAGGATCTGTCTGTGATTTGGATCGCTAACAGTAAAAACGATACTCTTCCAATTAGTATTGATCTTTTTGGGGCGAGATCACAAGTGAGTTATTTAGTAATTAGGTTTTCTCTGTTGGTCTGCAGCTCATCTGAACCAGTGAATGAGCAAAATGAACCCTTGGTTGTGACAGTACAATACATGTTCAGTGTATGTTCCTTAGGGCTGGACAATAAAACAATAACAATAATTATTGTGATATTTTTATTTTCAATAACATTTTCAATAAATGTTTGATTTTATTCACTTGAATCAGACATTTATTAGGACTTTATTTTTTATTAAGATGTTTATTTTGTTGTGGAAAAAGGACTGAAAAAAGCTTTTACTTGATTTTACCCATGCATAGTTGTTGACAAAGATTTTATCATAATTGTTTTGAATGTTCCACCTCAGATTTGTGATTTGATCCACTGTTTGGCCTCACATGTTGACCATAATTAAGAGTTTAAATCACAATTAACACAATTAATATCAGGTTTCTTCAGCTTTCACTCAGGAGCAAAAGTCAGCTTTGAAACGATTTGATACTTATCGTGACAATTATCAATATCGAAAGATATGAAACTTTTTATTGTGAGAAAATTTTTGGCCATATCGTCCAGCCGTAATGTTCCTATACAACAAAGGCATAGCTGTTTTCTCGAGTTCTGGTCATCTTCTTGAATGTACTCATTAACGGTGTCCAGCTGTGTACTGTTTTGCTCCAGCAGTTCGTATCAAATCAAACTTCCTTGTTCCTTGAGTCCTAGTTATGTGGATGACAACAGTGTAGAGCGGGAATCTACCCCCACCAGGAATTTGTGCATATCTGCCCTGCTAACCCAGAGTTGGTCACAAGTAGTTTTCTTGATATGCATCTTTTTCTTTGAGAGGAGGGACTCTTCAATGCAGCAGTAAATGTTCCCCAGATCACAGCTCATGATATGCGTTGGAGTCCTCCTGTGGAGTGGGAAAGCAAGTGTATGGCTCAGGAAAACAAGCATCCTGCAGAAGTAGATTGAATAGTTTATGTCACGCCAGACTATGTTTGAGACTGTCAGACTGTCCTGATCATGTCAACTCCTCATACTTTCCCAAACTGCTGTTGTCCTCACAAGGATTTTTTCTGTATATATTTTTTTTGTTTATGCTATAACGTGTCAAAGGATTTTTCCCCACATTTTTTTTAAAGATTAATTTTTAAAAAGTAGAATAGTCTTGTAATGCTGATCTTTTTTGAATGACTGTGGCATGTGCAGTACTGTGCAGTTTCTCCTTGAACTGCTTAAGTTCTCCTTATTTTTGTTTGTACTTTTTCTGATCTCATTCTCTCTCTTATCTACATTCTTGGACTCTTTGTGTCTCATTCTGGTCTGCCTCTGTTGCAGCCTGATAAGAACAGTTTAAGCACTGCTGTGCTGTCACTTTATCTCAAGTCATCTTCTCTCTCTGTTGGCCGCCTCTCAGTTGGTCACTAATAAGCCTGCCTCTTGTTTCCCCTCTCTGTCTTCCTCCCCTACCCTTCCTATTATGCCTGACCCTCTGTCTTAACACCCCTCTTTTCCTTCCTCCCCACCTTTTGTCCCTAATGCTGTTGCACTGCTGCGTCCTGGCCACAAGGTGGCAGTAGGAGACATAGTGAAGGTTACCAATGGACAGCACCTTCCAGCTGACATGGTCATTGTGTCCTCCAGGTCAGACTCCAGTGTGTTATGACTGTTTGTGTGTGGGCACGCATGTGCATTTGTGTATGTTTGTCTCTTAAGTGTTCAAATCATTTGTTGTGTGTGATAGGACTGTTTTATGGCTGCAACAAATCATTATTTTCATTATCAATCCATCTGTTGACTAGTCTTTTGGTTAATCTTAGTATATAAAATGTAATGATGAATTCCCTCCTTGAATTACAGGAACCTAAATTATTGTTATTGATCAACAGTTAGAAAACCCAAAAGCATTAAATTTAATATTTTATAAAATAATGTAAATTAAGCAAATGTTTATATTTGAGAAGCTATAACCAGCAAATGTTTAATAATAAAATTTTAATAATCTGATGCAGCTCTGCCTGTTCTCCACAGTGAGCCGCAGGCCATGTGTTACACTGAGACCTCCAACCTGGATGGAGAAACCAACCTGAAGATCAGACAGGTATGATGCGTGAGTCTCTCAGATTACTTAGTCAGTGAGGAACTGAAGTATAGGCCATATAAATACTATAAAACCTACAATAAAATGAGGTTTAGATTGAGTATTTGTACACTGTGGGGGGTAACAAATTTAAGGAACTGCTAACTCACCTGAAAGGAGGTGAAGGATTCAGGTTTTAGTTTTAGAGACATCTAATACTTTAGTTAGTTACTTTTGAAGCTACTGTTTGGATATATATGAACCAACTAATAAAAGATGGTAAAATTGTTGGCACCATCTTTCAGGAGTCTCTATCATATGAAACCCCACTTCCTCACATTTGCATCCATGTTGTGGGATCATGTTTCTTTTAGTGTGTGTTCTGTTTCTATCTACTATCTCTTTCTGTAATGTACTTTGTGATAATCCGGTTTGGTAAAAGATGCGCCTCAATAAACTTTCCTTGACTTGACTTGTCATGGTTCATTTTTTTCCTAGGGTCTCCAGCTCACAGCTAGTGCTCAGAACCTGGAGGATTTGATGGCGCTGTCTGGTCGTTTGGAGTGCGAAGGCCCGAACAGACACTTGTATGACTTCACTGGCACACTGCGGCTGGAGAACCTCAAGTGAGACCTACCCTAATGAGTTACTGATTGACAATAGCTTGCGTATTGTCAGTGTAATATGCTATTTTATTTTATTTTAATTACTAGTCGATAGTATCTAAATTGTATCTTTTTATAAAACGGGTGTGGCCAAGACAGCAGGATAAAACTACATACATATCATAGATTTTATTTATAATTTAAGCGTGAGAGAAGAAAATACCCGCCGTAAAGACAGAAATTTCCTTCTGAATGCATCCGTTTTACTCACAAATAACAAAGAAATGCACTAATTTATCATGTTTTGTTGTCTTGTTTTCCTTAGTCCAGCTCCCCTGGGTCCAGACCAGGTGTTGCTGCGTGGCGCCCAGCTCAGAAACACGCAGTGGGTTGTGGGAATTGTTGTCTACACTGGCCACGACTCTAAACTGATGCAGGTAAACCCGATATCTTGTCCAAATTCAGGAAACTTTGTACAATGTGGCTTAAGAACACCTAAAAGCAAAGGAATTGTTGGAGTTTAGAGCTTTTGAATAACTGTGACACATTCATAACCGGGAGGACATCTAAGCTTTTTAATCTCCCACATTCCTCTGCTAAAAATTATAAAAACATGACAATAATAGTTTCATGTTTGTAATTGTGTATGACGTATAAAATCAGTCAAGCAAAAGTGTTCTGCAAGTGGACCATTGCACCGTCTTAATGTGTCTGTAATGAGTGCCTTTGTGTTTCTCACTTGTATTAATTGACCTCCCAGAACTCCACCAAAGCGCCACTGAAGCGCTCTAACGTGGAGCGGGTGACCAACATGCAGATCCTGGTCTTGTTTGGCATCCTGCTGGTCATGGCCCTGGTCAGCTCTGTGGGCGCTGCCATCTGGAACAAAGAACACACTGAAGATGCGTGCTGGTACTTGTCCCGGGCTGGTGAGAACGCACACACACACCCCCCACATTTCACAACAAAGTTAAGTCTCCTTACAGTAATGCAGAATTAGGATGAATACGTACACAATATAAAGGCCGGTAAAGAAGTGAATAATGGGTATTTGTGCAGGTGACATCTCCACTAACTTTGCGTATAACCTGCTGACGTTCATCATCCTGTACAACAACCTGATCCCCATCAGCCTGCTGGTCACTCTGGAGGTGGTCAAGTTCACACAGGCTCTCTTCATCAACTGGGTATGGTCCATGTGTGCTTTGTAATGCATGTGTTGAAATGTATTTTACTGCGGGTAGCCAAATATTCCTCATTGCTTTACTCGTGTTTTCTTTTTACCTCAGGACGTGGAGATGTACTACGCAGAGACGGACACACCGGCCATGGCTCGAACGTCCAATCTTAACGAGGAACTGGGCCAGGTCAGTTTCTCCCTCTCCTAATAGTGTGCTGTAGGATGGAAGTGGGAATGCCCAAAAAAAGCACCACATACACGCCTGTTAAAACATGCAACTGTCATTACCTATTGTCTGTACCTGTTGTTTCCAGGTGAAGTATCTCTTTTCCGACAAGACGGGGACTCTGACCTGTAACGTCATGCACTTTAAGAAGTGTTCCATTGCGGGAATCACATATGGGTCAGTCATCTCTTTTTTTATTTGTTCTTTTTCTCTTAGCTTAGCAGTAAAAGGACCCAGCTACTAAAAGAAAATGAGCTTAGAATCCCGCTAAACTTACCTCTGCATTGAGTTTCCTTTTATTTCAATCTGTTAAACTAATCAATGTCTCAGACTAACTTTTAGTAAAGAAAAATTGAACGCTCGCATGCTTGATCAAATAAACTAATCAGCTCATCAACTGATTGATTCCTTTTGGCATACGACCTCATTGATCACTGCAGCCACTTCCCTGATCTTGACTGTGATCGTTCAATGGAGGACTTCAGGTGAGTGACCTTCTCCTCTCACCTCCTCATCCGTCCTCCCCTTTCTAATATTCTTTTCTTCATTTTGAGCTCTGTATCTTTTGAGAAAAGATTGCACTGTGCGTGCTTTAATCTAAACAATAGACACAATTCACCTAGTTTTAGCTGCAATTGCTATTTGAATGCACAAACATTTTTTTTTACTACACAATAACTAAAATAACTCATGTCATAAATAGTTTTCCCTTGTCTCACAGCAATCTGCCGCCCAGCAGCAATAACTCTACCGAGTTTGATGACCCAACTCTCATCGAAAACATTGAGAACCATGTAGGTGTCTCTGTCAAATTTCTTTATTTGAATCAAACCTATTCTACCCGCAGATTACTAGAAGGCGCTGTTTAAGACCATGTCCGCTCTGTTTGTGTGTGTGTGTGTTTTCAGCCTACATCGCCTCAAATCTGTGAGTTCCTGACAATGATGGCAGTGTGCCACACGGTGGTCCCAGAGAGAGAGGAAAACCAGATAATTTACCAGGCCTCTTCGCCAGATGAAGGCGCGCTGGTCAAAGGAGCCAAAGGGCTCGGCTTTGTCTTCACTGCAAGAACCCCGCATTCAGTCATAATCGAAGCTGTAAGTGTGTATCTGTGTGGTTTTTTTCTGCATTAAGAGCTGTTTCCTGCAAAGTTAGGAGCTGACACTTTGTTGTTTATTGCAGAGAGAAAAAGAGATGAGCTATGAACTACTGAATGTGCTGGAGTTTTCCAGGTAATGCTCCCATAAATGTTCCGCTCAGTCAGTAAATAACGAAGACTCTCGTGTGTTTTGAAACTAATCCCATGGCTTCCTTTACAGCAACCGCAAACGCATGTCTGTGGTGGTGAGAACCCCCGATGGGAAGCTGCGGCTGTACTGCAAAGGAGCTGTATGTTTATCTCATTATAATTGTAATTTGGCACTCCAAATGTTTTAGCTCATTTTTCATTTATTCACTGAATTTTCTTATTTTGTTGTTCTGCAGGATAATGTCATTTTTGAGCGCCTGACTGAGGCGTCCCAGTACAAAGAATTAACTATTGCTCACCTGGAACAGTTTGCTACTGAAGGTAAGAAGGAAAAAAAAGAGAGAGAAAGAGAGGAATGTTAAAATTACATTTGGTGAAGAATGCATCATGACTTGTTTATGACTTGGGACTGATCTGAATTTAGTATGAAGACTTGACATTATTATATATACCACCTCTGAGTGAGGCTTAAATTACATCAGAACCATCTTTCCTGAGTTTCCTTCTCAGTGTTCCAATGGAAAAATATTGGACCACTCAGTCCATTTTAAATATGAATAACAATCATAGCTATAATAATCTATTTCTGCACCATGATCACACTGATTGTGATCTTATCCTCATCCCATCCATCCAGGCCTGAGGACTCTGTGTTTTGCCTATGTGGACCTGGAGGAAGGCGCCTACCAGGAGTGGCTGAAGGAATACAATCGAGTCAGCACAGTGCTCAAAGACCGCGCTCAGAAACTAGAGGAGTGTTATGAACTGCTGGAAAAGGTGAACACACCGTGTCTTCATCTGCAGTGATGTGTATTGTTGGCCTGCAACCTTATGTGAGATGTCTTGGTGAAAACAAAGTGCCTGTAAGTCTTAAAAGATCTCTATTATACAGAAGTATTCATAGATTGATATAAAATCAAAGCCTAGACCTAAAAGAACATAAAATTCTTTAGAAATACTCACAAACACAAGACACATGTTTGCCAGCAGGTGGCAGAGGGGCTACATTGATTCCCAGACTTAAATAAACATGGTTCTCCTTCATCACCCACACAGTCAAATTTCCCTCCTTAACAGCGTGTCTTTTCTTTTAGCACAATTTAAAGGATGATATCATGGACATCTTGTATTGGTTGGTCAGAAAGGTAGCACTGACTGGGAGGGAAATTGAACAAATAATAGTGAGATTACTGTTGAGAGGATATTGCACAAAAAGAAAGGATTTAGCATAGAGATTCGAGGTGAGAAAAGTAAGTGAAGAGGGGGAAAAAATAGGAAGCAGGAGGAGGAGGGGAGCTCAGACTGGGAGACCACAAGGGTAATTACCTGCACCAGCCTGCCAAAAGCCCCATAAAACTGGAGTCAACAACACTGTAGTGTTAACTTGTGTGTCTGTGTGAGTGTTTGTGTGTGCGTCCGAGTGTGTCTAATGAGGGTACATATGCATTTAAATGCTGAACAAATTAAAGCAAGGGGAGGAAAGGTAATGGGTTACTTCTTGGCACAAAGACACCGAGTTGGTACAAAGGCCCAAAATGAGCTGCTGTACCAATTGAACTGAGCTCGCTGGCATCCTTCTCGTCCTCAAATTAGATATGGATGATGTTCTCTGGAGAGAAAGAGCCTTCACATGCAGGCTGGTGATGTCTGGCTGAATTTGTAGACTAAATATGATAATAACTTTATTCTTTTGTGCCATATTTTGTTCCCTCTCTCTTATTGAGTCTTACTTCCCAAGTTATTTCTGTCTCTTTATCTGTCACTCTCTTCTGTTCCACCAAACAGAACTTAATGCTGTTGGGCGCCACAGCCATAGAGGACCGTCTCCAGGCCGGCGTGCCAGAGACCATCGCCACGCTGATGAGGGCTGACATCAAGATCTGGGTCCTCACTGGAGACAAGCAGGAGACTGCCATCAACATAGGTGAAAGCATTTAAAATAAACACCGAAGTGTGAGTTTAAGTCACAAGAAGGACAGTCCTGCACCACAAGCAGATGGAAAGTAATGGTAGCTTATCTGACATGAGGGAGTTTTTAGTGCAGTATATGCCAGTGATGTAGGCAAATCCAGCGGTGGTGAGGAAGTCCCCTTGTCACTGCAGCCTGATGCGCAGCACTGTAGGAAACTGTATTTTTATTAAATCATGCCTAGAAGAACAGCAGTTATTATGTGGGGCTGTGAAATGCCAGACATGTCTCCAATCTCTAAGGAACAATGTGACAGTGGCCAGTGTACGCAGGTTAGAAGGGACTTAAAATTGAACAGCAATGACATTAGTGCGTTTGGTTTGTCTTGGCAGTTGGTGGCAGATATCCACAAAAATAAGTCTTGAAAAACAAGATTTTAGCAGACACACTTAGTTTAAAAGTTGATAGACACACCTATAAAGACAAATAGTGATTGAACTACTCTCTTCACCTGCATTAGCATTCATTATAATTCGCTTTTGTTAACAATAACAACATGCATAATAATAGCGATTTAATGGTCGGACACTGATGGAGGAGGAGGAGGAGAGTGGGGTCAGATAGCTGTGTGTGAGAATGGAGCAGGATTTTGCAACTGCAGCCCTACATGAGACCAGTTTTTCCCACCTGAGTTTTGAGTAAATCTAAGCTCTCTCACATCCCCCATTCTCTCCCTATCTGTTTCTCAGGTTACTCATGTCGTCTGGTGACACACGGCATGTCCCTCATCATCGTCAATGAGGACTCTCTGGACGTGAGTAGATCCTCCACTTCCTGTACGCTTTGTACAGTATTGGGACTTTCTGTGTGTGTGTGTGTGTGTGTACACAGTAGGGAAGGTGTTATGTGGTGGGGTCTTAAGCAGGCTACTGTGGGAACTAGGGTGCGGTCCACAGCCAGATTGGTGGGTGTGGCTCTTTGTGTGCTCACAGGTGCAGGTAATTAAAGTCTCTGGTATCCCTTTTGGAGAAAGGGATGAAAAAAGACAAGTACTGAACTACCACTTCTTCCCCCTCTCCTTCTGTCTCTGTCACAACATTCACATGCAGTACCTGTCTTTTTGAGCGTATAGCATTCTTACTGTTTGTGTCTCTGGATCTAACCTTTGCTAAATGCCAGAATGTACAGGCTGCACATGGGTCAGTCTGGTTATATATCTTTTGCTATTTAGAGTGAGATCTGAGACATTCTTTATCTCTAAATTAGATTTATATTTATAATGTGTAATGTGTTCTTTGCATTCAGGTTTCATGTGTGACTGCTTAACTTAAGTGGCTTGATTGCTGTCATGTGTCTCTGTCTGTCTCTCCTTCACACACTCACACGCTGTGCCCCGACTACCACGTGTGTGTACGTGTGTGTGTGTGTGTGTGTGTGTGTGTGTGTGTGTGTGTGCGTGCATAGACTCACACAATCACAGTGTGTTCACTTTTATGGAGATTGTTTATATGTGAGACTGGGGAGATCATGCCTCATAAATGTTTTGTGTGTTTTGTTTATGGGTTTGTGTGTGAGTGGGCCCAAAGTGCGTGTTAAAACCCTGATGGAGAGACATCTATGTTTACTTTCATAATTTTCTTACCTCGCGTAAATCATCGCTCAGATTGGTGGGTGTCTTCAACTGTGAGCTTTTATAGGGATTTTTAAGTCTAAAGCATGATTGACATAGCATTATCAACCTCTATGTGGTTAACATTGCTTCCAAGTGGAAGAAGTGTGAAAGGATTTTAATGTTGGTCATGATTTTAAACTTAATTGCACAACTTCACACCTATAATCCTTTTAGCTGGCCTTTATAATGCGAAGTTCTAGTAAAAGAAATAGTTGGGAGTTTACATTTGCACGCATCAAAGTGGTGTCTAGAAGTTCCCAGACTTTGGGAACTGCTGGTCAAAAGCCAGAAAGCATGCAAGGCCACTCAGATACTGAGTAAATTGAGTCGGACAGGGTGAACATTTTTAATATGGGTAATACGGGTACTTGTAATTAGTATATCGTCTGGCCAATATAGTCTGGGCTGGTAGATGAAACATTTGGCTCTAACAGCTTTCTTTGCCCTGCCATTATTGCTGATACATATTTTAAATTCTTGTCATTAAGCTTTAATTGCAACTCCTCTACAGAGATTACACATAGACGTACGTAGGTCCAATATAACATAAGACAATACATTTTTTGTTAGTATATGGTCTCTGTATTTTTTTTCACCTACATGCCAGAAAAGAAGACTTTCTAACCCCTTTTACTAGAAATATCGTAAGTTAGAAAAACTCTTTTACAGCTGAATGACTTGAGACGGGATGTTGGCCACTGTACTGTACTTAAGGACTGTTTGGACTTCCAGTATAAACAAAAAAAAACTGTGGTGAGAATGATGATTAAAAAACATTTTTAGACACATCTTTCTATCTAGGTGTGGATGAAAGTGAATGGCAACTAGATCTTAAGATAGTCAAATAAAAGCTGTTTCCCTGAGAATGGCCTGTTCAAATCTGCAGAATATTTTCTAGTGGGGAAAAACTACAAAGCTGATTTAACACTCACTTCCATTCAGAACACTCCATTTAGTAGCAACTTTAAACAACTTGGGAAGGCAGTAGGGAATCCATCTTTGAGCTGGACAGCCTGGCCTCAATACATAGCAATGGCAACCGTCCACCCTGCTGATATGTCCTTGAGCAAGTTTTTGAATCTGTACCAGCACCGGGCGGGTGTGTTACTACTGTTGAAGAGGTTTAAGATTAAATATGTTATTATCGTTCAAAGGGTTCTTTTGTAACGTGGTTGTGCTGTACACATTTCTACATGGCGCAGCTGCAGAGGGACAGCTGCTTGACATGAAACACGCTTCAGAGCGTGGTGCGTTTGCAGCGCACTTTCAAGTGGGTGGAAATGCAACATGGCAGACGAGACAGAATAAACAACATGACAAACTGCTGCAGCAAAACCCAATTATAAAAGGAGACTAATGAATGCTTAATCGCATCCCAAAATACACAAAATACAGCATTGACATCCTACAGACAATCGGATTTGTAAAATCATATATTCACAACCCTCTCCCTCATATCATATTGGTAACATTGTGAAAATCTGGATTTAGATTTGGTCATGTGGCTGTAAGGGAAGAAACCTTCTCTCTGATGTTTATGAATATAGCATGAGAGCTGTGGTTGTGTGGTGGTTGGTGTAGATGAAAGCGGACGGCACTGTCTTCAGAGCAACACTTATCTCTTCACTTAAAATAACTCCCACTGGCTCAGCTTCTGTATGCACGCGGGCCTGTTTGAAGGTGTAACCTGCGCGTGAGCGAAAACAGACGCTGCTTATCAAAATTGCACCTCGAGGTTGACCTCTTGCCCCCACTTTTAAAAATTTGTCCCAACTTTTCACTCTCTCTATCACACCCTCGTTCTGCCAGTCTCACATGCAACCAACCCCCTCTCTCCCCAAACAAGCCCATTCTCCGCTCCATGTCTCCTTCACACTACTGCCTCCATATCTGTCAGCACTCTCTCTATGCGCAGGAAGCGACTACACAGCCTCTGCGATGTGTGACAGGAAACCTGAGTGTGTGTTAGAGGGAGAGTCAGAGGGAGAGCAGGAACAAGCAACAAAATATGTGTGTTTATCTGGAGTCTGTTTGTGAATAAAGAAGGCGGATGGGTGGGGGTGGGGGTGGGGGGGTATGGTACTTAACATATGAGATAGACGGTCCGGACAGAGAAGGAATATGGGGGAGAAGAAGTGGGAGATTTGGCCGTGCCATGTGAGGGGTGATGAGAGAATGGTAATGCGATCTCCTTTTGGTGGTTCTCCTCATCAAAACAAACCCTGTGAGCAATGCCTCCTGGGTAAACGGTTTGCGACTGCTGAAGCTGTGACAAGCGCCATCTGTCCCCTTCAGATCACATGCCACACACCGACGCCGACACAAATCTTTGCCCCGTCTCCTTCTGTTTAGTCAGCACTGAAGCATACAAATGTAAAGTCTCCTTTGTATCTTCTTATGTCTTATTGTCTGTGAAGCTGTGTCTCTCTCTCTCTCTCTCTCTCTCTCTCTCACTCACTCACTCACTCACACACACACACACACACACACACTCTGTAAACAGCATCTCTCTTCTGCTCATTAATCATCTTTATGCGCGGGCGCACACACACACACACACACACACACACACACACACACACACATTCACATTTTGTAGACCTTCAGCTTGCATGCTCGATTGTTCTGGCATTTTTCAATTTATAATAGTTTTTTGTACATCAGGCCTCCCACTGTTGAAGTCCACATGTCTCTTTGTATGTGTGTGTATGTGTGTTTCTGGCTCAGGCAGCAAAGGATGTGGGTGTTTGCACAGATGCAACGTCGGATAATTAAACGGTATATTAAATCTCAGTGGTGACAGAATCTGCACTTCAGATATGAGCATGTCTTTCTCCGCCTTCTTTTCACTCTGTAGCACTCCCTCTCTCTCTCTCTCTCTCTCTCTCTCCCGTTTCCCAGAGTCTGGCAGAGTCCTTGTCCTTCGTCTGTCTCCTTTTCTTTGTACCCTTTCCCATTTATCTTTCTTACTGCCTTTTTGTATATTGAGCTCTCTTTGAAAGGAGAGGGTGGCCTGGAATGGATCAACATTTGGCTTCCTTCCCCCTTTCTTACTATGTGTATATATGTGTTTTTATATATATACATATATATATGTGTATATGGTAAAGTATGCAATGAGAGAGGGTGACCTGTGATATCTCAAACCGCCTCTGTGCCCTGCCCATTTCACGATCCAAATATAACCCTGATAAAATTCCACGCAGAAGGGTGTGTGAATATCGTTTATAAAGTGTGTGTGTGGGTGTGGGTGTGTGTGTTAGAGTGTTTTCTGCCTTCTTCAAGCTCAGATGCACATGAAAAATAAATATTTAGTTTGGAAGATAAAAATGCTTGCTAATGAGATCTGTCACGTTGCAACTGGTGCAATCAAAGAATTCAGCAATTTTTTCCTCAAAGGTCTCCAAAAATAGCGGGTACTTTTAGCGTGAGAAAGAGGAAAGTTACATACTAATGGGTTTTTCTTTGGTCTTTGGTTTATGTTTGTTCTCCTTGAGAAAGTGTTAACAGATCATAGTGGACCTTTTGTGAGCTGTTTCTTTTCATGTTAAGACGGTGTTCATGCTATGAGGATACAGTGAGGTCTGGACTTGCTGTACTTTAGTAAGTGGCTGCCTGTTAGCTTTAAGAGCTAACTAGTGTTTGCACCTTAGTTACCTTTTTAATCTTCTATAGCTCCCTGCAGACTTAGCATGGTTATTATCCCGGGATATCTTAGCCGCCGCGAAAGCTTTGAAAGGACCTGCTGTGACAAGTCACTGTGGTGGATCAGCCACTCACTTGTAGTTTTCATTCACTTGAGGACTGACCCATGCATGTGACCCTCTCTTTCCATAGTCACATTACGTGGGTTCATACTACAGTGAATTTCAGGCACAACTAGCAACTGAGCCCATATTTTGGTGTTAAGAGCTTCACAGAATAAAGCCCCATGCAGAAAGTTGTGCAACACTTAGAGCATCAACACAACATCACCCCAAATATGTGTTGTGTACAGTGTTTTTATACAATCATTTTTCACTAACATGCTGTTTACTTTGTAAAATGCTGCTAAGGTTTTTGTGTTCATTCCTCTGTGATGGGGTGAGGACAAGCAGGAGGAAGAAGGAGGTTGTGTCAGATTCTCATCTCTCACACATGCCTTACATGTGCACATACACAACCCCTGACACACCGCGCGCATACATGTGTTTTAGTCCTCTGTAAAAACACGTGCACATCAACACACACACACACACACACACACACACACACACATTGAGTTTCTCTGACAACCTGTAATCTCCTTTAATCCTTTCATTATGTTTTTGTTTTCCTTTCCCGTGTTTGGGGAAAAAGGTGAATGCAAACAGGAATTCCGGCATACAAAGAAAAACACACAACCTCAGGCTGACAAAACAAGAGGAGGGAATTTTGGGGAAGAGGAGGGACAGTTTTGTGTAGAAACATGTGTGCATCGCTATTTGGCAAGAAGAAGAGAGACTGTATTGTTCGTGTGATTGTGTTACATGTACGTGTGTGCTTGCTGCCTTGTCTGTTGCATATGCTGATCGACGGACAGAGGGGTCATCTCTCTGTGGTCACCGGACTCTCTCTCTCAGGCCGTCAATAACCCGCTGTGAGAGACTGTGTAGATTCTTAACGGCGCCAAATTATAAAATGTTTGTGCACTTTTGTGTCTAGCGTTTGGTCTTGTGTAGCTGATTGCTGTATGTTTAGTCCCTTTTGCCCTTGTTTCCACAAACAATCCCTGTTACGGGGCATTTCATTTTGCGTCACTCCCTGTTTATTATGTGTATTTAAGCTGGATTCCGCATGTACAACTTACAAAACTGTCCCTAGATAGACAGTTGGTGATCTGTTTGCTGCAGTATTGGACAACACTTGATGGATAAAACATTCTTGTTCCATCTGCTTAGTGTTGGGATGATTTTTTTATTGGCTCTATCATGACTTCACCTCCTGTCATCTCTTTAATGTAAAGAGGTTTAGTAAACATCAAGTCCCAGCTGGAACTGTTTAGATGAAATAGGTCTAAATTCATCTTAGCCTTATTTTTCACTGGTCTCACATGGTTTTATAAAAACCACAAGTAAAAGCTAAAAGTTTAGAACTTCTGTCTAAAAGGTAAAGCTGGATCACATAAGATGATGCATATTAAACCTTGCTCTGTAACATTAGTATCCCATGGAAATCATAATTTAAGTCAGTAGAAATGAAGAATTCAGGTGTGTGTGTGTGTGTGTGTCTGTGTGTGTCTGTGTGTGTGAACGCCTGACTGGTAGCTTGTAGCGTGCCTGCTCCTCCACATGGATTTCATTACAACTCCATGGGGTGTTTATTTTCTCTATTAATCCCTGTTCCTCTATTATCAAGAGCTCCATCAAAACTGCCCCAAACTACTGCCCTACAGACAAGCAGGCATTCAAACAAACACACATGCATGTACACACACACACACACACACAGACACACAGCACATGAATGATGCATTTAACCCTGCCACATCATTAATCCAGATTTTTCCTTTAACTGTCTGTGTCTCTTTTTGTACATTTTCACCCATGGTGGTGGCATGTTGCTGCATTGTGAAGTAAAAATTTAAGATTTGATGCCATGGTTCCAGACACCATCACTGTGTTGTGATGGTGTCTGGAACAACTTTGAACTTTTATATTGGCATTCTTCATTGTTTAGTGTACACAGAAGCAAATTCTTTCCTCAGTTGAAGGCAGCCCATGCAACCAGAGGCACATGTCTTCCATTTACCGCCAGTGGTTTTGACCTTTCAACAAATTGGTCTGTGTGTTTTTGATGTGTGTGTGTGTGATTTGTATTTTCACCACTATGTGAAGCCACAATATCGCCACAAAAACATAAAACCTGAAAATGCGGTCACTTGAAAGCGCCACTGCCAAGTCATATAAGAAAAAGATTCATTTTCAGAGTTATGATTGGTTAGGGTGTGGATTAGGATTTAAGATTGTTGACAATTAGTGGTGAGGTTCAGGGTTAGAGGTTAGGTTTTCAGCATTTACTGATACATCCTTATGGGTACTGATATGTTTTTGTGTATGTTCCTGACTTGTAGAAGAGATGTTAGAGATAAAAGCTTGTCAGTAAAAGCATGATGATGATGCGTTAAACTGAACAGTTTCTGAAGCTTAGTTTTTTTTTGGGGGGGAGGGAGCAGGAAGAATATTAGTCATCCTTACAAGAAAAAGATTTAAGAGAAACTCTGTGTTTATCTCATTGCAGGCTACTCGTGCCACATTGACCACTCACTGTTCGTCCCTGGGCGACTCTCTGAGGAAGGAAAATGAGCTGGCGCTGATCATCGACGGTCAGACGCTGAAATACGCGCTGTCCTTCGAGCTCCGCCAGGCCTTCCTTGACTTGGCGTTGTCCTGCAAGGCTGTCATCTGCTGCCGGTAGGGAAGACTCATTCATCACATGCACACACACACCCACACAGACACACATGCACGTACATAAGCAAACTCCTGCACAGGTCTGGAGAACCTGGAAAAGTTTGGAATTATGAATTCACAAAGCACAAAAATAAATAAATTCAGTGTTTTACCTTGTTACTGCTTAAGTCAGCTTCTTACTTGCAGAAAATGGTTGCAAGATATGAATCAGAATTAGTCCATGGCGCAGATGATGGAAAAATTTATATTGAATAGGAAATGACAATTTGGTTTGGTTTTCTATGATGAAATTTCAGTCTGTTGCTCGGTGCCCATAAAAGGAGCATGAAAGGTGAAAACCCTATGAAAACACACACAAACCTCATAAAAAATGACAGTGTGGACCATCTTATGACCAGAAAAACTGAAACAAATCAGTGTGCAAGAAGTCTAGACAAAGTCTGGAATTTTAATCTATAAAAAGGAAAAGCACCCTGTATTAGAAAAAGACTTTTACAGATACACAAGATCATTGTGCTGTTGTGGCAAAACCTGTATGTACAAAGAAAAAGGAGAGTCTGCACACTGAAATTTGCTCGCTCCCTAAAGTGTTTTTTAATGCGAACTAACTTTGTCCTACACCTGCTTGAATATCCACCTTTTTTTGCTTAAAACATGAATGTACAAAAAGACGAAGGCATAGTTTTCTTTTATTCCACACAGACGTTTTGACCACAAGTGGTCTTCATCAAGGAAGCTGCGATGACACATCAGCTGTAAGATTAATCCTGATGATTGACTTCATTGGGTGTTGGGCAGAGGAGCCTGGTGAGAGGGCAAAACCCCATTGCATCTCACCACATACAGATAAATTCTCACTCGGCTGTGTGTATGCATGCGCGGGCGCGTATACCTGCGTGCATGTTGTGTATGTTTGTAAAGGTTGTCGGTTACCACGCTGTCAGCAAATGAATGGGGGTCATAAAAGCCTGTCCCACTGCACAGCAGGAGTAATGTAATACACTACGCTGCATGGAAATGTCAAAGCCATGACTCACTTACTGCTGGTACCTCTGGAATGGGCACCAAAAACACACACACACACACACAGTCATAGCCATTATACATTTCCATTCATACAAAGTACACACTGTTCATAAATTGTTTACTGCATGTTGCCTTTTTTGGTCATGTTCCACTCAACACCAGCTGTGATGTTTAACAAAAGTGTTTCCACTCGTCTTTTGTCTGTGTGTGTGTGTGTATGTGTGGTGTGTGTGTTTGCGCAGCCAGGAGGGAAGTAATTGACTCTCTCCCTTGCATATCCAGGCCATATCCGGACTCAGGTCTCACAAGCCCTGCAAACAGCCTCCAGCTTACTTTCCTTTACCTTTCTCTCTGTGCACCTTTCTCCCTCATCCTCACCATATCTGTCTCGCTCCCCTGGCTTGGGCTGGGTATCGAACATCAATACATTTACACGTGCACACATTTGACCAAAACGTGGCCATGGAACCAAATATTGAAAACACATAAATTAGTAAAAGTTGGCATCAAATGTCGGGTTCAAACTTGAGTGCAAAGCAGCAGGAGTACGTGGAGTTTTGATAAAAAGCTTTTATTAGTTACATGACTTGTTCTTTAAAGGTCTTAAGGGTTTATTTATCAAAACTTCACATACTTCTGCTCCTCTGTGTGTTAGTACCTTTTAGATATGTTTGAAGGTTTCAGCTCATTTTCTTTAGGAGCACCAGCATTAGTTTGCTGACTGCTTCCCAAGATTTTCCCAGTGAGCACAACACAGTTGTTTTGGATTTGCCAGCTTCAGATTGTGGTTTATATGAGCAGTAAGTTCTTGTATATCTGTTTGTGTTCAGGGTTTTAGAAGTCAGAAATGAAGTACTGACTCTAGTAGATGTTTGCATTTTGCACTTTACATCAGTGGTTCCCAACCATTTTAGGCATGGGACCCCTTCATACAAAGCAATTCTCATTCTCAAGTCTCATTACAAGTTACATTTAGTAGCTCTGAACACCTCAAAGTGTTGAGCTCCTCAGACTCTTTAATTTGAATAATTATTAGAGGCCTGATGAGATAAAACTATCCGGGATTTCACAAGGGAAAAAATAAACAAAGATTAGAGAAAGCAGAAGTTGTTTTGTTTTGTTTCCTTCGCCTTGAGAGGTCCCGACCCTCAAGGAACCACTGCTGTAGGTGATTCCTTTTGTGCATGTGTGGGTGCTTCCAGGGCACAATCCTGTTAATAAGGTGCCTGTACATAATGATTTGACTTGTAAGTATAGAGGTTTCTTTAAGATAATGTCTCATCCACAGTATGTGTGTGATGTTTTGTGCTTGTTTGTGTGTGTGTGTGTGTGTGTGTCTCTCTGGGGCGGCAGAGTCAGGGTGCACTCGTACGCATGGCTTCCTGACTTCACTGTGCGTTTGTTTATCCGAGGACTTATTTTCTGCTCAGTTCCACCGTGAAGAACACCGGGAGCCTTTCATCTCTCCAACGCCACTCTGCACAATCCCAGACACTGTTAGCAGTGTTTAGAGGAAAGGTAGAGAGAGAGAGAGACAGAGAGAGATAAAGAGAGATTTGTGGTCGGAGGCAGAGAGACGCACAGGCAGACGCGCTCACGTGCACTTCAGACTCAGAAACAGGAAAAACTAAAGAGCAGAGGTTGATCCCAGTCCGCATCGACTACAGAGGCCTAGACTCTCTCTGAGGTTTTTCCCTGGAAACGTCCTCTGGTGTGTGTGTGTGTGTGTGTGTGTTTTTGTGTGTGTTTTTGTGCGTGTGTAAATATATGCGCACGCCTACGTATGAATACTAAGCAGACCACCCAGCTCTTGACCGGGACATGATCCTTCTTACATATTCATAGAAGATAGACCATCTTTATTACCTGTGGGCTCCAGCCGGATGTGTGAGTGTTTGTGGGTGTGTCTAAGGGGTCATCCATCTGCTCATAATTTCATTTTGTCATATCTTTTATCAAAGCCTCATATTGTATTCTGTTTGCATGCGATGGCTCATGCAGCTGCACATGATTGAATTTTGTAATATCATTATCACTGACGAAATTGGTGGGGATTTAGTGCTAGACCTAGTTAGCTGCAGCCGTACTTGACACACACACGCGCAGAAAAACGTCATTGTGAAAGTGACTCCGGTTTGAAGTGTTGGCCACACTGTCCAGTGTTGATACTTAAATTACCATCACCTAATGCATCACTGAGGCTCAGGTAATTACAGAATCCAGGAAATGTAATGTAAATGTTTAATATCTGGATTTGGGTTAATCTCCAGTTACACAGTCAAATGGCCTACTGCACCTGCAGTGTTTATTTGTGGTAAATAAATACCACATTTAATATATAACACAAATATGCAATCTTAAGACACTGTAAAATGTTTTTGTACATACGCCACTACAGTAGCAAATCCTGTACTGTGGGAAATAGAACTTGCTTTGTTATACAAGTTTAATCCCAGTCCCAGTATCAGTTTTCTCCCTTGCCTCCTTCTTTGAAGGTACACTGCTCAAAAAAATAAAGGGAACACTAAAATAACACATCCTAGATCTGAATGAATGAAATAATCTCATTAAATACTCCTTTCTTTACATAGTTGTGCTGACAACAAAATCACACAAAAATTATCAATGGAAATCAAATTTATCAACCCATGGAGGTCTGGATTTGGAGTCACACTCAAAATCAAAGTGGAAAACCACACTACAGGCCGATCCAACTTTGATGTAATGTCCTTAAAACAAGTCAAAATGAGGCTCCACGTGCCTGTATGACCTCCCTACAACGCCTGGGCATGCTCCTGATGAGGTGGCGGATGGTCTCCTGAGGGATCTCCTCCCAGACCTGGACTAAAGCATCCCCCAACTCCTGGACAGTCTGTGGTGCAACGTGGCGTTGGTGGATGGAGCGAGACATGATGTCCCAGATGTGCTCAATTGGATTCAGGTCTGGGGAACGGGCGGGCCAGTCCATAGCATCAATGCCTTCTTCTTGCAGGAACTTCTGACACACTCCAGCCACATGAGGTCTTGCATTAGGAGGAACCCAGGGCCAACCGCACCAGCATATGGCCTCACAAGGGGTCTGAGGATCTCATCTCGGTACCTAATGGCAGTCAGGCTACCTCTGGCGAGCACATGGAGGGCTGTGCGGCCCCCCAAAGAAATGCCCCACACCATTACTGACCCACCGCCAAACCGGTCATGCTGGAGGATGTTACAGGCAGCAGAACGTTCTCCACGGCATCTCCAGACTCTGTCACGTCTGTCACATGTGCTCAGTGTAAACCTGGTTTCATCTGTGAAGAGCACAGAGCGCCAGTGGCGAATTTGCCAATCTTGGTGTTCTCTGGCAAATGCCAAATGTCCTGCACGGTGTTGGGCTGTAAGCACAACCCCCACCTGTGGACGTTGGGCCCTCATACCACCCTCATGGAGTCTGTTTCTGACCATTTGTGCAGACACATGCACATTTGTGGCCTGCTGGAGGTCATTTTGCAGGGCTCTGGGAGTGCTCCTCCTGCTCCTCCTTGCACAAAGGCGGAGGTAGCGGTCCTGCTGCTGGGTTTATTGCCCTCCTACGGCCTCCTCCACATCTCCTGATGTACTGGCCTGTCTCCTGGTAGCGCCTCCATGCTCTGGACACTACGCTGACAGACACAGCAAACCTTCTTGCCACAGCTCACATTGATGTGCCATCCTGGATGAGCTGCACTCCCTGATCCACTTGTGTGGGTTGTAGACTCTGTCTCATGCTACAAATAGAGTGAAAGCACCGCCAGCATTCAAAAGTGACCAAAACATCAGCCAGGAAGCATAGGAACTGAGAAGTGGTCTGTGGTCACCACCTGCAGAACCACACCTTTATTGGGGGTGTCTTGCTAATTGCCTATAATTTCCACCTGTTGTCTATTCCATTTTGATTGTCAATCAGTGTTCAGTTTGATTTCAGTGGAGTGTGATTGACTTGGAGTTACATTGTGTTGTTTAAGTGTTCCCTTTATTTTTTTGAGCAGTGTATATTTGTTCTCGCTGTACAGGTTGCAGGTACTAAGAACGAGACTCACTCGAGCTGTGCTCATGTGAATGACAGGCAGAAGGAACGCCTCCTCATACAAAGCATGTTTTGAAAGCAGCGCTGAAGATAAATCCACGCCTAGCCATTAGGTCCAGACTGCAGCTTTTGGGAACGTAAACACTCAGTTGGATTTTTCTCACACAAGCACCTCCCAAGATCCCTACCAGTCAAGCTTGATCATTCCCTTATAAATCTCACTGCAGCTATTATACCAAGCTGAACTTTGAACTATACAGATAAACAAATAAAAGTCTAGAACACAAATTCATGTGAAAAACTCAATTCATTCTCAGCAATCCACCATGTCAAATAGTTTTATTTCTATGACTTATTTATCCACTGATTTAGTGTACATAATTTTAACGTTTTTGTAGGTAGCATAAAGGAAACTGCAACTTCATCTTATTGCATCTCATCATTATAACTTGCACCTTTTATAAATGTCTCGGTGCCTTGGCATCAAAGAAACCCCTCTTTTCTCATCACTGCTTTAGAAAAAGAAAAAAGAACTATTTCATCCGATCAAAAATGTTGTGGTGCTGTTTCCAAGGTAAAGAATTAATTTTCAGTCTCAATTTTTAAATCAAAATGCACAATAAGTTCTTAAAGTGCTCAGAAAAAATGGGAACTTACTACATTTTCATGACAACTGGGCAAAATCCCTATGCTGAGGAAGAACCTGTGATATGATCAAAAGCTCCTGAACAGCCACTAAATGGATGTTGTAGTGAGTTTGTCAGGAGTGATCTCTTAAACTCAAAAGCCAAGTTTTTCTCACACCTTTTCACATTTAAATAAGCTAAAATTAAGAAAATAATTTTTCCAGCACACACCGATCTAAAGCTTTCGCAGTTCCTTTCCATGGCAGATGGTGGGAAAAATATTAAGGAAAAACACTTCCAAAACCTTTTTAGTAAATACAAACAGAAAAGGGTCCTCCGATGGAGCTGTGGTCTCATTTGTCCACAGATGCAACACATTCATCCATAAAATGAACAAATATCCACAGTACTTCAGCAAACACCTGAATATCGTCACACAGTGTCCCCGAGGGAATCGTCTGTAATCCAGCCTCCCTGGGTCTTTCAATGTCAGTGAAGAGACAGAACCAGTTACGGTGAGGAGGATCTGTGATATAGGTCAAGAGGGTGGAGTACCACTGGAAGCTCCCTGAACACCACTGTAAGCACACACATATAAACACATCAGACGTGAGCCACCCAGAGCCTTATTAGCAGGACAGTGAATCATTGTTTCTAATTCCTGGTGAAGAGCTGTAAACAGAGCCCGTTGTGTGTGTTTTTCTGCCAGCGGCAGAGTATTATTTTATCTTCCAACCTCTAATTTCCTACTGGTCCCGACAGCTGTACACCTATAATGTCAACCAACCATCTCGATCTTTCTCTTTTCTTTTCTTTTTAAAAAAAAATTGTTTCTGCAGAGTGTCTCCGCTGCAGAAGTCAGAGATTGTGGATATGGTAAAGAAGCACGTGAAGGCCATCACGCTGGCGATAGGCGACGGCGCCAACGACGTGGGCATGATTCAGACGGCTCACGTCGGAGTGGGGATCAGCGGCAACGAGGGCATGCAGGCCACCAACTCTTCTGACTACTCCATAGCACAGGTGGGGTGCAGACGCAGCATGGAGACGTGGCTAGGGTCATGCAGATATGTTACAGGCTTTACACGAACGTGGATAATGGATCCATGCTTGGTTGTCCACCCTGCTTGAGTCTCTTTAGGCAAGACACTGAATCCTTACCTGCTCACCGTTCAGCCGGTCCTGATCTTTGACCTCCCTGGAGGGGGAGAATTAACTTACAGGGGATCACTTAGGTATCATGTTATCGAAACTAACCCAGCGGCTCATCGCACGTGTTTATATTCTGAAAATAAAATTAAGTCCAAAAGGAAATATGCCTTTTGAATGGTAATTGTTTAATATTAAAAATTTAACAGAATAATACTTCAACATTTTCATTCTGCTCTAGACAGTATCCCTTTTTTGCCCCAAATTTCTAAGTTTAAATAAATAAATTGGGTAGCTCTTAAACTTCCGTCACTGCTGAGAAGTTGGTTACCCATTTAAATATTTCATTAACGTAGAGTGCCAAACATCTTGTTTAAGCTTCCGAGGAATATCTGTTTTTCACTGTTTTATATCACTGTAAAATAAATATGTTTGGGTTTTGCACTGTTGGTTGGACAACACAAGGGTTGTCCTAATTACTGAGGAGTCTTGTCTTTTCTGTATCTGTCTCGCACAATCCCACTCTGCCGCTTTCACTCTTTGACGAGTTTATCTCTTAGCCTTTGGGCATCATGCACAACTTATCTCTATCAGTGAGCCTCCCCTTGCCTCAGCTTTCATCTCTCACAGTCACATTTTTTATATTCTCTCTGTCTCTCCACCTTAAGGTTTAATTTTCTCTTTATTTTTCTTCTAATTATAGTAACAAAAATCTCTTCTCTCTTCTTCTCTGATTGGTAGTTCTCCTACCTAGAGAAGCTGCTATTGGTCCATGGGGCGTGGAGCTACAATCGTGTCACCAAGTGCATCCTCTACTGTTTCTACAAGAATGTGGTCCTATACATTATAGAGGTAGGAGCTTCACCACCACACCCTCTCGGTTTTAAAATGCACCCACACACACGCAGTTCCATTAACAGAGACGTTTTGCAGCTGTTTGTCGACATGGCTGACAGTGATGTACGAGGTGCCCTTCTGGTGTCTGCATTCTGTCTCTTTTGCGCACACACACACACACGCACAAAAAACGCGTGTTTAGCTAGCAGTGACAAGACCTTGGCTCCAAGGATCGAGAGCTTTGTGTGTGTGTGTGTGTGTGTGTGTGTGTGTGTGTGTGTGATGAAGGGGCATGCCGCCGCCCTGGCCTGCCTGTTATGAGGGGCATTTGTCAGCTGTGCTCCACCCCCCTTGCCCCTCTGTCTGACATTAACGGTGCCAGCAGGTGCAGGTCCTCATGGGAACCGCAGCCTGTAGCCTACTGTCCTGCTCACACCACCAATCTGTGCCTCTGTGTGTGTGTGTGTGTGTGTTTCCATGATTATCTCACATGATTGGCTCCCTGCAGAGCGCTCTAGGCCAAAGGTTAGAGACTGTCTCTGTCCACTTGGCAGACACAGAATAAGGGGGATGGGTGTGTTTGAGTGTGTATGTTTTTGTGTATTTGACCTCACCCTTAGGCTGTATGCTCCACTGTATGCCCAGGAATGCCACAACTCCCAACAGCAGCCCCAAACATTTTCTCTATCTGGCCTCGGATCAGCCTGCGTCTGCTCTGTGTGTGTGTGTGTGTGTATGTATGTGCGCATGGAGGTGTTAATGTAGGTTTCCCTTGAGCCAGAGTCACATTTAGACACTGTGGTTAGGTAAATTAACTCAGAACGTGGTTTCAGAGCCAGCCACAACCTGAGTGAGGAATGCATTTAAGACGTATTGCTTAAACTTAGAGCAACTCCTACTTACTAGAATGCTTTATATTTAATAATAAGTTTAATAAGTGTTAACTGCAGTGGATGAAAATGTTGGGAAACACGTTTTCTACTAGCCTTTTCATTCATTTCCTTTTCTTCTTTTTTTCACGTTTTCCTTGTTTAACCAGGTAACCAGGTAATAGTCTGTTGGGATTAAAATCTCTTTTTCAAAAGAGACCTCACCAAGAGGGCATCTTTAACATTGTTACAACTATAAATACAAACGGCATAAACAGGCCGAAACAACTGTAACTAGACAAAATCTAATTAAGATGTGTAAGTTACCAAAATGTTCTAAAATGATAAAAATGTTTAAAAATCCATTGTGCTTTAAAATAGACTTGAATTCACTCATTGTGAGGAAGTTTGTACAAGAAGAATTGCTTTCTTCCTGTTTTGTACCATATTGTGCATTTCTAAAACATTCATACAGTATTATGTCTTAAAAAACTACGATAGACCTTCATTCACATACCTGAAACTTGCACGATGAAAGGCTACAGAACAAGTGCAATGACAGACAGTGTGCAGGATTTTTATTTTATCATGTGTCCATATATTTTGTAAACTGCAGCACAAATTTGGCCATCTCTCCGTGCTGTTTCCACTACCAGTACCTCCCTAAGGCAGATTTACCCTCCCCTATTGTTCCTCTCATCCCTCTCTTTGTTTTCCCAGCTCTGGTTTGCCTTTGTGAACGGGTTCTCTGGCCAGATCCTTTTTGAGCGCTGGTGCATCGGCCTCTACAATGTGGTGAGTACCCTCCCTCGCTCCCTCTCAAACTATCAGACTGCCTTCCATGTCTCCACTCTCCCCCTCAGTTTCATCCCCCTCCCTGTTTTATTTAGTTGACGCTTTAAGTGCCGTCTCTCTCTCTCTCTCCATCAATCTCACTCCACTTTGTCTTCTAATCGCTGCTCTGTCTGAATGTCAACGTTTGTATGCATGTGAGTTTAGGTGTGTGTTTTGGTGACTTCAAAACATTACAGAATTCCTTTTAATGCCGACAGTCTGAAGTGAATGCTGATTGTCCAGGTAGTAAAGTGCGTGTGTGTGTGTGTGTGTGCGCGTGTGTATATACGCTGCTCCGTCATTATTTGTTTTAATGGCTGTATGTTTAAATTTTGTGTGTGTGATGCAGATATTTACTGCCCTGCCTCCGTTCACTCTGGGGATATTCGACCGGCCGTGCAGCCAGCAGAACATGCTCCGTTTCCCACAGCTCTACCGAATTACCCAGAATGCCGAGGGCTTCAACACCAAGGTACACACGCACACGTTTACAATCAGCACAGACCACGTGCTGCATCGTAAATCAAAGCTATATCTGTCATTTTTACCCTCTGCGTTTGACATGCTTTGTGGCTCGTCTGTGGGACTGACGAGTGATGCCTGATGTTTGTTTGGGACGCCAGCGAGTAAACAAGAGTGGCATGGAGACTGGGATGTTTCCATGGCAACCCCTAATGAGATTCATAGGGCCAGAATAAGGAAGTCTTTCATTTTAGAGGATACACCGGCAGCCCAACCTACTGTATGTGTGTGTACAGTACAGCAGGGCACTTTTGATGGCAAGAACACAGTGGAAGTTGTATGTAACTGTGAGGAATTGCTGTTTTTGTATGCTTTTATGTGTGTGGGAGTGCGGGGGCATATATGTGCTTTGGCATTCATTTGACCTGATGTGTTTTTTTTTTCTCTCCTCCCTCACTCTTTCTGTATCTGTCTTTCAGGTGTTTTGGGGTCACTGTATCAATGCACTGATTCATTCAATTATTCTGTTTTGGTTTCCGCTCAAAATGTTAGAGCATGGTAAGTGATTTACCTGAGTAATTCCTGCACATTTCCATAATTATGGCTGGTAACACTTTGTCATGACGCCTGTGTGTGTGTGTTCCTCACAGACTCTCCCTTCAGTAACGGCCAGGGAAATGACTACCTGTTTGTTGGAAACATGGTGTACACGGTAAGCATCTTACTTGTATTTTCAATGTGTCTTTGTGTTTATATTCATTTTTTATTTCTGTGTCTTTAGGCGTTCGTATTTGTGCATTTCTTTGCGTATGCAAAGTATTTATGGACACACCGGCACTGTGCTGCTTCCACAGTGCCATGTTATGAGTCTCCAGTCAATCTAGCCTCATGTAGCCAGTCTGTCTCCCCTCCGCGCTCATCCATCTCTTCACTTCTCCATCTCATACTCTCGCTATCGTTTTACTCCCTACAGTCTCATGTGAATGTCAGTGGGGTTTATTTGTTGTGTTATGTGTGTGTAGACTTCAGCAGGCTGTGGGGGTTCTGAGTATTTTAGCAGACATTGCTGAGTTAACTATATAACATAAATGTTTATTATCTCCACAGTCGCCAGCAAACTAATCCTGTTTCTCTGTTTTTTTTATTTGCCTTCCCTCTCCCCTGTGTGTGTGTGTGTAGTATGTGGTAGTTACAGTATGTCTGAAAGCTGGAATGGAGACCACCGCTTGGACCAGGGTAGGAACAGTAACACACTCTAATATGGCACACCACATGTGCTGTATTTTACTCAACTGTGTATAAAGAGTGGGGCACATATCCTGGTTTAAATGCTTCATAGCAAAGAAGGGCAGGGGAAAACATGGCTTACGTTGAGCTTGTGGTGGAAGTTTGAGGTTTCTTAAACTACAGTCGCTTGCACCTCTCCTTCCAACCAGTTCCCGTGTGGCTGCAACTTTTTTTCCATTGCTCCTGTTCAATATTTCAGACTTATTCAATTGCAAAATGTTGATAAATTAACCCTTACCATCTCAAGCCAATCCAGGGCTTTTAAAGGATATTGTTAATGAACAGGGATGCGAGCACCACAATGCCATCGTAGTTTATATGTTGACATTGCCGCTATTAATAAAAATAAAAAAAACACTTGCTGGAAACCAGTAAAATAAAAAATTTTAAAGGTAAATTTGTGTGTTGCACTCGTCCTCCTGGTTCCAAAATGTAGTCACTACACGCCACAGCATCTGTCAGCTCTAGCTAGCGAACACTAAGCCTGGAATATCAAGGAGAAATGGCAGATACTAGCAGTGATAACACTAACCAGGACAACACAAAGTTAGCTCTTGTAACACCCCTCTCACACTACTATCAAAATAAAGCAGATACTAGATATATGCCAGATGTTATACGGTGCAAAAACTGCAGTGTGTGCAGGCAACAGCTGTGCATTAACTTTGCCCTCAGTAAAACACAGTAAAACAGTTAACAAAATGTATGTTTTAAAATTAAAAAAGGAAATATCTGAACATAGAATAATTCCACAAAACTACAAATGTGACTGATTATTTGGTTAAAACGAGAGAGTAGCTTGGGCCATGACGGCGACGTGATTTGGCTCCTCTCTACGGTTGGAACGAGCGAGAGATTGGCAGGATGGACAGAATGGCGCTGACACTTTTGTCCGTTCAGCTGTCCACACAACAGCCTGACTGTAATGAAGCAGGGTTCCACTGGAATTCACACAGTGTCCCCTTACAGCAGATCACAGAGAGTGGGACGAAGACAGGGGAAGGAGGGAGGGAAAGGTTGTGTATATTCGGATGAGTTGTATGTAAACTATTCAACCTCGTGCTGCCTCTCTTTTCCATCTCTTAATCTCCATCATCTCTGCACTCTCTCCCTCGCTCTGATTTTTCTTCCTGTCGCTCCCTTTCTCTCTGTTGTAGTTTTCCCACCTGGCGGTTTGGGGAAGCATGGTGCTCTGGATGGTCTTCTTTGCTGTCTACTCCGCCATCTGGCCCACCATCCCCATCGCCCCTGACATGCTGGGCCAGGCAAGTTTCTCTCTATAAACATGTGTCACTCATTTCAGTAACGGGGTGTAGGGGGTTAAAATAGCCCTTCCCTCTACATCTCTTTTCTGCAACCTCAATCACTTGCCCCTCCCTTGTTCTTGTTTGCAAATGCATGGCGCCTATTAGACTCACCTCTTGGGTGTTCCACGTCGGCACTGCTGGAGCCCCGGGGAAGATTTATGCCCCACCAGCCCCTCTCACCAGGCTTCCTGCACCTGCTGCGTGTCACCCGAGCCCCGTTTTTTTACTGTCCTCTGCGGAGGTGTTGACTCAAGAGGGTGGGCTGCTGCTGCTGGTGGTGATGAGAGTCCAGTGGGGGTGAGGAGGAGAGTGTACATGGGGACCCCTTGGTTGAGAGACTCATTTTAGGGTTTGGCGATCAGGCCGGGTGAGGTAAGGTGCCCCACTGAGTGGGTAAAGAGTCTTGGGAGGGGGAGGAAATAGGGCCGTCTAAACGCCCCTCAGCCCATTAATTCAATTTGTGTCAGAAATCAGGAATGCGGTCAGATATCTCTGCAGCTGCTCAGTCTAACTGGGGAATGGTCAGAGACACTCAACCACCACCCCTCAACCCTCCATCGTCCCCCCTAACTACCATATTACCTCTTATTTCCCCTGCTCCCACTATCTATATTTCCATCTGTCCATGGGGGACGGGATGGAAAAGAGCTGTGTATTTCTGCTCAGAATAACTGTGTGTGTAACTTATGAGAATGAATGTGCTATGTGCGTCTAGCTACGTGTGATTTGTGTGACTGTAAAGTGGTGGAGTCCAACAGTCTGTTTCTATGGATATAGCAAAGCAGAGAAAATCCTTTAGCATGCCATTCTTGAGTGTATAACGACCATGTGATTTAATGTGTGTCCAGTGCTGTTTGTGACAGACAGAAAGACATAGGGTGTGTGAGTCGGATTGTCTGTGACTAGGTTGTGATTCCAGCTGCTGCAGAGGATATTTCCTAATGGTTTTCTGATTAATCTTCCCTGTTGCCTCTCTCTCTCTGTCAACCAGATTGTCTCTATATCTCTAGATCCAAACACAGGAAACACATGATGTGGCTGAACATTTTGGTAGAAGTTGAGGATGTTACTGCGCATAAAGTGTTTGTGACTATTGACTTAAACGCTCACGCCTAGAGACAAAGACTTAGGATTGTGAAACACCACAGGGCTTTTGCAGATAAGCAAAGGAGGGATTTCCAGTAACAGGCGAGGACAAGCAACAGAAGATACACGGACTAATAATGAAATGAAGTTGTGAAAGAGTAAGATTGGAAGGAGCCACGAGAGAAAGAGATGTGTAGGAGTAATAGGCAAGGAGACAGACAAATTGGGAGAGTGGTTAGATGCATGATTAATCCCTGGAGACGCTAAGGATGAGGGCCAAAGGTCAGCGAGGCTGCCTGCAGCTGGACTGCAGAGGCAGGTAGGGGGTCTGTGGTTAGCATTTTTATCTTTTAGCATGATAGAAGCGTTGTATTTCAGCTGTGGGAACACTGTGTTAAATCCAGTTTGTGGTGAAGATATGGGGTGCGAGAAAGCTGTTAAATATGTTTGGCTTGCAACTCTGGCTCAACTCAAATTTAATTTTATGCTGTGAATGGCGTTCAATGTGCTTTGTGTCACATTTCTCTCCACATTTGTTTCCCTGTGCTCATTGCAGAGAAAAATGACTTAATACTCGATTGGAATTAATATATACGAGCGGAATAAATGGAGCCTGTGTGTTGTCATTGCAGGCTGGCAAGGTGATGCAGTGCTGGTACTTCTGGCTGGGCCTGGTCCTGGTACCTACTGCGTGTTTACTCAAAGACTTTGCTTGGACCGCGTAAGTAGAACGCAGTTAATATAAATACTTGGGAAATCCATACAGAGACTATGTAACTTAACCAAAGCGTTTACATAACCCATATTGAGTCTGTGTCAACACTTACGCACGCTTTATATTATGAATCACATGTGTCTGCAAAGTTAAACACTCCTAAAACTATCCGTCATGGGTCTGATGAGCTTATTTCTGCTTTGCAGCACACGTCGTACTGTGAGGAAGTCTCTCCTAGAGGAGGTGCAGGAGTTGGAGGCTCGTGCCGTCGACCCAGGGGCAGCTGTACTTAGGGATGCCAGCGGCCGCAGGTATATACAGTATGCTGCAAAGCATCATGGGGTCTCACCTGCATTTATATTCAGTTTTATTTGTGTCAACAATCAGTTTATCCCATTGAGTTTTTTTTTTTTTAAATAGCATCACTGCATACAATTTTCAAGTATAATCAATTATTATTTACATTATCACTATATGTATAATTGTTGATTCTGTATAAAACTATACACAGGTTATATATAGGTTATACCCTCAGCGGCCACTTAATTAGGTACACCTGTAAGATTTAATACAATCCAATACAACAGCTCAGCCATGCATTCTTGCTATACAAAGATAACAATTTAAGGTTGTAGTTTCCAGTGTTTAACTAGGCTACATTATATTGGGGGGGGGGGTTCCCACCCCCATTTACAAACAAGGGGTAATATTTGAAACATATTTCAATATAGTATAGTCCACTACAACACCACCACTAACCAAGACCAAACTAGCAATAATAAGCTTCATAAAGGAAGAATATGTGGCAGAGCTGTTGCATTAGATTGTATAGCTGTACCTAATAAAGTGGCCATGGAGTGTGGTTCTGTATGTGTGAAAATAAATGGTAACTTCTCTCTCCCTGGTGGCACCACTCGCAGGGCCAAAGCCATGGCTGAGGTCCCGTAGCACCAGAGCTGTCACAGAGGTAGTCTCTGGGTTTGCACTATCCCACTGTGTGAACTGTGACCTCAACTGACCTGTGTGCCCCTGTTTATCTTTTAATCACTCGTTGCCCTTGGTCCTCAGTATCATTTTTATTTCTCTCCTTTGTTCATTTTTTTCCCCCTTTCCTCCATCTCTGGATTGCTTCATAGGTGGATCAATTTGAACTGCTGTACAGACCTGGTGTGTCTTCTGGATTCGTCGTTCTCTAGCTGTTGTTTAGCTGTGTGTGGTGTCACTAGAACTGTGTTAGAACCATTGTTTAGTTTTTGGGGGGGGAAACTTGAAGTTATAGGTTCAGTATGTACTTGAGCATTGACCATTTGCCAGCAGTGGTGGAAAGTAACAAAGTACAGTTGTCACGGATCGGGGTGCTGAGTGCAGACTGAGGTGAGGACCCAAATGCAGACAATGGCGTGGCGAGAGGAGGATGCAGTTCAAAATAAAATTTATTCAAATAACTAAACAGGCTTACGTGGAAGCTCGGAGCAAGGGTCCAAACAAAGGTAATCCAGAAGAAGGCAAATCCAAAACAAAGACAGAGTAATCCAAAATGGGCAAACAAACCAGAAATCCAGGGACCAGAGCACCACGCAGAACACTCAACATAGACGCAAGGACATGACAAAGACTGGAGAGACAAGCAGGCATACATATACACAGGGACTAACGAGCGGGGCGGGAGCAACACAGGTGAGCGGGATCAGGGCTAACGAGGCAGAGACAGAGAGACAAGCAGGCAGGCAGAGAGACAGCAGGGGGGAAACAGAGAGAACACTAGACAAGCAGACATGGGGCAGAGTGAATAACCAAGAAGACAGAAACACACACAAGTTACAAAGAACCAGAACCTAAACGAGAACACAGAACTAGAACACAGAGTACACAGGAGACCAAATCACAATAATACAAACAAGGACCAGGAATGAATACCATAACATGAACTAAGAACATGGAACTAAACTCAGACTCCCAAACAAGACACACAGACAGGATCATGACTAACATTTACTCAAGTGCTGTATTCAAGTATAATTTTAAGGTACTTGTACTTTACTTGACTGATTCCTTTTTATGCTGCTTTATACTTCAACTTCACAACATGTCACATTTATTTGACTGCTTCAGTTACTTTTCAGGCTCAGATTTCAGGCCCCACCTCATTAATGTCAATATGATATAATATATAGAAGAATTTTACCTTTGATGGAGTCCATTCTGCATGATGAGAGCTTTTACATTTGATATAAGTATATATTGGTGAAATTATATTTGTAGGGCTGGGTGTGTCATGTTAACGCATTAATTAACGCTGACAATTATTTTATCGCACGTTAACGCAGTTTTTATTATTTTGAAAGTTCCTTGCTCACTGGCTCTGAATACACATACGGTCAAACCATGGGTCACAGGAGGGGTGGGATGTTGATCAGCCTGCAAATCACCCACCTAAACAAGCAGTGGAGGGAGGCTTCAGCAGAATACGCTGAATGCTTTCTCAGTCGCAGCCCCGAGACTGTGGAATGAATTGCCTCTTCATGTCAGACTGACCCCCAGCCTTCCGGTTTTTAAATCGTGACTTAAAACTAATTTTTACTCCTTGGCTTTTCATCCCGGTTGAGAGCTGTTTTGTTTGGTGTTGTGTTTTTGTCTATTTATTGATTCATGTCGATGTACAGCACTTTGGTCAACTTGGTTGTTTTTAAATGTGCTTTAGAAATAAAGTTGGATTGGATGCAGTATGTTGGAGAAGTAGATAAACAAAAGCAAGCCCGCGGGGTTGCTCTTTGCTCCGGTGATCAGAAAGGGAGACAAACGCTCCGCTGGTAAACGGTAGGCGCTCTATGGATAGTAACCATGGCAACGGTTTGTGTGCGCTGTACAGCTGTAGCCTATTTAACTTAAGTTAAAATTATAGGCTACATAACCTTACCTGATCGGCCTTTATCTAGTTTTGCGGGGATGCGCTGCCATTCAAATTCCCTCCTGTTTGATATCTTATTTAGTTAATCAGTAATAGATTCTGGAAACTCACAAACAGTGAGGATCAGTCTCTCTTCCAATGATTTGTGCTGCATGTCGTGTACAAAAAAATTCAATTATACAATTACAATACAGTTCAACTTCGGCAGCGGCAGGCACGTGCGTGAGGCGACCATTTCACCTCCTCACTCAAATAGGGACACTTGCTACTGAACATAGACTGTTTATGCTGCTCCCTGATCAAAGAAAATATTTCTGCTGATACCTGTTCAGAAAAAAAACAAGGAAACCGATTCATATAGCCCATGTTTACCTGTTTCTCAGAAGGTGACTGGCAGTGGCAAATAGCTTTGGTTTTATATTTGATTTGATTACATTAATGTTTAAGTTGAGATTTACAAGAAATATTTTATTGCTACTGTGTAAAGGGAATCTTGCTGGTAAAAAGCACCTTATTTGTTTAAAGTGTTTGCAAACCATATGTTATTGCACTTTTGCGTTTATAGCAATACATTTAAATTAAAAGTGCGCAATACACTACTTTAGAATTCATTCAGTTTGTTCATAACAGAAAATCATGCGATTATTCGCTATTAAAAAACTGTAATCGTTGCCCAGCACTAGATATTTTATGATAATAGATCTTACTTTTGCTTGTAAGATTTGCTTATGCAAATGTTTGAATGCAGGGCTTACAGGGTGTTTTTTTCCACTAATGTTTGCTAGTTAGGATTACAAAGAGAGTATAATATTCTGCTCTTTTGACTCACTCTAATAAAGAGTCAGATGTGAGTGAGTCACCAAGACAAGCTGCTTTCTCAGAGCAGTTTGGTTTTTGAAAAGAGCTGGAGAACTCTGAGGTATGTTTTCAGGAAGGGTGGGTAACCACATTGCTGCTCCTGACCCCCACCCAGGGCCTCGTCCTGGACTGACCCTGCTTTAAACTCAGGAAAGCAGGACGGGATCCTGGGGCCCTCTCCATTTAGAATAAGAGAAGTGAAAATGGAAAAGAGCACATCTGTGTTTGTAGTTCCTGGAGAGGTCCTTGGGTAGGCATGGGAAAGGTAGAGTACAGGAGTGTCTCGAGGGAAGAGTTCAAACGAAGCAAAACCTTGGGACTTTTTGAATCAGAATGAAGCCAGAAAGAAACGTTACAGAAGGAGAAAAGGACAACTTGAGTCATACTGATGCACAAGCCTTTCATTTATTTGCCCAGCCACCCTTTACACTTTTATCATTCCCTCAGCACTGTCATCTATCTAACAGACATCATTTCTTTTGGCCACAGACTTCTTGAGCTTCAGGGCACCTCCCTTTTTTATTTTTTATATTTTTGACAAACACTCCAGTGAAGGTTCCCAACAGTCACATACAGTATTAAGAATTTTCTAACCGCCTGATCCAAATTTTCACCTTGGGAAGGCTGGCTCTCGTCCATAACTACTCCGTTGATCATCATAAGTTCCAGGGAAACCCCTCTTGTGTGAATTTAATGCCCCATTGGAAGATAAATGTTCTTTCAAAAAACATTGGCAAAAAGTGACTTTATGATGCAATCAGTGACACTAGTTTCCTTGCATTTACATCCACCGCCTGTACCTAATGACATTAATGGCTGTATTGATGGTGATAGAAGCATCAGAGTAAATAAGTGTGTTTGTGTGTGTGCGTGCATGTGTGTGCAATATCTGGAAAGGGCTCAGTTATTTTTGGTCACGGGAGGAGAGGAGCCGTGACGGCGTGTGGTCTCAGAACAGAGGATTCAGTCTTCTTCTTGGTAAGGGGTGGGGGGGGGAGGAATAGTTTACTATGGATGTCCTGTTACCCTGCAGCCAGTTTATGACTTACTGTTCGGTTAAATTGGATGTCAGACGCAGTCAGCATCAAATCCACCTCCTACCAACTTCCTGTTAGCTCACTGATCTGTGTTTCTCGGTTGATCCGTGACGGACAAATTCACTTTTGGCTTTTGCACTTTTGCTCAAGGACAGCTGAAGGTTGAAGGACTGTCTTTTATTATTCTGCTGCCTTAAATCAGTGGGTAGTTAAGACATTAGATTTTGACATGTCTCATAAAGCAGTTAAACCTGCCACTTCTCATGGCTGACAGCAAATAAAGTGACAAAAGCACTGAGAAATATGTAGTAAGTAGTAATAGTGCTGTGTAGTAGTGTAAGTAGTGGAGATTCTCTCTTTAATAACCAATAATCGAGTGGTTATGTGCTGTCACTGTGGAGTGACTGATTTATCTTTTCTCTCTGCAGTCTAAACGAACGGGCCCATCTGCTGACAAGAGTCTTTAGGAAAACACCTTCAAGCGTAGGACGCTCAAACTCGGTGCAGCAGACTGTGTCACGTGAGTGTCCTTTCCAAACACACTCCCTGCTTCGATACAGGCCTTGAAACTGAACTGAAAATATAAGCAGTAGTTAATTAGTAATATTAAAACTAAGGATGGAGACGAAAGAAAAGAAGAAATGTGTTTGTTTGCTTATGTACTTGGGTGTCATTTCAAAATCTGGCAAACTGTGCAGAGAATAAATGGAGAGAAAAAACAGTGCTGTTCCATGTTCCTATCTTATGGAGGCCAGAAACAACACATTGATTCCCAGTATTAACACATTCGCTGAGTGACCATAAAAAACGAAACCTCTGTATAAACTAAGGCAATCCAATATTACAGGCCTGTAATAAATAACACCTTTTGTGAAACTGGATTAAATTTTCTGGTCATTTTGGAGGCAGATATAAAAGCACAGCCTCAATATTGAATTGACTTTGCACTCAAACAACTGAAGTGTTCTTGTACTGCACTGCAGTACATCATACAGGTGTTTAAATGTTCCTCCTCTCTCTCTGCAGATGGCTATGCCTTCTCTCAGGAGGAGCACGGCGTGGTGTCCCAATCCCAGGTAGTGCGCTCCTACGACACCACCCGCCAACGCCCCAGCCTCTAGCCCCCACTCCTGACCAAGGCTTTCGGCTCATCGTAGCAGTGGTTGTCAAGGCGACAGCGGAGACAGACCAATGTGACACCCTCGCGCCGGGTGACCCCCTTGCTGTGGCCTTACCGGAACTATGACCTGACCCCTCGCCGGGGATGGGGGTCACGCTCAGGCGTGGAGGCCGTCGCTGGCGCCTGGTGGACTGGTTTGAGAGAAGGGACCAGGCCGACATTATGGAATAAACATTCTTCAAACTCACACGAACTGCACACGCATGAGCAATCATATCCACGCACAGACATGACAAGTCAAACTCAGATACTGCTGCTCATATCCGTATACCCCACAGATTGGGTTCGCTTCATGCCGCTGTGTGTTTATGTGTGAGTGTGTGTGTGTGTGTGTGTGTGTGTGTGCGAGCACAGCACATTCCAGCGTGTCTATATCTGCCTGTGCATGTATCTACTCTGCACGCATTGGCGCTCCTGTGTTTGCGTGCATGTGTGTGTGTGTCGGCCCGCGTGTGTTTGCTTCCACGGTTCCCTCCCATCTCTCTCGTGAGGTGGGTTTAGCTAATCTGTCATCACGCGCCGGCAGGGGGGGAGGGGACGTCAAAATAAACACACGCACGCACACATGCGCTGATGGGGGAAAGAAAACAAAAGGGTAAGACCAAGGACCGCTGGAGCCAGGCAACCCCAGCTACAGGCCCCCTCCCCTTTGTCCCATCGCAGCACCAAGCCTCACTGCCAAACACCACAGAGACGCCACTGAGGCAGAACGCTCACGCCAAACTGGACCACCACCCCGCTGCAACCCCTCCTTCGCCACTGGGACCTCCTCTTGCTTATCCCTCCCTTCATTTCTTCCTTCCTATCTCTCCATCTCCTAGCCACTCTGCAGCCGCCTCCTCCCCTCCCCCCCCCTCCCCTTGTCCTGGCTAGTTTTGTTTCCTTTGTTTCTTACCACTCCGGTGATTCCTGTTGCTGCCTGTGTAGCATCGTCAGCTGACATGGAAGCAGCAAGCCTGGCATTAGAGCGTCCTCCTTCAGTTCTGTTGGGTTTCCGCTCTTCATTGGACTGTTCCTTTTGTTTTTTATTATTATTAAAGTGGACATTAATGTGTATGCGTTTCTATTTTTCTTTTCATTAATGCCTGTTTTTGTACTCATTTGGAGAAATGTCTTAGAGGGAATATTTTACTTGAACTAGTGCTAATAGGCATCCAAACAGAATTGAGATCTGATTGAGACACTCGCCTGGATCATGTGTTTTTCTGGCTCTGGGATTTGTCTGAATGTAGGGTCCATTGTCTGTTTGCTCTGTGTTGAGGACACTCTAGTTCAGGAATGCAAGAAGGGTGGGAGATTCAGAGTCCTAATCATTAAATCTAATCAATCCATGGCCTGAATAAATGTCTCCGAGTCTTGATTGTAAGCTAGCCACTCATGCAGTCAAGTGGGTGGCTACAAGGTAGTGGGCGGAGTTTGATGGACATTTTGTGCTTTAAATGGATCATAATGGCATGATTTGTACACGATATGATATATTACCAGAATCAAACCTCTCCCACGCTCCCTCTTTTAAGCTCAGGAGAGTCAATGTAGACAGACCATTAGCCGATCAATGCGCCCCCCCAGTCCCACCACACTGGAGTCCGACTGGAGATCCCTTTCCCACCCACCTTCCTGGATGCAGCCCAGCCTAAACCAACTACAGCTGCACCAGTATGGAGAATCCATCGGGCCGCGGCCGAGCAGGAGCCAGAGAGCCATTTATGTTTTTCAACTCCTCCCCAGTGACTCCCCAACGGCTTGCTCCGCTTTCCACATTACTGCAGCTGAGTTTCTGGAGGAGCCTGCCAAAACTACACCTCCACATCGTCAGAGCTTTAAACTGTCCTTTGCTGTGGTTTATTGTTCCTCCTCTCTGAGAGTTGGGTGACGTGACAGGTATTCTGTCCTCTGTGGGTGGTAGAGCTGTCTGTGAATGTGTGTAATTAGTGTTTCTAATAGCTTAAGTATGAGAGTGTTTGTGTTTCAAGGAGATTAAGAATTTGAGACAGTTCTGTGTGGAAAATCCATTCACCCCATGTTTTTGTCAACCAAGTCTCCTAGTGTGTGTGTATATAAATATAACTCATCCAGAGGGGCAATGGCAACAAAGAAAATCTATTAAAGCACAAAGCACTGCTTGTTATGTTCATGACAGTAGAAGGTGATAATATACTATTTATTTATTTTTTTTAGAATTCACATGAAAAATGTCACCCCTGCATCAAATTGGACCAATTTTCATACATCATATTACAGATACTCTTATTTTGTCACACACAAGCTGCCTACTGTATCTTACAGACATTGTGCTCGGAGTACAGATGAGGTACACAAACATCACAGGCCGCACGCTCAGTGGAGCAGCACATTCCTCAAGCTGCATGTTACTGAGTTACCAGTGACCCAGCAGCACAACAGGACATGGAGCGGCTGGAAGAAACGCAACTTTGACTCATTTTTTTTTTCTTTCAGATTAACAACCAATAACCGCCATTTCTGTGCCTTTCTTAAGTGGAAAATAATGACTCAAAACTGCCCTGGAGCTGCATGTGCCCTCTGCTAACGCACTGAACTGTGGGAGTGTTCAAAACACACACACATGCACACACACACCTCTCACAGGAGAGACATGAAGGGGGCATTTGGCAGAGTTTTCGCTGTATAATTGACTCCGTGATCTACAGAGAGCTACTTTTCATTCTCTTGTGTCACACACTCACACTTGTCAGGTACATTAACTACCAGCCTTGTGTGAATATTTTATTTATTTATTTTAGTCTGTGTGTTTCCACTCAGGGCAGTTGTGGGTATTCTTTGGGGGGGGTTTTGTGTGTGTTTTTTCTTTTTGGGTGGCGGGGGGGGGGGGGTGTATAGTAGGGTGGAGCGTCACAGTCTATGTCCTGTGTTCACTTCATTAGAGTTTAAATGGTCTGCAGGGAGATTGCGACTGTCTTTCACATCACGCCACCTGCATTTCCCATTCAACACAGTTCACTCACAGTTACTCATACGTCCACATCCTTCCGCACTTCACACTAACTCACACACATACATTACATCTTTTCACATACTTTCTTTCCCCAACACAAACAATCATATACTGTATTGTATAAACCACTCACAACCATTCACAAGTGCAGATGTGCACATGGCATAAACACAGCATGTGGTCATGTTTTTTTTTTTTCTTGATCCACTTTTCATACAGTTCACTGCTATAAATCATCCAGTCATCACTCATTCCAGTACATTTAAGCCAACAAATCTTTTTTTTCGCTCTCACATACACATACATGCAAACACAAACACATGCACAGTGAGCTGCAGTGAGCTGTGCATTATCACCCATCTGGGCTGTATAACCCTCCAATATACAGTTTTGTCTTTGCATCAAGACAGAAAATTGTTATTGCATCCATCTTACCCCACCATAGGCTGAGCTTAGCTCATTCCAACTTGCCAGATCATATGACACACTAAAGAGACACACACCACACACAATAGCAGGGCAGGCCCTGCTGCCTCAACGGCTTTATGAGTCCTTCATGTGAGTCTGACTGCCTGCCTTTCTTTTTCCACAGCGTCCCCCAACGGGTCTCTGGCGCAGCCCTCACAGGTTAAACTTCACAACAAAGTGGCAGAGTGGTCTGCAGGTTGGCCCCTCATCACACAGTCACTGGAGGGTATTTCTGGTCACTGGTGACACTGGACCCGCCGATGGGAGGAGGGCAGGGGGACTGGAGGGGTCTGTATCCTCCTTGAGTGGGGTCCAGGAAGGCCGGTGTAGGGTGGGCGTAGCCGATGTACTGCGGGTGCAGAAACTGTCCCTGGTGAGGCATGATTTGCGTGGCCTGCTGGCAGTTGAGCACAGAGAAGTTAGTGGGCATGTTGACGAAGACGCTGGCATCAGGGGGCAGGCAACAGGAGGCCTGAGCCCGCATGAGAGGAGGGGGAGCAGGACGGGGTGCGGCGGGCGGGGCGGAGGAGCTGGATGAGGTGGCCGTGCTGGACTGGCGGGATGATGAACCTCTGGAGGTCCCAGCGCTGGACATCATAGGGATGGTTTCCAAGAGGCGACCACCGCCTGCACCGCCTCCTGTCGTACCTTCTGATGACAGTTCCTGTTTGGGCCGGAGGCAGCGGCAGCAGCACACAGCAACCACAGAGCCCACCAGAATGAAAGCGACAAACACTGACCCCACGATCAGGAACGGCACATAGATGGGCACTGCAGAGAGAAGGAAAAAAGACACATTCACATTAAAAAAAACTGCTGTCAGACCTGCTTTTGTGGCAAAACGTGATCTTCAAAGTTGAACATTAATCTTCAAAAGGCAATGTCGCCTCACAACCTCTCATGTCTTGCTTCTCTGCACATGCAAAGCTCCCACATGTGAGTGGAGATTGGGTACGACTGAGCAGAGAGGAGTGTTTGGACTTGAGTAGAAAAATGAGAGGTACACTTGGGTCCCCAGGGAGTCCAAGGCTCTCATTAGCAGTTATTAAGTTTGTTTTGATCTGTTTTAATCCTCAGCACCCTGCTGTGTCCTCAGCCTCCTCGACCCTGCAGACCTGTGTGCTTTTGCATGGGTGACATTCTTAAGGCCGGCTGCCAGCAGATATTTGTGACCCTTCTTTTTTTTTCTTCAGCTATTTATGGCCAACCCTTTGAAAATAAGTTACTTGAGTTGAACTACAGTACTTGGCTTCTGCATTCAGAAGGGTATTAGAGTTGACTGATTTAATGCAGCTGAATGGGAGGTTATTCAGCCCTTCAAATCAAAGGAGTAAGCCAATTCCTCTTCACTGACCTTTTCGTTCTTTTTGTTCAAAACAGCAAATCAGACTCGTAAGAAAGTGCTTGTGTAACTCTCACAGCCCCACCAATCAGAGTGTCATTTGCCTGCGTCAAATAGCAGAGGCATTATTAAACAGGTCAAAATCTTGACATTTTTACATGTGTGTTCCAGTCTGTGCATTTGCAACGTGAGCAAGAGAAGCTCCGGCAACAACTTTCCTTAAAAAAAACAAAAACAAAAAGAAAGCTTGTGTTCTAACTGCACCTTTCGGCCATATAACGAGATCACAGAGGGAATGTTTTTTGGCAGAAAACAGGGTGACAGGCGAGATGAAGTCACTTCTGAGGTGTTTTCCTCCCATGCTCACTCACACAAACACCTTACAAACACAATATCGACCGTGTTACATTATAAGTGATTACTTGTGTTTTATTATTCCCACAGGGTGTAGTTATTTTCCGCTTTGAATGTGCCCATGTGTTAGGAGGGTGTAACCTTATGCCAAAGAGAGAGAGGTGGGAACTGGCTCCAATTTCCTTTTGTCTCTTTGAAATACATCCATACAGCCTTGAGAAACTTTTCAAAATGCGCATCAAAAAGTAGCACGGTATTAAAAGGATTACTGCATGAAACCTATTAAGAGCTGATAAGTCCAGGTGACAAAAGACACAGGCCAGCGACAGAAGAGGCCGAGACACGGTGACATGAAACAAACTAGGACCTTGACCCATTTCCCTTTGGCAAGAAGCGGTGTCAACTTCAGAGGTTAGTGTACCTTACTTTCCAGTAAACAGGTTTTAACATGAACTCTGTATAAGTGACAAGCACAGAAATGTCCCAAGGAGCATTTGACTGCTCTCTTTTTCTGCACTTATATGGCCTCCACCTCTACATCTCTGCTTCCACTCAACTTTCTCTGCACGGCTGATGAGGATTAGTAATTGCAAAAAATGTTTGTCTTGTGTTACTTACTTATATACTTTGTCTGCAGAGGTGCTTTCCAAAACACCAGACTGTAAATCAGTGATGGAGGGAGGAAAAAGCACCACTTCAGGTTCAGCAAATACAGTAGTGGAAGAAGCAGGCTACTCAGATCTTTTACAAATACCAACACAGCAATCTAAAAATACTCTATTACAAGTAAAAGTCCTACTAAGTATCATCCGTAAAATGTACGTAAAGTACCAAAAGTAAAATAATTTATTATACAGGAAAAAAACCTGGTGACTGACAAATAAGTATATATCACATTATTAGATCCTAACTAATGCATCAATGATACAATATTTTCCATGTTCACCACCTTAGTTGGGTTTGTTAGCATGCTAACATTTGCTAATTAGCACCAAGCACAAAGTATAAAGTTTTGCAGGTATATGGGCAAAAAACAAAATATTGGAAAAAATCTACCTTTGCCATTATGATGATATTAAATGAAAAGTTCACTTAAGTTATTACATTACACATAAATGTAAGTAGGCCGACTAAATTTCATGACAATCATTTCAAAATTGTCAAGATATTCCACTCAAAACCACAAATTAGACCTGCTGGTGGTGCTAAAGAGTCCTTATGATTGCTCCTCTGGGGATCATGAATGTCTGTCCAAAAGTACATGGAAATACACATTATGGTTGTTGAGATAATTCAATCTGAACCAAAATGGTTCAGCCAACCAACGTTGCCATACATAGAGCCATGCCAATAGCATACAGTCTAAAATTAAAATTTGTCTCATTTGTATAGGCTACTTTGTTTTTTGTTGGAATATGTCTTTGTGCCTTCAAAAGTTATTTAAACTGAATCATCTCTATTTGGAGACCTTTCTTTGGGGAACTTCTAATAACACATCTGAAACAAAATGGGTCACAAGCCAAAAAGGTTGTGCACCACCGGTTTTATATTTAACAATGTTTTGCACTTCATAAGCTTATATGATTTTAAATATAAAATCTTAATGTGTAACTAATAACTGTATAATAAATAAATGTACAGTAAAAGTACAATATTTCCCTCTGAATCTACTCTAAAGAAGCATAAAATGGAAAGTATACTACCTCAAAATTGTACCTAATTAAAGCAGGAGTAAATGTACTTTTCCATCACTGAAACAAATCTGGGAAACAGTTCTCACTTTCAAAAAAGGACTTTATTTCTTGATCTCTTACTATGTGTGATTTCCTAACGGTGGGCACATGCTGGTTGAACCCCTCCTATTGTTCCCTGTCACTCTTCCACACCTGTTGCTGCAGTTGAGCTGCAGCAGTAACAGCAGCCCCTTCTCTTAAGCCCTTGTTTTGGGCAAAGTCTTTGTGGCTGCGCTGGCTGGACTCTCCCTCGTCTCCCTCGGCTATCCCACGGGCATTCTCCTGTTCCTAAATACCATATGGTCCTTCATGTTGAGCACATTAATAATTTCCTGCCTGTTATCCATTGACATTACAGTGTGTGTATCTTTCCTGGATGATTAATAGGCTGCAAGCGTATGAAAAATGACTGAAATGCACAAAAGGAACTAGACTTGTTTGAAAAAACTATTTTCTTCCTGAAGAAAAAGCTGCTTTTCTTTAAGTTAGCTTGGATAGAGGCCACTGAATGAAATGTATATTCCTCTTCCTGCAGTGATAAGGCATGGTAGTCTTAGCAAATGACAGATTATAGCTGGAGTTCCCAAAGAGGGCATAATATCCTCCAGGGAAACATAAAGTAAGCCATGTTGCCTTTTTCTCTCATGTTTGCTTTATTTTTGTGGAGTGCTATCTACATTTTTATCTTCTATTTGAGGGGCAGCTTCAAGGGGCTTTATAGTAGATTCATTTATGGGAATGTAAGCAATAATGAATGGGGAGCCAGGGATGAGGAAGAATAATCCCCACTATAAATTAGAAAATGTGTTATATTTTGCCTTTAGTTTTGGTTATGTTTCTATATGAGTGTCTTGTTTGAAGTGTGAATCTCTTGAAAACTCCAATACACCAGATAGACTGCAGTTGGGGGGTTGCAGGAGGAGTTTCGTGATAGGAGAGGGACTCCACGAGCCTGGTAGGAAATGATACATATCGCGATTTTTCTTTATGAGCAGAGCTGTCAGCGCCTTTGGTGTGCCACTGTCCAAGATCCGGTCAAGTCCAAACTTGATCCCCGTGGGGACAGCGTGATCTGAGCCCGGCCCCCTCTTGCACTGTTACAGGCCCAGAACAAACACAGCTATTTATAAAGTGCAGCACGGCACAGTTTGCCATTTGGGAGTGCAGTTAACAGTTTTTTGGAGGAGACTGCTGCTGTCTCCTGTGCAGCTGTCGTTGCCAAACCGGGACAGGCAGCAGATATACCTCTTTACAGGGAGGTACTGTGGGACCGTTGGGTTTATGAGGGGAAACCGAACCTTGTAATAGGTCTGCAATTTACAATATCAAGTTTAAGACATCCTGTGCGTGCGCCTCGGGCATGGCGGAAACACACTTAAAATTTCTATTTAGCCTATTTATAAACTTTCAATTAGGCTAAACCTTAAAAACAAAGATTTAGCCGAGACAATAGGCTACTACACTGACAACCACGCTGAAGCAGTCTTTCTCTGACATAAATCATTCTTGAGTGTTTATCATTTATCCTGCAGCGCCTTTTGTTGTTTTAATTGACTACTTATAATGATGACTGATAATGGTTATCAACATAACCTACATTAGCCTATATCTGAGGTAGAAGTTGTTGAAACAGTAGAAGTTATAGGTGTATACCTGCACCGGAGTCCTTGTTCTCCTTGTTCTCTGTCCCGGGCTCCTGAGCCTGACGGTCGTTATCGCAGCTCCCCTGATCCAGCCGTGCGTCCGTGCTGGAGCAGCAGTAGCGCAGCTCGCATTTCCCGCAGCAGATGATCGAGTCCTCCCCGTCAATCTTCTCCGGGCACTGGAACCCTTCTTTCCAAGCGCCCTGGGAGTCGTGCCAGCCGTGGCAATATTCCCCACTTGCTTTCACGTCGATAATGACCAGGAGTAGAGTCACAATCACGGTAACATACAACGATAAACCTCCTCCCCACATCCTCGACCAGGTGGCCCGCGGCCGAACGCCGGCGCACTAAAAGAGAGAGAGAGGCTTTTACCCCCCGCGTCTACCTAACCTGGTGAGGGCAGTGATGCGGTGGATCGATGTGGTACAGGGAGCTGAGGGGGTAAAATGAGGGAGCAACAAACCACCCAGAAGCTGTCATTTGTTTGAGGAATCCCGTGCGTAATTCAGATCCAAAGTGACTCCGCAGTGTAGGTTATCATCCAAGAGTTGTAGAAAACCAAACCGAGTTTTACAATGGGAGAAAAAGTGTCACACCTATAGCCGTAAGCTTTACTGATAGGCGACTCCAGATGTAAACAATCAGAGGTCTTGGTAAATCCAGTTGGAAAGACTAAATGATTTCCTCTGGCACCGCAGCGAGGCTGTTGATGTCTCCTTCTGACTCTTCAAATTACTTTCCACAGGGATGCAGAGGAACCAACACTTGAAGCCTGACCCATGCTGCAGTCACCCCCGAGACCCCTCATCGCCAGACCCGTGCGCAAAAATAACTTTTCAAACTTTTGTGGCTTGGTCCGCATTGTTGGGCATCAACAGTCAGCCAGTCTGGGTCCGTCTAGCCGGATTGAACTAAAGCGCGCAGAGTCTATCCTACTCTGCGTCAGAGTGAGAGGGGCGTGAACAAGTCAGATGCGAATACACTTCCCCTTTAATAATGATGATTCTTCGGAATTTACCGGTTTCAAAGAGTAAGCCTAAAATACAACTTCCTGTTCAAACATTTAAATTAAATCCTAACGCAGAATAAAATGTGAGTGCTTTTTTGGAAATCGAAATTAGAAAAATAATTCAAATAGATGAATATAGCCTAGAATATGTAAAAATCCAGCATTCCCTTAAGTATTTAGTCTACAGCTTGGGGAATGCTCACCTGTATCTTTAGTCCTTTCAGATCTGCTTCAGAAACATTTTGATTGGCTATAGCCTACTAGCCTACTAGCCTACTAGCTATCAAATATGAATGTATGTGCTGTCAATCGTTTTCATATGTCACTGCCAGCGCAGCCCTCGTCATGCTAAACTTTTACCTCAACCACTTAGCCTACTCAACCATGCTCTTATTCTGAAAGCAAACCACTTCATTACCGCACAAGTGTTGTTGCTGACTTGATTCAGATTCTCTCATCATTCCACAGAAGAGACTTTCTTGGAGCAATATCCTCCCAGAAGTTCAGTTAACGTTTCCTGGCAGAGCTTTGTGCTGAATGACTCGTGGAGAAAAGCGGTTGAGAGTTTTGGCAGTTTGGTAAAAAAAAATAAAAATAAAAAAATCCCAACAACAGGGCTTTACATGGTGACAGTGCCATCTAGTGGAGTTGGCAGGTGTTTGCTCCTTTGCAAACACCACCACATTAATGAGATAAGAGCACATAGCCTACAAGTTATGTTCATACACTTCTTGGTGGGTGTTTGAATGTGTGATGTTTTTGAGGAAAACATTGGCTTATATATGTGATTCCAATATAATCATAATCAAAGTATCATATTGAGTGCATCAGTAATAATAATTTAATTTAATTATAATCTAAACGGTATAACACTGACAACTGCCATGTTGCTGTACAATGAACAGGCCCTAATTATATTTTTTAATTAGGCCTATATTATTAGACTAGGCTTATATATTATTAGCCTATCTATATGGGCACAAAGCCTATTTCATGTCTCTGTTGGTGGGGACAATAAAAACATGTCCCAGGGAGATTTTTTAGAAATAAAGTTTGAGGCTCTGAAGAAGGCAGCAGACTAAACGACTGTGATGCACATGGGAAGGAGGCCATAATCTTTAAAACACTAATTGGACTCGTAGGCTAGTAAAGAACCAGAGATGTTACCAGTTTAGGTACCAAATACACTGACTAGACGCTGACTGCCAACAGTGGTTATATTTAATTGTTTTGATGAAAAATGTTGCTAGGGACAATTCAGTAGTCGCTGGATGTTGGTAGATGATATTGGTAGAGATATGTGTACCGTCCATACTCAGTCATACGCCGTTATATATTGTATTATATTAAAGGTTTCCTTTTCCACCGCTGAGCCTTCTTGCTCGGCAGTACTTCATTTCCCATCATGCCCCGCGTGAAGCGGTGACCGTGGCAACAGCACAGGAAGTGGCGCGCAACTGTTGAAAAACTATCACACAACAAACTGAACAGGAGACTCTGATACAACCGCTAAGCTGTGGTGGCAAAGTGATATACAACCTGAGGCGCTCTCCTTAAATAACTCAGTGGCTTCGTAACTGAAAACGTAAGTGCTATTTCAACATTTATCAATTTTAGGATGAAATCACATTTGAGCTAACGACGACACAGTGAAAACAAACCGCTAGCTGACGTTAACGTTAACTGTTCAGCCGCATATAACGATGACTACTGGGGAACGAGACCTTATCCACTAATTCAGTTACATTTTCATTACAATTCATACATGGTTAGGTGTGTACATGTGTACACGTTGAAACAACCCCGTGTCTCTACCGTGAAGCCATAAGACTAATGTTTTCATGTTGTCTGAGAGCAGATGTCGTTTGTGAGAGTGGGGCGCCCACAGCAACACGCCAAAGGAAAAAGGTCTGTTCGACCCAAGAAGGCAGCAGCCCCCAAAAGAGAGTGGGTGGTGAGTACTGACAGCTGGTCTAGCCGTTGAAAAGTATGAGTATGAAGACTGCATTTGTACCTTTTTTGGGAATCATTCTTCATTCTCCAAAAATACATTCTTTAGGTTGAGTTTTTGCTGAAGAAGCCTAACGTTACACTTATGCTGCACAAGTGGAAGTATAGTCCACTTATGTTTGCTGTGAACATTTCTCCTTATAAAGAAAATAACATCTCCACGTTTTGAAAACCGTTAGGTAATGACAGTCCTCTCTTGTTGATTTCAGAGCACTGTAAGTGATCTGTCTGTGCACAAGCTGACACCTGCAGAGCTGGTAAGGTGTTCGTGCTTGTTCATTGGTGGTTTATTAGCGTGACTTGCACAGTTGACAAGCCAAGCATACTGTTTTGTCTCATACTATGCATTGTAATCGCACCTGAACATCATTTTAGTGCTGTTATAGTACTGAAACAATTAATGTGGTTATTTCCAGCCCATATTTGCTTGTCTGATTGTTCGCTTCTGCTTCAGAGCCATCGGCATGAGATCCACAAGTCCCACAACAAAGTTGCGGCTCAGTGGGAGCTGAGAGAGAAAGCCCTTTCACGCCGTTTCAGACACGCTGGGAGCCCTGCACCTCTAGACCATGCCAGCCTCAGCATCATCAGGGAGGTGTGTGTGTGTGATGATGATTTTCTGATGAGTTACTTTTAGTGTCTCCTTTTACCAAATGTTTTTTATTTTAGAAGAAAAAAAAAAAGTATTTAAAATGTACTGTAAATCTTTCTGAAACTGCTCCCTGGTGCTGAGTTTATTGCTGGGCTCCTGCTGCTGCTGCTGCTGCTGCTGCTGCTTCTGCTGCTGTTGATGGTGGTGTGTTTCACTGCTGCAGGTGTTCTCTGACCAGCTGCTGCTACAGGATGTGCTGGCTCGCTCTGACAGAGCCATGGCTGTGGTCAAAGACTTGTTTGGAGATGCTCCACGCAGGCAGACTGGTAAACATTTTTCACCATTTTGAACTAGAGATTTGGTTTTCCTAGAAGATTAGATGTTAATTACTAAACTAGTATTTCTCTTTTTAATTTCTTCTTTTTAAGTTTGTTTTTGGGGGTTGGCATTCAGTGTGTTTCTGTTTTTGTGCAGGGCACCCCAGTGTGACGATGGCTCCAAACTGTGACGCTGAGTCAGCGCTGCCTGTGCTCCAGAGACCGGATCCTCCAACTCAGCTGTCACTGCTCAGCCAGTCTATGATGGACCAACAGGTGTGTGTGTGTGTGTGTGTGTGTGTGTGAAGATAATATTTTAATAATACTTGAAAATTATTGTTATTGTTTTATTACTAAATGATTTTCCAGCTTTTATACCATTTCTTAATAATATTGTACTGTAAGTCTTTTTAAATCAAGGTTTAACTTGTTTTGCCTTAAAGATTTTGGTCTGTATTAACAAATGTTTGCATTTGTAAAATGGTTCTTTCCAGGCTCTTAATGAAGTCAATGCTTCAGAATCAGACTATAGTGATGAAGATACCTGTGCTACTGGCAGTTCAGACCATCGTGTAATCAAAAGGTAATAATTCTTACAAAATAGAATAATAAATATGAGATAAGAGACTTGTGTTCCCTATTTGGGTGGGGGGGGGGGTTATAATCCGTGACACTTTTACTGATTATTTCCAAAGTTTCAGATCCTGCTGACATCACTGCGTTGCATGTGATACTTTTCTTTGCAGGACCAACATACAAAGAATGAAGGCACGGTCTCGGGATAGAGTGATACAGCAACATCCCTCCTTTGACCAGGCAGACAGAGATGTTCCTGTAACCCCCTGCACATCAGGAAAAGCACCAGTCCAAACAGGTAGGATGAAAAGATGAGCTCCCCCAAATGGAGGAGAAGAACAGTTAAAAAATGATTGTCATCACATGGAACAATATACTTTTTAATCAGGTGTGAAATCCTTTTCCACATACAAACTCACCCTACCTTGTTTCAGCCCTCAATGCCACTGTGGCTGTTCAACGTGTTCGGTCCAGACAAAGCCAGTCAGAGGAAGGCAAGGAAGAACCGTCAGGCCTGGTTTCTCAGGTCCTGAACGCTGAGCTGCCTCTCAATCCGTCAGGTAATATCAGGAAGGAATCCATTTCTTCATTTTGTGTCACTCTTTGTGTAAAATGTGATCAAATTAACGGCTAAATACTGCAATAAACAGAAGAAGTGAGTGGTTCTCTGCATGCGTTTTTCAGGAAGGATCAGTAGTCATGCCAGCAGAACCAAGCAGTGTATTTCTCAGAGTTCAGAGCTGAATGGCTCCTCTGTTGCCTCTCTCAGTGGGGACCAGTCTAGTCTGGGCCTGCTGCAGACCATGTTGGGTCAGGTGGAGGCAGACTTGGACTCTCTGAGTCCTGTCACTGAACCAGCTTCAGCACAGAGTCAAAAACAACAAAAAACACAAGGCCTCACTGGATTCTCTGTCGCCTTGGTCTCCACTCTAGGACGTTTAGTGCACCTCCTCAAACAGGTACTGATTCAGATAGACACACATGCATGCATACAGCCAACATGCACGTTACAGGAATAGGTGTTTTGATCATTGTGTTAAAACATTTGAATTTACACATCTTACTATTGTAGCTCGGTGTTGCTTTGATGTTTGACACTGTGTTTTGGAGCATTTCTTTATTTCGTGACATCCGTTGAACTTAACTGTCCTTAGAGGGAGGAGGATGCTCAGAAAGAGGCTCAGGAGAGGAGAAGACTGGAGGAGGAGTTGAGAGAGCAGCGTGGGCTGATCGATGCTCTCACTGCTGAGACGATGACTCTGAGAGAAGAGGCCGCCGTCCTGCAGGTGAGACAGGGCTCACCACACGGTCCCGACACTTGCTTCAAGCTGGATTGATAAAATCCTGTTTCTGCCTTTGTGCTTCCTTTTAGGCCGGCTTGCAGCAGCAGAAGGCAGAGCTGGAGCAGAAGTTGGACACAGTGTTGTTGGTGATGGGGGGACTTGGGCTCCTGGAAGCACACATTGAACCACACCAAGACGGTGATATCAACGCTGCAGGTTCATACAGTGTTGTGTGTCTTTCTCTCTGTCTGTGGATGTATTGCAAAGTAAATAGTGTATAATTTGTTCTTACATGTTGTAAACAGTTTGTCAGTCTGCACCAGTTGCTGAGCGAGATCCTCAGCGACTACAAGCCTCTGCTTCTCCTGCTGTCTTACTCTCCCCCCCCTCGACAGAGAGACAACTGGCAACAAATTCCTGGTAACAGCTTGTGTTTTTTAGCCGTCTGATTTCAGCCGTATGTCCTAATGCCAACTTAGTCAGCTGCTTCCTAACCTCCCCCCACACCCCCCCTTCAGTGACTCATCCTGTACAGCTACACCAGGAGCTTCCTCCTGTAAGTATCCTGCGTTCCTGTGAGGATGTCCACTCCCACAGCTCAGCCTCCAGCCTCACCAGCCTTCCTCTCACCAGCCTGCCCTCCACTTCCTCATTATCACTGACCTCTGACCCCCTCAGCTCTCAGCTCTCTCCGGAGGCCATGCTGGCTGAGATCGCTCAGCTGAGTAGACAGAACGACCTGATCAAGGCCCAGCTTAGCCAGGCTAAGGGCCTCGGGGCAGGGGTCGGAGGATCGCCTAACAGTAGCAACAAGGAGGGAAGGCTGAGCTCCGGCAGCACAGGAAGAGTCACACCTCAAAGTGTTGGAGAGAGGAGGGTGTCAGTTTCCAGCAGCTCAGAGAGAATGAGTCGGCATGTGCAGGCTGCTGAAGGAGAGCAAAAGACCAGTCAGGTTCTTTTTCTTTTATCTCTTGAAATGTGTTAAAAACATGTTTTCTGAAAGCTAAAAAGTGAATGAGAGGACAGAAATGTTCAGTAATCCTTTTTGCCTTTTTTATATAAACACAGAAAGGGCCGGAAGAGAGAAGTTAAAAATGTGCAGAATTCTTCCTTCAAGGTTGATCTTCCGAATTCATACAGGATTAGTTTTTCCTCTGTCTTCTTGCTCAGGCAGCAACAACTAACCCGCTCTGTTTGAGCAGTGTGGAACAGCGCCTCCTGGAGCTAAACAGGCAAAGTGCAGCAGCGAGGGGTCGACTGCTGGAGCTCATTGAGCAACAGAAGCAAAATGTTTCAGCCAAAGTTTCTCTCTCTCATTCCCCCATCCCTCCTTCTGCATTCAGCCCACATTCGGCAGGTATGTTGGCTCAATCTGACGTGTCTCTGTCCGTTTGTGTGATTACCTGCCACTGTAAGAAATCACTGTGTCGTATCATTCTCAGCTGGAGGAGGAAGTCCAGAGCTGCTGCCTGCAAAAGAGCTCCTGTCACAGACTGGTGGCGGTCAGAGACGGTGAGTAGCTCTTTTAGATGAGAGGGATGTTACCTGACGAGTCATTTTCGGGGATAATTAAAGCTGGTTGGCCTGGAGTGTCAGGCCAGGGGTAAATATGCTAAATCAAATAGGTAAATCAGAGAGAAAACAACACAGGGAAGCTCAGAACTGTCAGCCCACCACCTGCTTTTAACCTGATGGTGTGATCTCTGTCAGTCATCACATGCACATACACACAACATTCAGTCATTGAGTAGTGTGGAGAAGAGAATGGACAGCGCAGGAGAAAGAGAAAAGGTATAGCTGAGAGAGAGCTCATTTAAAGGAGAAAAGCCCAGGAGGAAAGTGTTGCTAAATGCTGTAAAAGTGCACATATGTTCACCAGCCAAGGACGTGCTGGTATTTAAAAAGGGAAAAAGATACTAGCCGTGCCGGACGTGCCCTCAGCACGTCATATCACAGCTACTTTGTCCCCTAGCTGATTCTGAGTTTAGATATGAAAAATAGAAAAGGAGAGATGATTTCCTTTGGTATAAAGCATAAAGCATACCAACTCACTGTTAAATAATTTCCGGGTTATAACTTTCTTCAGGTTGGATGGGAAGTAGTGAGAAATATCTGCTACATGAGTAAAACCTAAAAATGTGGTCGACCTTTTCACCTTTTTTGATATAGCTCATCACCTAAAAATCACTCAAAATAACAGCAAGGACAGGACTGTTGCATGTATTTGTAAAGATCACACTGTTCATTATTGTTATTATTATTGTTATGTTATAGATATGCTGGTTCTGAAGTGTCTTCTCAAAGTCTTGGAGGAGAAACAAGGGATGGCAAAACACAGGTACACAAACACACACATGAAAGTCCTCAGGTTTCACCCCTTGGATCCAAAACTAACGTCTTTTCTTTTTCCACAACAGATGGAGAAACGGAGAGAGCGAGAAGGGTGGTTTGCCTTGTCTGCTCATGTGAGATGACAAAAAGACTGAAACCTGAGGACTTTTAAAACCTGTGTTTTTAGTGTGTATATATATGTATCTGTATTTTTAAATGACTGAATTAAATGATGCATTTTTAATGAACTTTTTTTTTTGTCTGCACTGTTCCTATAATGAAATTGTTGACAGTGAGTGTCACAAATACTAATCACATTTCTTCATTAAAGCTGGTGAAACTGTGGATTGAGGTGTGTAGGTATATCCACAACACTGAGTGATAGGTTGAAGAGTAGTACAAGCTTATTTGTTTACAAGCTTTCACCCCCTCAATTCCTTCAGAGGTTGACGTTTCCACCAAAGGGATTCTTGTCTGTGTGCACTTTAATGTCTCCGGTAACATGGAAAACCTTTTATATTGCGCTTAAATGTAACATGTTACAAGTCTGTAGTGGGAGAAAGTACATACGTATGGTCCGTATATGTTTTGATAGTTTGTTTATTGTTTGAACCGAAAAACAAGAGAACCAGATTCTAATAATGGTCTTTGCGAATTCTTTTTTTTGTTTCTCTTTGAAGAAAGATATTAAGTAAAAGCGACTATCATTGGATAATCCATAATTCAGAAGTCAGTTATGAGATCCATCCATCCATCCATCCATCGTCAAACGCTTATCCTGCATACAGGGTCACGGGGGGCTGGAGCCTATCCCAGCTTACATTGGGCGAAAGGCGGGGTACACCGTGGACAGGTCGCCAGTCCATCGCAGGGCCACACATAAACAGACAACCGCTCACATTCACGCCAAGGACAATTTTGAAGACACCAGTCAACCTAGCCTGCGACATGCAGGCTAGGTTGACTGGTGTCTTCAAAATTGTTTTTTGGATGGTGGGAGGAAGCCGGAGCACCCAGAGAGAACCCACATGGACACGGGCAGAACATGCAAACTCCACACAGAGAGCCCGAGGAAACTGGGGTTTGAACCCACGACCTTCTTGCTGTGAGGCGACAGGGCAGCATCGCGCCGCCCCGTCAATTATGAGATAAAAAGTCAAAATTATGAGATTCAAAAGTCATAATTGTGAGATAAACTGTTATAATTGTGAGTTAAAAAATCAATTCCAAGATAAGTCATAAATTTGAGATAATGTTTTGCAGCCGTAGATTGTACATTTACATTAATTCATAATATTATGATTAATGCCATTTAAAATATATTCTGTTCTGTGCAAACGTCTTAGGCTGGTAGTGGGAAAATGCCGTAAAGTAAGAATGCTTTCAAAAATAGATGTGTTAATAGAGTAAATTTATCAATTACCAAAAGCAATGTGAGTGAACAAAAGGGGAAAAAAATCAAATCAGTATTTGGTGTGGCCACCCTTTGCCTTCAGTTCTACTGATTATCCAATGATACCCATACCATACACGTACCCTGTGGTCTTTGTTAGTAATGTCCTTTGACAGTTGTTTTTTTCTTTTACACACACTCATACACGCAGTTGTTTCCTGATACTCCAGGTACATTGTTTTTCTAGTTTCTAATCTATTTTTGCTCTAACATGGCAGCATCATGCCAGACCTACAGGACACTGAGCGTGCAAAGCACCATGGATATCTGTGCTTTTTGTTTATGGTGTCTTCATTCATATTTAACCTGCCTCTTGATTCATTCATCTTTTCATATATGTCATATGCACTGGTTTGTTTGTGTGTGTGTGTGTGTGTGTGTCTGTCTGTGTGCTGGTGGGAGAAAAGGTGCACTGCAGTCCAAAGTCAGCAGATGGCAATCTGGAGTCACTCTGGAGCCTTTCAGGCTGCAGCAGGTTAATATTTTTAAACCTGTCAGGTGGTGTCCTAATAATTCCCTTTCTTTTTTAATACAATTGATAAATCCTGAAGCTCTGAAATGCACCTCATCCTGTGCACTCCTGGCATGGACATAGCCTTGGTAGCAACTTACAATGTGTCAAGCTTTAACTTCAAGCAGGTAAATAAAGATTCAGGTCTAACATTTAGATCCATATAGTCCAGAATGTTAAAGAAAATTTGTTGTATCGGGATTGACTTGTGTTTTAATGAGAATTACTCTGTTAACAGTATATTAGTGTTGTGATTTTGTAGAAGTACTGTAAGCAACTTATGGTGCTGCTCACTGTCAGGAAACCGGAAACTGAAGGTTAGGCTCATAAGGGCGAACAGCGGGTGCTGATGTGTTTCAGGCAAGACATCAGAGAGACATTAGAGTACACACGGCACTGATGGATCTATTTAGCAGACGTTTGGACTTGTCATTGTAGGAAAAGCACAGGTGTAATTGAATCAATTGAATAGCTTACTTAATGGAACAGAGTCATGATTAATGTTATTGTAACACTAGTGATTTTATCAAAAAGTCTGTTGGGAAAAAAAGGTCTGTTAGGGTGTCACATTGGTAAGACTGTATCTCCAGGAAGAAAGGAGATATGCCAGACAAAAGACTTTGTATGTTGGTGAATTTGTCTAAGCAACACATTTTTATTATTTATTATATTTTTCTACATTTTACATGATTATTGTTTTATCAATTGCAGCTGTAGCAGTATGCAGATGTACTGAACTGTAATATAATGTTTTTTATGTGGTATTATACTATATATTCATATTTTATTCTGTTTGCATCATAAATCTGTATATTTCTCATAGTTTTAATAATTTAATACACAATTTTTCTTCTAAAAAGTATGTCAAGCAAATGTTTGTTCCTAGTGTTGAATATTGCACTGTACTTAATTAATTCTATTGATCCTATATATTGGTCCTTTTTTTGTTAACCGTATTCAGCAGAACTTCTTTTTTTATTTAAGATTTTTTTTAAAAGCTTTTTTTTTTCTAAAGCAGAAAAACAAATGTGAAACAAAGGTCCACAGCTGGAATCGAACCAGGGAGGTTGTGGTTACATGGAAGGGATCTTAACCACAAGGCGCCCTTGTCATAGCACTTCTTTAAACATATCCATTCATTGGCTGCTGCTCTTCTGTGCAGCTCCTGGTGGCCATAAAGTCATAAATAAGTGGTCGTAAGCTGACTCATTTCCACTTAGTGTTTGTTTGCTGTGGGGTTTTAATATTTTGAGGGTGATGCTAGAGTAGGAAGGGCACTTGAGTTTTCCAGTCGATCAGGAATGCTGTGTGGGTGACGACAATGGCCAGCAGGGGAAATCAAAAGGAGTAAATGTTGCAGATAATAACAGGATGGAGGCATAAAGGGGCCAGGGACAGCAGCCGTAAACGTAGGGTCAGAGGTCACCTTGGAGGGGCAGCGGGAGGCAGGCGGGGCTTATTGTGCCCTGACCCAGCTGAGTGAAGGACGGGGTGAATGGGGATTAACCCCACCCCAGTGCCTCTCAATGCCCCCTCTCTCTACTGCAGGGCCTAGTGAAGGTTCCCATGTGACCCCCACCCTCCCAACACCACCACCTTTATTTGGGCCTCTCAGCAGCCTCAACACACCTCCCTTACTCCTCATGACCATATATTCACACATGCATTATGCAGCCTATAGTGGAGGGGGAAAACTCAACTAACATAAATTGGGAGTTTTTCAATTTCAGGAAGAAAAAACACGTGCAGCCAGTGAGACTGGAGCATGCTAAAGTCACACAAACACACACACAATGATGTGGATGGGTGTGTAATGGGGCATGTAGAGGGGTAGTTTTCTTTACTCATTTAAATCTGCCCCCACTTCACCTCAGTGAAGGAGGCTGAAGTCACTCAAAAACACACACAGTAAAGTTTGTGCACACACTCACACTCTTTGATAGTGTCCAAAGTGACGTAGGCGTTGTCAGATGGTCGTCTAGACTCCAGAGCAACCTGAACTAGTTTATTTATAGGAAGAGAAGGCATTTATTATTCTTACTTCTTTTTCTTGTTTTTTTAGCATTTGAACCATCATCCCCCCTGACCCCCGAGCTGTAATGGGATAGATTTATTACAAAAATGTTTTGACTTATCTTGCTTTTCTGCAAAGTCTTTTGTTGTATGTCTTGAGTAGTTTTTGCCAGACAAATTATGCCATCTATCTAAATGACTTTGGACAAATGACTTATCACAACAATACTACTTCTTTAAGGGTTTTTTTGTAGACTAATAAAAGTTCAGAGAAGTCATGTAAACTTTATTCTTCAATTTAACTTTCCCTTAACTGTTGCAATGAAGTTATCATGCCAGTAGAGGGCAATATTAATGTGCTGCGGTTTGGGTCTGGATCTTTATGATAAACTATTTTATTTATTTTTTCAAATAAATATGAGTATCAAAACTGCACAGCACATAACAGTAACAATCAAATGTTTGTTTAAAGAAAAGAAAAGAAAGCAATGTTGGCATAACAGTATCAGTCAGTTATAATGTACATTATTTTCCCAGCTTTAAAAATAGGTATGGCAAACAATGAGATGCATTAAAATAAATGAGATTCAATTGAATAAAAAAAAATGAATCACAGCTATTGTGATACCTTCATGGTTTAATTACTTCATGGGACATTGTAAACATACAGTAGATCTACACGTTTTAACACTGGAAGTCTGTTTTTATGCAGTTTGTTGTCATGTGTAGGAGCCATTTTGTGAATGAACTCTTTGTCTATCTCACCAAAAGTGCATTTAAAATGTCTCAAGTTTTAACATCAGTGTGGTGTGACATGTGCGTGACGGGGAAACCGTGTATGTGTTTATGCATGTGTGTGTATGCATGTGAGTGGGTGCCCATGTGCGTAGGAGTGTACTCCACAGCTGCGCGGGGTCCTGATCTGAAGCGGGCTATTGCTTGCTGTGAAAATATTATTGCAAGTGTTTATTATTGGTTCGGTGTGAAACAGTGGGAGTGTTGTGTGTGCTGCACGTGTGTGTGTGTGGGGGGGGGCTCTCCCTTCTAGTCCTCTCTTTCCCACCGGCCAGCCCCCGACCCGAGGCCCATTGCACTCTGGGTAATGGGGAGGCCTATTGGAGTTGATTAGTTCCGGCTGGATCCCAGATAGAGTTCTGACAGGCAGGAGAAACGAGCTCTCAGCGTGACCCTCCACTTCCCCGCACACACCCCTGTCTCATGCACAATGGGCAAGGCAGAGGAAGGGCTTTTTAAACAACTGCAGCTTCACC